GCCGCCCGTGAACACCAGCCGAGCTCCCTTGACCGCCAATGTCGGTTTCCCTCCTCCAAACCGACCTCTCCCCCTCGCCTATAAAGCCCGCGCCCTCCCCTCTCGTTTCGTCTCCGCCTCGCTCGAAACACCTGCGCCATTGTTGACGCCTTGCCGCCGCTCCCACCTCTTGCCTTCGTCTCTTCGCCGTCGCACGCGTCGGAGGCCGGTGCGTGCGTGGACACGAGACGAGGACTCCGGCCATCCCTCTTCTTCCCCTTCCCCGGCCAGAGGCCGGAGAGCTCGCTCCCGAGCCGTCGGCCGCTCGTCACTGCGCCCGTCTCGGCTTGGTAGTGCCACCCTCCGTTCTCCCTTCTTGCTCGTCCTCTCCCTCCCTAGCTCGCGTGGTAGCTCGGCTAGCCCCCCGAACACGCATGGACACTGCCCCAGGTCTCACCACCGAACCGCCGCTCGTCGCCCTTGCACCGCGCGCTAGCTCGCCGGCCGCCATGCTCTGTCCCGGAGGCCGTCTCTCGTCGCCAGCCAACCTCGGTGCCGCTCCGTCCAATCCGACGCCGGAAACGAATTCCTTGAACCCCGCAGATGCTCCCACCCCTTTGAATCGAACCCTCGTCGTCTCGTCGTGTTTTCCCCTTTTGATCTCCGGTGATTGCCGCCGCCGCAATCCACCGTCGTCGGCTCCTCTCGCGTCGATTCCTCTCGCCGCCACGCTCCCGGGGATCCCCTTGACCTCCCCCTGGCTGGCCCAAGGCCGTCGGCCTTCTCCTTTGTCTCCGCGCCGTGTCGCCGCTTCCGCCGCCGCCTAACGCCGCCGTGCGTGCGCCGCCGGTGACCATCGGGTCCCGCGTCACCGCGTGCGCGTCGCAACACCATACCGGTTCGGCTAAGCCCGAGCCCGCGCACCCTTCGCTCTCCTCGCGCGCGGCCACGTCGGCATGCCGGCGAGATTGGCCGCCGCCGCCGGCCGTCGTCGCGCGTCCTCTTCATGATCCGAGCCGTGGAATGAGTTCCCCTTCTCCTCCTCCTGCCGCCAGTGCTAGCCGCCCCTTCCGGCTCGCCGCCGTTCGCCGGATCCCGCCGCACACCGTGAGCCGTCGGATCAGCCTGCCCGGCCTCCTCTGCCTCCCCATCCGACGCGGCTTCCACGTGGACGCCACCTCAGTCCCGGGCCCGCTTGACTGGGTCAAGTCGCGCCCAGTCAGCCTCCTCCCTCCGTCTTCCCTCCCGTGCGTGCGGTCCACGGCAAGCCGTGCGGCTGCACGTGGGCCCGCCGCCATCCATCCACCCGGCGCGCCGCGCCCGAACCGCGTGCATCCGAAACCCTAGCGCCCGCCTCCGCGTGCACCCTCCCCACCGTGAACCCAACCACCGCCATGTGGGTCCCGCGCGGTGGACCGCGCCCACCCCGACGGGCCTCCCTCTCTCCCCGCGCGCCCTCATGGGCCGCCTCCTCGCGCCCGCGCCGGCCCATTTGGTTCGGCCGAGTCGCGTTAGCTTTTGGGTCGCACCAATACCACCGAAACAAGTCTAGTATACATCCCTCCTTGATTTCCTTTTTCCACCCTTGTTCCATAAATCAATTCCTTATTCCAAAATTCCATGAATCATTTTCCTTGGTCCCGGATTCAATGACTGTCAATAATATTCTTGAGAATATTATTTCTATAAATTCCATAAATCATCTCTCCTATTCCAGAAACTCCAATTAAACTTTCAAAATTCATATCACCCAATTCGCAACTCCGATTGACTCCGTTCCACTTCCAATAATTCCGTAAATTGAGATCTATTTAATGGCACTACTAATTAGTCTAAATAGGATCTTTCTTTTGGTCCTTTGTTTAGGTTTTCGATTGTTTGCGTATAGTTGCGGTTATCGGATTTTCGTCGATCGCGGGTTTCCTCGAAGATTCGTGAAGCTTTGTGAAGATCTTGAGCAAGGCAAGTCACCCTTTGATCAATTGCCCCTATAATTGAAAAGTCATTATTATTTTGTTTACAACTTGCATTATTAGAATCACACACTTAACTTGCTTGGCCTCGGTTTGCGTGCCAAACCGACGGACCTACCCAGTAGTCGCACTAATTTCCGTAGGTCTTACTACCCTGATTCCTTGTCGCTCCACCCTTGTGGTACCTCGGTATTCGTGCTCTCTGAGCGCGTATACCAAATATCCCACATACACCGTTGTTTGTCGAAAACTTGGGAAATGGGTTTGTGAAGCCTTCAAAAACCCGACATGTGGTGTCGGTGTGTTTGAAAATAAAATGAATTGTGAAAACTCGCGATGCGGGGGTTGTGCCTATGTGGCACTGTCCCGTATTCGCATATAAGGACCGATTCCTGTGGGAAACTCATCGAACATAATCAAAGTGCAACCACAAGGTGGAATGGGACACCCTGGCTAAGTAACTAGTCGGTTCAGGGAAACCTCGCATGCCAATAGTTGGGAACGTCGGGGCGGGGTCGGACAAACCGGGTTCCTGGTAAGGCAAGGACGAGAAGCTTGCTCACTTACCGATCAAGGTGGTTGGAGTTTGATTTGTGAACGCCTAAAATGGCCTATGTTTATGTGAGGATTTGATCCTTCTATGTGGCATGAGGTAACCCTGGGTTGGCTTGGGAAAGGCTTTGTTGCGAACCTCCGATACCGACGGGTGTTCGGAATAAGTTCGTATCTTGTGGGTAAAGTGTACCCCTCTACAGAGGTTAACTAACTGTTCGAACAGCCGTGCCCACGGTCATGGGCGGATGTGAGGTGGTTCCCGTTGCGTAGATTTGTTTGCCTGTGCTTTGTGAAAAGTTGTTGTGGTGTGGGAATCGTAACCAGAATCAGCCTATGTGGCAGATGGACGACCTGAGTGGTCAGAAACGAATCTGTGTGATTTGGGATGTCTGCGGGCATCATAGACTAGGCTTCCCGAGTGGAAGCGGACTGTTGTGCTGCTGGGCAGCTGGACTCTGGGAGTCCGAGAAAATGAAAAAGGCTCTGGTTGCCGATTAATCAAGTGGAATGGCTCTGGGAGCCGAGAAGTAATGATCTGACCCGGGGGGTCGGTACATTACTAAATGAGCTGTTGAAAAGCACCTCTTAAAGTCGAATCGAGACGCAAGTCTCTTTTCGGCCCAAACTTAGAAAGAAATAAATCACTTAGTGATTTCAAAATGTCTTCAAATAAAAGATTTGCAAAACAACCTTGCCTCTCTTCCAAGCTTGCATTAAACACCTAAGTTCCCGTGACTTGCTGAGTACGAAAGTACTCACCCTTGCTCTATATAAATATATATATAGTTCCTCCGCCCTGAAGAGAAGATAAAGTGAAGTGAAGATTAGGGTTTCGTCCTGGTTCCCAGCCGTCGCCTGTGGTGTTGGGTGTTAGTTCGTTGGTTCCGCTGCTGCTGCTGTTGTTGGTGTTTCCTCGTCCGTGTCGTCGGTTGCATTCTCGGGTTGTTCTGAGCTGCAACCTAAGTTAAGGTAAATAAGTCCTCTATCTATTTTAAGGATTTGCAATGACTCATATTTGTCACCGTGGGTACCAGCACTATGTCCTGGGACTGGTACCGAGATCGCGGTTTCGTAGGAAGCGATTCGCGCCGTTTTTCCTACGACACGCTCCTATCAGGTGCCGTTGTGTGGCGGTGCCGGATTGGGGTGTGACAAGAAGTCCTCAATAAATGCTGTGCGAGGGGAGTAAGCAGGCATTCCGTGATGCGTCGACGCCGAACCGTACTCATCGTCTGTTTGCACAAGAGGGAGAAACCAAAAAATATGGCGTAGTTAGTAACGATACATATAATTAGAAACTAAAGCGTGTTATTGTTTAAAATGACTTACATGTGTGCTGTGTGTGGCCCTGCTCTGGCGCACGCGGAGTGATATGAAGTCCCCATGCTGGTGTGTTCAACACGTTGTCCCCCGTTGGCATGTAAGGGAAGTGTGCCGACCCAGATGCTCCCTGCGAGGGGTGAACATAAGGCGGAGTTTGGAATACCTGCGGACGTGGTGGTGCCGTGCTCGACGTGGGTACCCCTGATCCGGCTGACCCCCTGGTGTACTCCGGTGCTGGGGTGTGCTGAAAGGTAAGGACGACCGTGAGATGTGTGGGCCGCTTCGTACCCGCGACGTGAAGAGGATGGACCACTCCGATCCACGCTGGAACGTCGGGGTAGTGGTGGTGATGGCCGTCGGCCCGACGTCTGCACCACATCTGCCGCGCTCCGACAGGAGACACGACGTAGTAGTGCGGCAGCACGTGCACGGAAGTTGCGAAGGATGCTCGCCACGTCGTCAGGCCTGACGACTGGAGGTCTCGCCTCTAGTCTTTGCAGCATGGTGTCGGACTCCACGTGAACGTGCTCAACAAATTCCGCCTGTTCCACAAATAATCAAGGCAATTAAAATTATTTAACCAGTTGCACATTTATTAAGAGTATTTAACAAGATGCACATTTGTTAGAAATAATGAACCAGTTGCACATCATTTATAAATACTGAACTAGTTCCACATTTATGTAAGAAAAGGAACTAGTTGAACCAATTGCACATTTATTAGACATACTGAACTACTTGCTAACTTTTTAAAAATATTGAACTAGTTGCTCAAATTCCACAAATAAACACGTACCATTGAGTTGTAAGCTGATCTAGGCTGAGGGGCAAACGTGTCAGTAATCGCTGCCTGGTGGGGGACGGTGCTATCTCCTTGTGGAGGAAAACACCTCCATCATGTAACACTGCGATACCAACGAAGGTAAGCTCCATAATAACTCCCATCGTCTGGAGGTGTCTGAAGTGCCAAGTTATCAGCTGCGTGCTCCCACTCTTGTACCGTCGGCTGAACCGTGGTCACAACAACTAGCTCGTAGGAAAGCCCGAGCCCCTTTCTGGAGTACCTGCACAACAACAAATTCACACATCAGAAAAAATATTGTGTAGTGATTTATTTTAAAAAATGTAGGATTAAACAACTGTGATGTGAACTAACCTATGAAGACTATCAGCCAAAGGACGACCATCTCTCGGAGGGAAGTCCTGATACATGCCCAACTGTTTGAGAACCCTGTGGACATTGTGTGGCTCGACGTGCACGTCCACCACGAGGTGACAAGTTGTCATCCAGAGTTGCATATCTCGCGTGCAAAGATCCGCGAGACCGTGCGGTGCACGATCATTGACATCGTGCTGAGTGTAGGGAGTCCACCGAACACGGTCAGGCGTAAGCTGATCAAAGTCAGCTACAAACTGAGTGTAGACACGACGTGTCATCCCGCTAACCCACTGCGGCTGTAACAAGTAGTAGTTTTCATTAGTCATATAAGGAAAGTTTGTGAACTAGTATTCATAATGATAACATAAACGAATTTAACAAAAAATACCTCACGGTGTGTCCACAAGGATCCCATAGTGGGACGATCGTCGATGTCATCAACACCAGACCTGTACATCTCTCGCAAACCGTAGTTTGCGTACGAGTCAAGCTGAGGCCTCCCAATGTCGAAGCGCTCGTGCGCCCACAACATAAGTAGCAACGGGCATCCAGGGAGTGAACTTTGCTTTGCTGTTCCTCACGCAAGCATCACACAGTCCGGCATATGTCGCCGCAAGTACCGCCGACCCCCAACTGTACTGTGGAATCTCCGCGATAGGTAACTCTGCAATCTGCTCCGCAAAGTGGATGAAGTACTTGTCCACGGAGTCAGCGTGAGTTCCCGTGAACATCACCCATCCAAACAACCACAACAGGTAAGCGACTAAGTGCCGCTGCACGATCCACTCCTCCTGGTCATCAGGGAAGACATCCTGTCGAAACTGATTTAACCAACTTTTCGTAGGCCCGTGCCCATCTGTGAGATCCTCCAGTGCAACAGGCAGCACACCACCAAAACTGGCCAGAAGGTCATCCGCCCATCCAGCATTCACCATTGTTGGGCCAACTGCTGGCCCAGCTATCGGCAGCCCCAACAAATAAGACACATCCTGCAGAGTGGGCACCATCTCTCCAACTGTGAGGTGGAAAGTGTGGGTCTCAGGCCTCCATCTATCCACAAGAGCACTCAGAAGCGCCGCGTCAATGTGGATTCGTTCGGACCTTGCACGTGAAGGCTCGACCAACCGTGCAAACGTCAACAACCCAGCTGCTCTCAGCCTACAACATGACAGAGCGCAAGTTATTAATACATGAAAATATAAACACCTTGTATTAGTAAAAACAATATATTTTCACACACCTTGGAACCCAAAGAGGATCAATACGCCAATATTGATCCGGTCCTCGCATCTTTAGCACATTGCAGAAAGTTCCTGTACTAAGACGTCGCGATCGATGGTTCCTATCAATCTCCTTGTCTATCAGCTGCCCATCATATTGATCAGCCATACCTGCAGATCGAAAACCACATTAGTACAATGCACGTATGGTAACAGTACAGTAAATGTATGCAACATAATTCAAGTAACAAATTTGCATGCCATTTCAATTTAAAATTACAGTACCAGCACACATAGATACAGATAAGAACAGTTCAGTACATTTCAATTTAAAATTACAAGCCCAGGACACATATATTATGATATTACAAGTGCAGTGCAGTTCGAAATTTAAATTACGATTCCAATACATATACATGACGATATTAAAAGTGCAGTGCAGTTCAATATGAATATTACAAGGCCATTACAAATAGATTCGGGTAATAAAAGTGCAAGAAAGTTCAAATTAAAATTACAGACGCACTAAACATAAATTGAACGATAACGATCTTCAAAGTAGGGAGTCCCCCAAGGATAATAGCGAACTAAGAATTATTTTTCTTCTTCGACTTCCCCTTTGGAACGCGACGAACATCAGCGCCTGTGGCATCTTGCCCTACATTGTACATGCTGCAATCTTTACGGGAATGGTTCTCCCCGCAAAGAATGCAAGCTTTCTTACGACGAGAACGATCTTTCACTTCAGCTTCATCCATAAGGTTCTTGATCCTGCGCGACTGGCGACGACCCTTAGTATCAACTAATAAATTTGAGTCAGGAACCTAATTAGCTTGCCCTGGAGGAGGACGAGTGAAATCGCACACGGCACGCCAACCACGCAATTCACCACGCCAAGTTGCCTCCCACGATTCCTTTCTAAAGTAGGGAGAAACAAAAATGTTTCCATCAACACCCCCTTTTGCGGAAGCAGCAAGAACATGGGAACATGGCCGATGTAACAGGTAAGGCTTGTTGCAATTGCATTTGCAAGCGTGATACTCTGGCCACAACGTGCATTCCAATGTGATGTCAGTAGTCCCAATGCCGACACCACTCTTGTCACGAAGTCGTATCTCAAGTATCAACTCTCTATTCCCAGCAGGCCACACTCTGTGGATTCCTCCCTTCTTACTTTTCTTATCCATGTACTGTGTAATAGCGGGGGTATACTTAACACTAGGTTTGCTGAGGTTCAGACTAGCCATGGAATACCTTTTACAGAGATACTTCTGTGTACCCATCGTGATGCCCTCCAGGATAGCAACAAGTTGTAGAGTTCGTGTATTTTTCATAACCCAGTTATACACTTCAGCAAGATTTGTTGTCATCACACCATACCTCAATCCGTCTGTATCGTACAACAACGACCATTTCTCCCTTGGCTCAAAATTCTACCCACTCCGTGAAGCACTTCGTGGCCCTTCCACGCTTCCTGCGCCGAGTAATACTTGGTGCTTCATTAGGAATGGGTTCAAGTCCCTCCGGCTCCTCCTGTCTGGCAACTATAGGTTTTTTCCTAACCTCTTCCATGTGTGTAGTGGTCAAACGATCCAGTTGATCCCATATGGCATCAAACTTTCTTTGTTAATTCTGCTTGCATAACTTCTTGAACAGGTCCATCAATCTCTTACTCCTAAATTGTCTATAAAAATTAGCCCCAAAATGTCGCATGCACCATCTGCTATGTAAATCTGGCCATGGCACGAACTGTGTGACATCTTCTTGAAGCTTTTATATCGCTGATAGCAAACCGTCTTGTCGGTCATGCAGTACACACACATTTGGTCTGTTTTCAACAACACACATTTTAATGTGCCGCCCAAACCATAGCCAGCTTGATGTGTTCTCGCTTTCAACAAATGCAAAAGCAACAGGAACGACATGGCTATCCGCGTTGACTCCGATCGCGGTTAGAATTGTTCCTCTGTACTGGCCTGTCATGAAAGTGCCATCAACACAGAGCAAAGGAATGCAATTTCTAAAGGCCTCTATCATGCACCCAAATGACCAGAAAGCCCGACGAAAAACATTCTCCCCATATTCATTCACCTCATCGAGAATAGCCATGTGTGTGCCCGGGTTTCTTGCCTGCATCACCTCCAATAGTGGGGGAAGATTGTGATAAGAATCCTCATAAGTTCCAAACCTCATCTCCAATGCTTTCTGTTTTGCCCTCCAAGCCTTGTCGTACGATATCTCATATCTGTACTCTTTCTCAACGTCATGCATTATGGTGAAAGGGGACAAAGATGTTTTTCTAACCACCTTTGAATATACCATTTGTGTCACAAATGCCGCTGTCAGGTTTCTGTGCACCAGACGGGTATTCTCCAACAAACACGTATGTTGCTCAACCCTCGAAGCTACCCATAAAGTGTCATGTTGTGGCTTGTAACCATGCACTCTCTAAGGACATCCACCCTGTATGCACTTCACGTCATACGTCGTCCTATTTGAAACCTTCACCCTGAACTCACGCTTCTGGACAAATGCCCACCTCTTCACCGCATCTTGTAAGTGACCTTTGTCATGAAACATCTGTCCAACTTTCACCTGCTTACTATCATAACACCAGTGGGCATCTAAACCATCGTTTACCTTCATACGACTCATTGATATGGTCGTCCAATCATCGGGTATGTTAGTTTCGTTGTCCCACAGTGTTGTATCTTCTCCTTCCACTACAAGTGCAAGGTATTCCTCGTTTTCCACTTCCATCTGATCCACTACCGCCTCATTCTCCTCCGCTGCATCAACACGCATAGGCGAATCCGGTTCTTCATCGTCCGAGTCATTGGCCTCACGATTAGTACCACGAACAATGACCTCTCCTTGTGTATTACCCTCTACTACTTCTTTCCCTCGACCTTGCTCAGTCCGCCAAACATTTTCAGCTTGTCCACCTTCCAACGGAGTTTCTTCCACCACGGCATGACTTGACTCCCCCGATCGATCAACACATGTTGTCTTCTGCACCACTATTGCCAGGCTATAGCCTTTCTCCCTTACTTTACTAACAAACTTCCTCCAACTCCCAGTTGACGCAACCTCCACTACTCTCCACTGGCATCCATGTTGACCCCTCACTGGTCACACGGCATTTATGACAAATTTATCGTGCATTGGATCTACCCCAAACATATTATACAAGCACCCTAACACGTCGTTCAAAGCCATATGCTCCGGTGCATTCAGACTAGTATCATGGAAGGCATATACAGTCAAATCCACCCCGCTATCACATATTTATATAGGAGCATCGCCATAATACAGACGAATGGGCATATCACCTGACATCCTGATAAAACATGACACATAGTCTCATGTTTAATCATTTAATCATTCGATAATTACCCTATTACGACTTATACTATATTGCCGTGTACTAATTTGCAAACTATTAGTAACAAACAACTAGTTTAATAATCCACATAAAATATAACACCTTTCTACCTATTTTAACACACAACATATCACTACTATGTACTAACTAAGAACTAATTTAAGCGTACAATTACTTAAATAACTCTACCAACATTTAGCAATAACAAATATGTGCTAACCATACATACTAACATCGAACAATGCGAAACAATTAACAACTCTTAAACCAATTTTTTATTAAACTTTCATATGCATTGTACTTAGGGATTACTAATGTATACCTTAACTTCACTGCTGGAGGGCGTCGCCAACCCTTTCCTCCCGGCCGGCGCCTCCTCGGCCTCCTCTCCGGCCTGCTATCCCCTCCCCTCGCTCCCTCCGGCGCTCACGGCGACGATGTGGTGACTCTCGGCGGCGGCTGGCGATGTGGTCCTCAAAACAAATCGAACTCGCGGCCTGGGGGACGGGGCTTTAAACCGGCCTGTCGAACGCCCATTGTTCGACAGGGTCGGTGGAGGGCCCTGTCGAACGCCCCCGGTTCGACAGGCCTCGCGGCGCCGGGTGGTGGGCCCTGTCGAACTCCCTCCGTTCGACAGGTGAGCGTGTCGAACGCCAGCCGTTCGACAGGGGTTTGTCGACTGCCCGTCGTTCGATAGGTGCCCTATCGAATTGCACCCGTTCGACAGGGACCTACTTTCGCGATTTTCCCCGGTTGGCCACTACTTTTGCGATTTTCCATAAAAATAATATTAATTCTCAAAAAAAACCGCAAACCGAACCGAATCGAACAGTGGCAAACCGAACCCGCTCTTGCACTGTTGCTGCTGCCATGAGAAGGACTGAAGGAGGAGGTGATTGTCAAAGTCAAGTATTTAGAAGCATCGACAACGACCTGCAGCCCACGGCCGCGACGCGATACGAATTACCCGAAACCGCAAAAGAAACCGAAACATTTGCAGTGCTCGCAAAGAGGCAAGAGCAGAAGCTGGGTCAAACGGATTATTGGACACAAGTGGAACAGCAAGAAATGATTAAAACTCGCGCGACGCATATTCCGTCACCACGGCAGCACGGCTAGTTCCGTGGAACCGAAAACCGAATCCGACCGGAACAGATCGGTTTGTTGACATATCGTGACTTTGAGTTTAAGAGCAGAGTTTTGAGCCTTTATCAATCGTGACTCAGAACACGTAAGTGGCCCGGAGCATGAAGCTGTGCTTGGACTAATCCTATTCCTATAGGTTTGATGATTTGCCGTTGATCTCCAGGCTATTGATTTGTCTGTCGTTGCCACGCCCACGAACACGAAACACCGCGCGTGGTGACGGCACCTTATCCACCACACTTTGCCACACTTTGTGGCTAGCAATTTATCCACCACACTTTTGTGGCTGCCACAACTTGCCTAACGTTAGTTGTGGCAAAATGTGGCCGACAACCAAACACACCCGAAGTTTTGATCTTGGAGGGAGGCAGGAGTGTTCAAGCAAATAGAGTACTCCCTCCGTCTCAAAAAAAGAAGACAAACCCTGAGCATAAATTTGTACATGCATCATGTCCAGTTGTACGTCCAAATTCATATCCAGGGTTTGTTTTTTTAAGGGAGGGAGTAGGCTTATCCTAGGTTCTTGTCTTTTTATATTTCTTTCTTAGGGTTTTTGCCCTACAACAGTATAATGTCGGTTTGTAACCGGCTCGACTTTCTCTCTGTTGAAGGCGAACCTCACTTGAACCGGACTGAAGTACCAAGCCAGCCAGATCAATCGTTCGCCGAGATCGCAGCAAAGTGGAGCGATTACAAAATGATGAACACGCGATGTTGTTGTTAAAGGTAGTAGTATGCCTTGAGAGAGGGGGGGGGGGGGGGGCTAATGGGCGATCGATCGCCAGGCGATCAGATCCGCACCCCCTCCCCTATACTCAATACACTCCTCCCTCCTCTCCCCACTTTCTCCTCCCCTTCTTCTCTTCCTATTACAGTACACCACACAAATTTTTTTTAAAAAATAAAAATTAGAAAAATTTATGTATATAAATACTATATTAAAAAATTTGAATTCAAATTCAAATTTGAATCGGGTATGTAAACTTTTGACTTATAAACTTTGGGTCTATAAACTTTAGGTGTATAAACTTTAGATGTATAGAAATACTATATATAGAAAATATTTGAATTCAAATTCAAATTTGAATCGGATATATAAACTTTTGACATATAAACTTTTGGTCTCTAAATCTTAGATGTGTAAACTTTGGGTCTAAACTTTAGATGTGTAAACTTGAGGTGTATAAACTTTAGGGATAGAAATTTACTAAAATAGAAAAATAATGTGGTGCCAAAAAAGGAAACCAGGTGGAGGAAGGGAGGGGGCGGGGGATTAATCGCTACCCCCGTCCCGAGGCGATGGATCGCCAATTAGGTTTTCCGCCTTGAGACGTCATTGCTTTCAGGAACCCGAACCCGAACGGTGCCGATTAGCAATTTTCATCTCAACAACACTAGGATCATCTTTTTATTTATTTATTTTCAAATCGGATTGACAGAGACATTCTCAAGGCACATGTACGCAGTACGCCTGTGCAAAAGCAAAGTGTCGAACCGAACCCAAACCTGCAACCGGGTCGCAAGGTTTCTTTGCAAACAAAACCAAGAGACGCACAAAAATTATCCACAGTGGGGCCCACCAAGATGAAAAATACATGCTCTCCGCTGATTAACTACTGGAGTACTGCAAGGCACAAACCGAACCCGGAACCGAACAGCTTTATTTTAATGCATTCTGTCTTTTTTTTCGAGATGCTAATGCATTCTGTTAATCCGCATGTCCATGTCTTCTTCTTCTCTCTCTTTTGGGAGAACTACTAGTTGCGAGCCATCAAAGACCTGACAAGTTTGATTTCTTCAATATGCTTGAAACACCGCAGCCTACACCATGCAAACGCTTGTTCTTTCAAATGCGTACTAGTAGTTGGTTGCTCTGGTTCTACCATGAATTTTTTTTAGATTATGATTGGTTGATTGCTGCTATGATTTCGAGAAAGACAAACAAAAGTTGGAGGAAATCCTCGTAAAAAAGGTAGACCTGCACAACATTCATAACTAGAAAAATGCAAGAAAAACATGCAAATTGGGAGCCAGCACACAAAACGATGGGATGAATTAGCACATAATTAATTACATGGTACTCCCTCCGGTTTTAAATATAACAACTTCTGGGTGGACGTAACATATCCTAATACTATGAATACACCTAAACATTGTTATATTTTTGGGACAGAGAGAGTAGAAAAACTTAAAAATGAATTAGCATGTTTTTTAAAGTAATTTTCTATAAAAAAATTTAGACAAAATACGCCATTTAATAGTTTGGGAAACATACATGTAAGAACGTGAGGGAGGGAGTTAGGAACATGGATAAAAGAACATAAACAACCTCATGTATGATACATAAAACCTCATAAAAGTTAACAATCACACTGCTACATCACATAATAACTGAAAATATCATAAGTACACTAAAAGCATTATGGATTACACGCAAAGGTACAAACTAGTAGTAGTGCATACACACAGAGGTACAGGAGATTACACACACTCGTACAAACAGAGGAAACAGAGGTTTGCAACTATGTCATGAAGACGAACCCTCCGAGCGCAGCCACCAAGACGAGAGGCAAAATCGACACCCACAGTATCGTCTTTCCGACGGCGCGCCGGCCGTTGAGGTCGCCGGAGACCCAGAACCCGGCCCACGCCTCCGCGAAGCCGAAGATGGCCACGCCTCCTGTGATGCCGTAATAGAGGTAGAATGGCGCCTTGCCGTGGTGTTGAAATATGCCTCCGGGCGCCTTGAACACACCGACGAAGATCGCCGCCGCGGCCTCCACGACGCCGCCAGTGATCAGCGCCGCCGGCAGCTTCTCCGCGCTGCGGCATGCCTCGGAGATCAGCGCCAAGATGTTGACGAGGGATGCCATGACCTCCATCTCCTAGCGTATGCGAATTGCTGTCTCGCGTTGAGAGAAATGGTGGCTCTAGCTGGTGTGAGCGTCGAGAAATGGGTGAGCTCTTCAGTGTTCATGCCGTGTATTTATAGCGAAGGGGCAGGAAAAAAAGATACCAAAACCGAACCGAATGCACGTTGCTGTTCTGCTGCAACGACAAGATGAATAGTAGTAATAAGCAAGTCAAGCGTCGCAGCAGCGAGGGGAGACACCGACCTGGCACCATGGCCGTGTCCGCGTGCGACCGCGAAACGGATTAACCGAAACCGAACCAGCGCTTCGGGTTTCGCCGCGCTCGCCGACGCCAGCAACCTACGAAGTACGAATGGCCAAATTCTCCAATGACGCTCATCACTGCTCACATGCACTCTGGTGGAGGACAACGTATTGGGCAATGGGCATGAAGTTACTCTGAACAACCGAACCCGGACCCGAAGTGCTCGGATTCTTGAGCGCAGAGCTTTGAGCTCGACCGACGTCGTTAACTCTTTTATCCTTTTCGGACAATTTCACTTTCATGGCTACTAGTCAAAAAAACCAATGATCCAAACGGTTTAATTTTCTGGATCGGTTTCCGCAGCCTTTCGTCATACTACCAACCCGTGTAGGACAGACGGCATCGTGTCAGTGCACGCAAATGCCAAGGGGGCAGCTGTGTGTGCATGAAATGATTTTAAGCCTTCCCTCGCCTCGAACCGAATCCGAACCCGAGCTATTCGGTTTTCTCTAAACAGAAAGCGACGCGCCGGAGAAACACACGGATGAATCACAAGATGCTGCTAAGGGCTTGTTTAATAGAGCTACAACAGAAACACATTCAGGGGTCTTCCAACTAGCTCTATAAGATGGTGGGCTAGATGATCTGGGTTCGAAACCTCACCCCTTCTAATTATTTGATATTAGATCATTCCTTAATATTCGCATTTTTAATAGAGCTACAACTGCTAATTTTAGCTTAAGGAGTCGGTCTGTAGTGGAGTTGTGGAGCAGTCTAAACCCAGCTCCAACTTACTAGTTTATTTTGTGAGAGAGTCCACCTAGCTCCGCTCTAATTTTAGATGGAGCTGAAACTGTTTGGCTGAGCTCCAGCTCCAGGAGAGATAGAGCTAGTGCTTGGAGCTGTGCCAACCAGGACCTAAAAGTGTCAGCTCCGACTGCTCGAGTGCATTGCTGAACCCGTCGTCGTGCCTCACCCATGTTGAGTATACCCGAGCACGCTGAACCGGCCAGACATGGGCTGCTGAGGAGGAGTTGGTGGGTCAAGTTTAATACTAGATCCAATTATAAGATTATAACTTATATTTAAGTTAACATGTATATAAATGAGCTATAATGTTATCTTTATTTTTTTCTCCTCTCTTTATCTATCACCTGCGCATTTAATGTATTTTTCTTGAATAGCTAGCTTATGCATGAGAGCCAACCCTTTTTATTTTTTATTCTCTCTCTTCTATATAAGCTTATAATTAGTTTATAGCCTAAGATTAGACTTGCTCTAATGGGCGCGTGTGAGCCAACTGTTTAACTTGCACAGTGGGCGCACCCCCCTCCCCCACACTCATCGTGCAAAACGCCCCTGCGCTGCTACTTACGGTAATTATTACTCCCTCCATCTACTTTTAATAGTCATATTTCATCTTGACACATAGACCAAGGATAAATAATTCTACTTATCATCCATTTAAACATGCTACTAGTCATTCCTCGTAAATAAGCGATTCATTAATACTTACATTTCTCAATGTCCATGTAGCCAATCATGTATGGAAGAATGAAGAGTCATGCATTAAATCTAAGAAAGTTATTAAGATGATAAGTTGTTGGATTGAAATATGCCTATCAAAAATAAATTTTTCAGATTTGGAAATATGACTATCAAAAATAGATGGAGGGAGTATTAATTATCGTAATTAGCATTATTTTTTTTAAAAAAATAGTTCAAAGTTTAAAAGTTTGGAATTGAAAATTTTGAATTTTAAAGTTCAAAATTTTAAATTTTGAGTTAAAAGTTTAAAATTCTCAAAATTTAAAATTTTGGAGTAAAAGTTTTAAATTAAGTTTTAATAGAAATTTTGATACTTTTAATATATCCCAAAATTAATTAAGATGGAGAAAAAAAGAAAAAGAGCATACACATTCATGCATGCGCGTGGAGAGGCCGTGCGCGCGAGATAGCAAAACCATCTCGTGCAAAACCGGGGAGGGGTTGTTTGAGGAAAGAGGAAGAAGGGAATAAGAGGATAACGTGAGCCCCCACGTGCAGACTCACAACGAGCCACGTCAGCAAGAGCCATTCTCAAAACCACCGAAGAGAGTCATTTTGCATCGGCTTAAACAGTCGAGGGTTTAAGATATGTAGTATTGCGATTAAGGAATCTGGATTAGATTTGTTATGTATGTTTAAGGGAGTTCAGGTGGACTTATTCTAAGGCGGGGAAGACAAAGAGGTGTATCGCGCGCGCCGTCGGCCTTCTTGTCCGTAATGGACTGCCAGTCCAAACGAACACTTATGGGCCTCGCAGAGTACGTCGCAGGCGAGTTGGGCCTCGGCCTTGTCCGCGCACATGACACATCGCCTCGTCAGTGTCGCAGCAGCAGGGTCAAGCCGAAGCGCTACCCATGGGTCGCCTCACCTCCCCCGCCGCCGCCGGAACTCAAGCCGGCGAGGCGGAAGCGGAGCGGCCGGGATCCCGCCGAAGCTGCGGAACGGCAAGTGGGCGGGGCATCTGGTTCAACGGCGGATCTCGCCACGGGGAAGCCGAACCTCGCCGCTGGGTTGGGAGGTAAAATACAGTTCGTCGCCTCTTATGATGGTTGATTTGTTTTCGGTAGAATACAAAACCATCCTTTTTTCGCAGATAAACATCCTTTTCCGGCGATGCGGAAGCGGTGCGACCAGATCCTGGCGACGCTGCGGGAAGGACAAGCGGAGCATCTGGTTCAACGCCCCCGTGGAGGTCGACCGCCTCGGGCTCCACGACTACCACACCGTCATCAAGTGGGAGATTACCCTGGAGGAGAAGAACTTGCTGAGGGTTGGGTTGGAGAGCTTGCCAGAGAAGAAGATGCATAATGTGCTGCAGATTGTGCGGAAGAGGAACGGCAATCCTGAGCTGGTTGGGGGTGAGATCGAGCTGGATATTGATGAGATGGATGTCGAGACACAGTGGGAGCTTGATCGATTCGTCAACAACTTCAAGAAGGCGCTCAACAAGAGTCGACGGGCTGCCATTGTTAATGGTGAAAATGCCGATGTCATTGATGCTTCCGTGGCTAATGATAGTTATGTGCTGGTGAATGGCAGTACCGCTACGATGGTGGACAACGGTGACGTGGCAATGGCAATAGTAAGCAGCATGCTTTGTTCTTGGTTGCTATTAGCTTATGTGTGAAATGAGCTCTTATAATGGTTAATGTGTTTTGTTGTTTACAGGAGAGCAAGGATCCTGACAAGATCACTACACAGGCCGAGCAGTTGGATGAGTATGTAGATATCGGGGATGAAATGCCAACAGCAACTCTTTCTCTTAATATACATCGGCCGGTTATTCGCCGGCCCGGCGAAAAAAATGCCAACAGCAACTTACCAATCAGTGGAGATTGAGAAGGATACTGAGGTCGCGAGCGGTGGGTCCTCATCACTGCCACTTTATAATTAGAACAACCAACTTCTTGATGAATGGAAATTTTTGTGTTGTGTTCTATCTGATTTATGTTATTTGTTCAGATTCGGGGAGCTCAAAGGACAGCGTCTCAGAATTTGGCAATGCCCTTTCTCTGGTGTAAGGTGGCCAATCTAACAGTAGGATACGAGTAGGTGGATGGTAAATTTCCTTGTGTGATTGGTGCTGTGGATACACCAAAGTGTTGGTGTTTTGTAAGTTGATTAAGGGTGTGTTTTTCCACGCCAAAATTGGAAGTTTGAAGAAATTGGAACGATATGACGGAAAAGTTGGAAGTTTACGTGTGTAGAAAAGTTCGATGTGACGAAAAAGTTGAAAGTTTGAAGAAAAAAGTTGAAATCTAAACAAGGCCTAAGAGGAGTCGGTATCTGCTTGGATTTAGTCAAGATAGTTTGTAGTGAGTGAACTGGCTTTGTGGGTGTTCTGATAGTGCAGGTGTCCTTTGTACATATAAGTGAAAAGTGGAGATTACGGTAGCCATTTACTGACTGGTAGTTCACCAGGCTTTCTGATCTGAAGAAGTGGCTGTCTATTCTTCTCAATGCAGTTGTATTGTTGAGATTTGCTCCGGTCCATCAAAAAGTACCTTGAAGTATCAGTACCTCATGATACCAAATCGTTTCCAATCGTTGGATCTAAAAATATCTATCCTGCCCAGTTAGATCCAACGTTTGGAAACGATTTGGTACCGGGCCGGAGCAAGTCTCTTAGAGCATCCCCAGCAGTAGCGCTATCCCGTCCTCCATCCCATTTTTGGCGTATAGAAGGGGAAAAAGGGGCCAGCAGAGGCTCCATCACACACGCCATATTTGGAGGTCCTCCAAACGGAGACCTTCACAAGCCAAATATGGCGGTTCTCTCTCCTCACGTCATCCTCCAACTACCCATGTTCCAATCCAACTTATGCCACCATCAAGACTACTGGAAGTGACGGAAGAAAGGAGGTGTGTACCGGAACTCGCGGTGGAGATCGCTGGTGTAGGTGGAAAGGCAGCGGATTTGGCGGAGAGGCCCGCGCCCGCCGTCGCCCCCGCCGCTCGGCCGTCCCAGCCATCGCCGCCGCCCGCAGCTTTGCCCCCGCCGTCCCAGGCATCGTTGCCGCTCGTAGCTTCTCCCACGCCCTCTCCGGTTGTNCCGTCCCNGCCGCCCCTCGCCCNGCCCGACCATCACCGGCCCCTCACCCNGCCNTGGCCATGCCGTCCCCGTCCCTCTCCCNGCCCNGACCCNGCCCCNTCGCCACCGCTCCCTCGATGTAGAGTAGTAGTACTAGTAGAAGAGAGAAGGAATAGTTCAGCAGTAGTACTAGTAGAGAATAAATATAGTAGTAGATGTTACTTGCATTGCTTTTATACTCATTTTAAATATATCCGTTAAAATTTACTCATTTCTAAATATTATCGTGATAAATAACACCGTTAAATTAAGTCATTCAAAATATATCCCTTCAAATACAAATGTAAAGTTAGTTGGAAGATATTATTAAAATATAGAAGGATGTGATATGGAAGATACAATTTTAATGATCTTACATACCTAACTAATTTTATGTTTGGATGCTATATACCTAGATTCAAAATCTAACAAAAACATGTTTAAATTCAGTTCAAACTTGTTTTGAACTAGTTAGTAAAGTAGTTAATGTTAATACCTAAACATTTAAAAAAATTTCATACTCATTTGAATTGGGTATATACTCAATTTCAATCATGGTGCCCAGGCACCATGGAGCACCAAACAAATTTACTATATGGACACACACGCTGTAGGATACTCTCCTACAATATTTTTCCTTAAAAAAAGTTGATCCAGAGAAACAACATGTAGTTATATGGCACTTGAAATGGAGGAAAATATACAGTGCCAACCACGTATACAGAGGAAACCTAAAAACTATTGTTGGATTTAAAAATGAACATCTAATATTTGTCCATATCATCAATAGTACAAATTTTACTCCCAATAAAATTTTTACTCATAGTTGAATCTGGGAGTTTTTTTTTTTTTACTTTTAGTGACATGGACAAATATCAAACATCCATTTATGGATCCAACGGTAGTTTTCACGTTTTCACTACATATATAATTTGCCTTACATATTTTCCCCTTGAAATGGTCCTGAACAGGTCACTGCGGCGGTGATATGTATAGCAGCTTGAACGTCTTAACAGAAAATACTTACTCCTAAATGTATAGCTTAGAAAGGTGTGTGCCGAACTGCCGGTATCATTTGGGCTGGTGGAAAAAGGTGTGCTTATCAAGCCACCCAATAATTAATCCACATATTCATCATCAATCAGTTGATACCATCAGCTTGCTTTCTAGCATTCTGCAATGGTCAGCTAGCTCTTTGCTGCAATTGCTGATATGCAATTCTTCCAACGAAGGTGGGAGACCCTTCTCTGGCAGCCTCATGATGCTCTTGCAATTATCGATCTTCAACCTCTTGAGGGAAGGAAGGTTATGCAGCCCTGTAGGAAGATCTACAAGACTGTCATGAGACTTGAATTGGAGCTCTTGCAAGGACGTGAGGAGCTGAAGCGCTCTCTCTTGCTCATCCGTTAGTCTTGCCACTTCGACTCCACGAATGTAAAGGTATGGATCTCCGTAAAGCTCTAGGAATTGGACTGAGATGAGGTGCTGGCAGAGCGACGTAGTAAGGATAGAGAGGTCATCGATCTGGAGCCTTTCCAATCGAGGGCATAGCTCATAGCCCTGCCCTGACAAACTCTCCAAACATAGAGGCAAGCTAGGGCATCTAAATACTTCCAAATGCCTGAGGCTGTGGAGGGATTGCAAGCCCACTAATGTAGCAAGCGATGCACAACCTTCAATCTTCAAATGTTCGAGTGCAGTGCATGACATCAGTTCTAGAGATTTAAAACTTGTAGTGCCTGATACTCGTAATTTTTTTAGGCAGGTGAGATTCCTTGGAAAGAATGGCTGCAGAGTTTCTTGAAAATACTCGTCGATATCAAGTTCCTCAATTGATTGCGGAAGGAGACACCTTTCATCTCCTCCAAGATCGCCGAGGCATCTGTATGCCCGCAGCAACCTGAGGTTGCAGAGTGATTGCAAGCCTTGTAGAGAATTAAGTGACCTACAGCTTTGAATTATCAACTCTTGGAGCTCTGTGCAGGAATGCAGCTGCAGAGATGTTAAATTTGGGTTTCCCTGTACTTGTAGTCTTTTCAGGTGGGTGAGGCTCCCTGGAAAGCAGGGCTGCAACATTTGTAGATAATTATCATCTTGAATCTCAAGTTCTACAATTGATGGCGGGAGGAGCCATCTTCCGTTCACCTGCTCATCCTTTCTGTTGTTATGCACCAAGGACGAGATCAGCTCAGGGCATCGCGAAATTGCTATGCCCTCAAGGAAGGTAAATCTAGCGAAACCTTCCTTGTTTCCATAAAATCTTAAACTGCAGAATCTAATAGTTACCTTCTTCAGAGATGGGATGAGATTTAATGGAAGGTGCAAAAGTTCGTCTCGACTTGGATATCCTGACGACGAAGCCTCTGTAGCTGACATAAGATTTGGATGACCATTTTCTTCCTCTCCTATTGATAGCCCTCTTATCTGCCAACACGAGGTTATACTCAATTTCTGTAGGACCTCCGCATGTTGCAGCATCAGAGATAGCCACTTCCCATTAATTCCACAAGAAGCAATATCAAGACATTCGAGAGAAGGGAGGGCGTTGCGATTTGCACCTGTCGTGTCTTCACTGGTAAGCTCCGATGGGACATTTGAAGAGAAAAGTTGTGGGCAGTTGTATATCCCCAAACTCTTCAAACGCAAGAGTTGCCTTAAACTTTCAAATAAAACAGACATAAGGTTTTTGCAACCATCTATTACCAATCTAGTTAGGGACCTCAAGCTATGGAATGATAGAGATTTATCATCCAATATCATTAGCTCTAAAATATCATCGGAATCAAAACTGAAAATATCATTAGGATGACGTCCAATTCTTAATGTTCCGTGGGATGACCCCTCCACCCTTGGAAGTGTTGAAACTCCAGCGATAAATAATTCCGAAACAATAGTTGAAGGCGGAAGAGGATTGTGCACATGCAAATGAGGACAATCATTGATGGTAAGCTTGGTAAGACTAGACAACCATGACATTCGCTCGATTTTAAATTGCTGGGAGTTCTGAAACAGTGGAAAGACCTTCAGAACAGGGCACTGTTCAATCTTCAGGACCCTTAAACTGGAATTCAAGTCCCCCATGGAAGTGCAGGAGCACGTGTGTGTTAAGAGTATTGAGGGTATTATAGACATTTCTACTTCTCTCGTACATATTTATATGCTCTTTGAGCTAAGTCAATTGCAATAGTTGAAATCCCCAATTTCTATCTTCTCTCCAAAAGTGACATGGTATCAGAGCAAGGGAGCAAACCCTAGCCGTCGATCCGAGTCCACGCCGGCACGCCGGCGGCGGCTCGCCGCCGGCGAGCCCAACTAACCCGTCCACATCCTCATTGAGTAGTAGTAAGTGCAACAGCACCGTCGTCAGCTCAGTCCCATTCATCCCTCGTCAAGCAGCAAGCGAAGCAGAAGAAGCAAAAGCAGCAGCAAAGGTTCTAGCAGCAGCACCACTTCCTCGTTCTCCTGTCATCAAGTCCATCGACAGCCCATCGCGGCGGAAGTCGCGGTCATCGCCGCCGGTCGCGGCGCCATCCGTCCCGCCCAGATCTGGGCCGCCGCCCGCCGCATCAAAGGCAGTCGTCATCGCTGATTGTTGCTTTCTCGTCTTCAAGCGGCAGCAGCAGCGAGCTTGTCGTTCTCCAGTTCATCTCCAATGAGCAAACAAACAGGAGCAGCAATCAGCCAATCAGTGCCCCCGTCGCGGGTGCTCGTCCTCCGCCGGCCAGGCCCTCGTCGTCCATTGCGGCAAGCCGCTGCCGTCCACCCATCGAGCCGGCCAGCCGCCGATGCTCGTCGTCATCATCTTCTCATCGTCCCAGGCTATTCCTGAACTTCAGATCCACATCAACCCCTCTCTCCGTCTTTGTTTTTTCTGTTGCGTGTAAGCTCATGGTCAAGCAGCAACAGGATAGATAGGAGCAGATTTGAGGCTCTTGGACTCTTTGGTTATGCAGCTGGGTTACAGCTAATTAGTGATTGAAGAATGGGTTCCTGCTACTGTCATTGTTCTTTTTGCAGCCGCTACTATCGATAAGCCTTCAAATCAATTTCATGTCTTGGTCATCAATTTACTATATTTCGTATCAAGTCCATCCAAGTCCAATACTCCAATGCATATCCTTTAATTTGTTGAATCTGCACCAGTTCATCTCTTTTGCTACTACTTAGTGTCTGCTACTATCATTGAGTCAAATTTCTCTACAATTTATCGAGTCAATCCAAATCCATTGCTTACCCTCAATTCGTCAAAGTCATGCCAGTTCATCTCTTCATCGTCTTTTCTACATCACCAACTCGCTGTCAGAGTTGGCTTTAATCATCACCAGTTCCCCGTCGGAGCTGGCCTTCATTGTCACTTCATCATCTCCATGTCGGAGCTTGTCAACATGATCATCATCACTCAGTGAAGGTCCGAAGAACAGTTTGTGAAGGACCTTCATCAACATCAATGTCTCATCATCAGTCAAAGGACCGAAGAACAGTTTGTGAAGGTCCATTGTCATCATCATCATCATCAACATCTCCGAATCAATGAAGAGCCGAAGAACAGTTTGTGAAGGCTCCAAGGTCCAGTTCATTGAGAAGGGGATACATCTTTTCTTCTTCATCATCCTAGAATTGGCACACTTCGACGACATCATCAAGGCTTTGGAGATAGGCTAATATTTGGATTGTGTTCTAGTGTTTAGTTTACCTTTCAAATGCAATGTTATTGCATACACATTGCATTTGAGTGGGGGTGTTAAGAGTATTGAGGGTATTATAGACATTTCTACTTCTCTTGTACATATTTATATGCTCTTTGAGCTAAGTCAATTGCAATAGTTGAAATCCCCAATTTCTATCTTCTCTCCAAAAGTGACAGTGTGAAGCTTTTGCATTCCAATTAGAATAATCTCCTCCGGTGAACGAATTGAGAGTACCGATGCATTCTTCATCTTGATCAACACAAGCTTTCTAAGTAGTGATAGCCTTTCTAAAGAAAGTCTTTGCCATTCTCCACAATTTTCTAGACGGAGTGTTTGCAGATGGGTAAGTGAAGTGGCAAGCCAAGTTGGTGCTTTAGCTCCATTGTACCAAGATATCCATAGATACTTGAGGTTGCGATGTGGTTCAAGACCTTCAAGCACCTCACTTGCTGTGTCTGGAATATGATCTAAACTAGGGACATCATTGCTATCAGTCGTTTGCAGTCTCTCCTCTTCTGTTTCTGAGTGCATAGAAGGTTCGGGTATCATGTTACCATCGCATTCATTTTCAGAGTTCATATCACTGTCACTATAGCTCAAATCACTGTCGTATTCATTGTAGTTCCCGTCACTGTCATATCCATTCCGTACACCCTTCCAGAACAAATGTAGTCTCTCCAAGTGATGTTTGTCTTTCAGGCTTGCGCCACTGGCTTCCTGCTTAGTTGTAACGTTTTCAAGTCGAGACACACCCAGTTCTACAAGCTCGCTCATGCGTTGAAGTTGTGTTATCTCAAAGCCAATAGAATTCTCAACCTTGAAATTTGTTAATTCCTGAAGTGAGGTCATTTCACCAATGTTAGCAATAGAAGACCAAACTCCCTTTTGTGCAACAAGATGCTGAAGGCTGACAAGATTATTTATTTCTTCAGGTATATTGGGAGTTCCACATGAGCCAATATGTAGTACTTGAAGATGGTAACACTTGCTTAGAGCTTGGGGCAAAGTTCGCTGGGTCTCGTTCTCAAGTCCCAGATAACGGAGATGTGTACAGTATACCAAACTGGAAATAAAATAATCAAAATCAGCATACATTGAAGTGATCTGCAGCAGCCGCAAGTGTTTTGCCTCCTTGAAAGCATCTTGGAAGGATTTGAGAAAATGAGAGTCATATTCCCCAATAAATACCAAGGTCTTCAACTTACTTCTTGATCTAACTTTCAGCAACCTTCTCTCAAACTCCTCATTACGAGAAAAATCTCCATCTTCATACTTGTTGTATGCAGAATCGGTCAATATTGACACATGACGAATAGTTGATGGTAGCTCTTCGCACTCTGACCCATCTATGGTTGCAAATTCTGATTGTGAAACCAATTTTGCTAAATCATGCATAAGATCGTGCATAACAAAATGTTCTGATGTTCTTTCAACATGCTGATAGAAACCAGAGTCCACCAACTCAGCTAGATATTTCCTACCTTTCTGCTCCAACCTCTCACTGGATTTTTCTACAAATCCTTGAGCAATCCATATTTGTATCAGTTGTTCTTTACTGAAAGAGTAACCCTTGGGGAAAAGAGAACAATACAAGAAACATTGCTTTAACTGGTAGGGAAGCATATCATAGCTACGCTTCAAACTTGGCATGATGCCTCCACTGAGCTGCATGGATTTCCAGTCTTCGGTCTTGAGAATATTATTCCAATGCTCAACTGTGTGATGCTCACGTAATAGTTCTCCAATATTTTCTGCTTCTAAGGGGTTCCCATCTAATTTATCTTCTATTTTCTGCCCCATGATGCTTAGACTTCCACATAGTTCGTGGTTCTCATCACCAAATGCACATTGTTTGAATAACATCCAGGAGTCTTCCTTTTCCAAAGCACCTAACTCAATTGGTTTAACAGTGCCAATCCTTTTTGCAACAGACCATATTCTAGTTGTCATAATAATCACATTTCCCTCTGCATTGTTAGAATTGAAAGGAGCCAACAATTTGTTCAATCGGTAATTATTCATATCATCCCAGACATCATCTAATACAAGTAGATACCTCGTTGGTTTCATATGGCTTTTCAAGATCTCTTGAAGCTTAGAAAAGTTGCATGATCCTTCCTGTTTTTTTTGACAGACAACATCTAGCATCTCTCTCGTTAGTTGCTCTTCGTCAAAGTTGTTAGACAGCCACACCCAGATCATTTTGTCCTCAAATAAACTTTTCACATCTGGATCATTGTATACGAATTGAGCGAGAGCCGTCTTGCCAATACCTCCAATCCCAACAATAGGGATAACAGTTACACCATCAGATTTGGCTTCTGTTATCATCTTTATGATGGAGTTCTTCTCATCAACTCTACCGTACATTTTCCTTTGGAGAAGGCTCGATGTTTTTAGGCGTGAATCAGAAGTTGTATTATGATGGAAGTTTGAACTCACAAAATTGTCCGATCCACGTAGCTTCATAACCTCATTCATGGCCTCTTGTAACTGATGAGTCATTTGTTGGATCGTGTTGGAAAGTTCAGTCTTGTTCCAAGGGTGCATACTAGCAGCCACGTTGTCTGCTGATGCACCCTCGGTTCTCATCCTTTTTCTGCCGACTGAATTACCAGCTGCAAATGAATTTGCTCCGCCCTCGCTGGCACTACAAGAAGAACATGATCTGTGTTTTAGGAGAAATATTTGAGTTTTCAGTAATTGATTGATTCTAGTTTTTTTTTAAAGTACTACCACCTCGGAGGGTTTGGCGGTTGATCAGTTGCTCCACGTGTCCTTTTACATTTGCCACTTTTGCGGTGATTGTGCAAAACCGAAGTCCCATTGTCGGAGCCGCATTTGACCACCGTGCCACAGTCGACACACCTGGCTTTCGCATTATTTTCCACGCTCTCAAAGTGCTGCCATATCCCGGACCGTCTTTTGCCACCGCTGCCGCTCGCTTCACCAACCTTGCCCCTCCGAGGTCTCCCTGTTTGCTCTGCTCCATGCCCATCCGCGCTTTCATCAGGGTCGCCGTGCCATGCATCTGAACCAAAAAGTAAACTATGCCATGTAAAAGAGGAAGGGATCTGGAAATCAACGTACGCCGTGCTCCATGGCGTTAGAAGTATAGATATATAGTTAGAGATAAGAGTCAAATATAAATTATAGAGATAAGATATAATCCTAAAGATAAAATAGAGTCCTAGATATAAATCTACTCTTGTATTGTACTTCAATGTACTCCTATATATAGAGTCCTAGAGATAAATCTTCTATGTATTTTTATATATACTCTATGAGAGAGTCGATGTAATACAATAGAATACAACAATTAGATTTTCTGCAAATGGATGCGTATGTCTTGCATACATGCTTTACCTCCTCGTTGGACCTGATGCTGGAGCCTGTGGTAGTCGATCTCGTCGATCGCGTCGTCGGCGTCGTAGAGCAGCTCCCTGAGACGACGGAGCGATCGGGCCAGCGACCTGTTCCAGATCGCCCTCCCCTTCACGGCAGCCACCACCCCATCCACCCTCTCGATCTCAGACCTGAGCTTCTTCGTGTCATCGGCGAGCCCAACCTGGCGAATCCAGTCATCCAGCTTGTCGGCGTCCAGGTTCTCCAGGATGGTCTCCGCCAGCCACCCGATCCCGCCCTCCAGCAAACCGGCTTCCACCTCCTCCATCAGACGCGGCAGCCGGCAGAACAGAGGCAGTTCCTCGATCGGCGATCGCCGATGGCGTGACCGTGTGAGCACGACAAGAGGATGGGGAAAGCGGACTAGCAGGTGAAGTGGAAGACAGATTACTGTGCGAGGAATTAAGTACAAGGAGAGGACAGATTACTGTGCGAGTAGCTAGCAGACTAGTAGCAATGTTCATCAGCTATTCGGTTCGCAGCGACGACGCGCTAGGCTAGCTGACCCCGGTGGCTACCGACTTTGACGGAGGAGTCGTCCTCTTCTGGTTGATGGGCTAGTCCAGTTAGGTCGGTGATGGGCAAGCCCAGATAATCCTCATAGAATTGTCCTTTGTCAGGCCCAACCGTCCAAAAGGAGCAACGCAACGCTTGGGCGATAATGGCGACCGACGCCGCGACGGTAAGCACAAGACAGAGAGGATCGGGGGTTTTCGGGGAGAAGGCAAGCAGAAGAGCTATATACAAGTTTCTTCGCCCTAAAATAAAATATAAGAGATGTTAGGTAGATATCACTTTTACTACGAATCTGAATAATTCAAAATAACGTTCGTAAAAAAAATATAATTCAAAATTCCTTATTTGTAATGTTTTGAAAATGGTTGGAATGTTTTGTTTGTAAACTTGGGTAAAGTTCGGTAAATGGTGATGAGATGATGGAGAGTGGTGATGATCTACCTTAAGGGGTAGATGCGTGTTATTTATTCATTCACATTACAAGTTTTACTTACTCTATACTATCGTTATAAAATTTCGTTGCGAAACATGTTGTGAACTAAAATTGGCATTTATGCAAATTAACCTATACACAGCTTATCTTTGAATATGGCCAACATGTAGTATGCTAGGATTGTTTTCCGACTTGCCAGTACATTAATTTGATTAATGTACTGATTTCTTGCTTTCTTTTACTTGTTTATGCTCAGACCCCGCTGCAGGTAATGACTGTTTGGATGGGGAGTTTGATGCAGCTTGTGATGTTGCAGATTTCCAGGATGGTTCTAACTAGGGATTTACCCTAGTCGATTTGCCTATGGGCTTTTGGGTAGCACGCTTACCGCATGAACCAATATTTATGGCTTGTCGCCAAGTACTACTTAGAAACTTATTAAGATTATTTATGCTTATTGCTTAGAACCACTTATTATTTGGATATCATGCTTGAGATGATTTATGTGAGAATATGTTGCATTCCTGGGCAACTAGTCCCACATGAGGATGGGTTTGAAATGGTTGAGATAACCGGGGAATATGTCTTTGTTGAGATCGAGTCTCTGGGGTACGCTTTTGGTCGCCACCATTGAGTGGTTGACGGGCGTATGACATAGATGACTGGTGTGGCTATTCCAATGGTTGTCTTCTATTTCATATCCGATGGCTTAGAGCCTATGTAGTGCACTCTTCAAGACATGTCGGGGTCTGCGATGAGGTTGGATGGTTACCGTATTTATTTGGACTTTATTTGAGACCCCATCCATCCAGATATTTCGCGCTGACATGCCTTGGAGCATTGCACCACCTAGACTTTGGGACGTCCTCACACACCACTACCATCCTTTAGTAGAAAACACCCTCTCAAAAGGTTTTTTTTATGACGTGACACATTCGTTGATGTGTTGTAACGGTCGCACGGAGGAACGCCGGTCATTTTACAGGCAGCCAGGGCAACAAGAGGGCTGCCTATAAAATAGAGACCTATAATATTTTGTAGGCGCTTCCCTTGTAGCTCTATAGGAGGGCGATAAGGGAGCTGCCTATAACAAAAGCCCTAGATATTTTGTAGGCGGCCCCCTTCACCTCTTTGGAAAGACGGCAAAAGGATTGTCCGCAAAATGACATGCCACCTTCCATATGGTCGTTAGCATATGTCAACGGCCGTGTGCCACGTCATAAAAAAGTCCGACGGTAGAGGTGCATATTTGTAAAACTTTAAAATAAAAAAGTTGTAAATATTTTAATAATAAATAAAATTTTAAAAAATCCGAGTTTTGCATGGTATTTCCCGACAGGGCCCATCTTGTTACCAGGCCATCCCATTCGGAAGGCCGGCAGCGGAGGCCTGGTACGAGGCCCGCTCGATGTCGGAGTGCCTAGCGGGCGAGATGGGCCAAGTCCTCGCTCTCGTCTATCCATCTCTCCGCATCGACAAGACGACTAGTCGCCGGAAGCCCGGATCAGAGCCAGCCTCACCGGGACGGGACCTCCCCCGCCACCGCCCACCGCCGAGGATCCAGGCGGCGATGCGGCAGCGGTGCGAGCGGGATCCTGCCGAGGCTTCGGAAGGACAAGCCGGAGCATCCGAGCATCTGGTTCAACAGCCTGCCCTCAGTGGAAGTCGTGCGCATGGGGAAGGCGAACCTCAGGTAATCTGACAAGGTTTAGACTTCTACTAGTAAATCTGCGACGCTGTTCATCTTCCTGAGATATCAAGTTCACCAAAAAAAACAAAAACTTGTGCATTGCGGATATTTCTGGCTTAGTACAACAGAAGTCATAGTATAGGTTCATAGCGCAGAATTACAGATTAAAATACGAAACACCGTAACAATACATGATTACAAAAAAAACAACATTAGGATGGGGTTCTAAGGTGAGACAATGCTAGTGCAGAGTTTGGCACGTGAAAACCAATATCTGATACTTCTGGCTTCTCTGTAATGAACCACATGATTGGCCTTTTCGCCAGGTTAACCAAAGCCAGCTAGCTCTGCGATAATTAATCCACAGGAGAACACAGGGACGCCAAGAAGTTAGAACACTTCTGTCGACGAGTGATACTCGTAGACCGGATAATTAGGGTATTGGGGTACGTTGCAACGAGGATCTACGTAATACGACATCAAGCAAACAGAAGACAGAGATTATACTGGTTCAGGCCCCTTGTCAGGTAATAGCCCTAGTCCAGTTTATATGGGATTGATGATGGAAAATCACAGATTACAATGGAAGTAGACGAAATCGATGGTATCGACGAGATCGTAGTCGATGTATTCAACAAGACCTCCCGGTGAGTTGGCTCCGCGTACTTCGGCTTTGTAGGCTGTGTGGGTGTGTTGGCAATAAGATTCGATGCCTTGCGACCCTTCCGGGGGGTCCCTTTTATACCGTGGATCATCTTAACCTCCAAGTAAAGCAGCTTGTAGTTATATGGTACTCCAATTCAAAGCGGTCACTGCGGTAGTGATAGGTATAGCAGCTTGAATGCCTGAACACAGAATGCTTAGTTCAATACTGACACTAAGCACACGTCAAGTCTGAAGATAGCATGATGGAAGATAGAACTATTCCATCATGTTATCAAGCCATCCAGTAATCAATTCACATATTTCTGATTGATTTTGACCTTCAGCTTGCTTGGAAGCATTCTGCACTGGTCATTTAGCTCTTCACTGCAATCATTGATATCCAGTTCTTCTAGAGAAGGTGGGAGGCCCTTTTCAGGCAGCCTCGAGATGTCCTTACAATAATAGATATTCAACCTCTTGAGTGAGGGAAGGCTGTACAGATCAACGGGAAAATCTCCGAGGTTGCGGCAACACGTAAATGAGAGCTCTTGCAGGGATGTGAGGAGCTGAAGCGCGATGTCTTGCTCATCTGTTTGTCTCACCAATTCCCAGTTGCAAGCGAAAAGCGTTAGGCGTTGGAGGGAGGTGAGGTGCTTGCAGAAAGATGTGGTAAGGACAGAGGCGTCTTGGATCTTGAGCCTTTCCAGTCGAGGCAAAAGCTCCTGGACCTGCTCTAATGAACTCCACAACCATTGTGGCAAGATGGGGCATCCCCATATAATCAAATTCTTGAGGCTTCGCAGGGATTGCAAACCCTCTAGTGTGGCAAGCGATTCACAGTTTACAATCTCCAACTCTTCGAGTGCCGTGCAGGATTGCAACTGTAGATATTTTAAACTTAAAGTGTCCATAACAGATAATTTTTTGAGGCGGATGGGGTTCCTTAGAAAATCAGGCACCACTTCTTCTGGTAAATCATAACCTCTGAGCTCCAGTACTTCAAGTGATAGTGGGATGAGCTTTATGTTCTTCCGCTCATCGTATCCATTACCATGCACCAAGGACGAGAGTAGCTTGGCGCCATTCATAATTCGTAGACTCTCAAGGGAGGTGAGTTTAGCGAAACCTTCATCGTTCCCATTATATGTTAGACCAGGGCAGTCACCAATATATATGTGCTTCAGAGAGGAGATGAGATTTAACGGAATGCGCACAAGTCCATCTCGAGCTGAGCTTGTTGGCGAGTCACCTTGATGTCCTAATGACAAAGTTTCTGGAGTTGACATAAGATTTGGTTGACTGCTTTCTTCCTCTCCTATCGATAGCCCTGTTATCTGCTCGCACTCATATAAATCTAAGTCCTGTAAGGCCTGCGCATATTGCAGTATCAAAGATAGCCACTTCCCCGTTATTCCACAGGCAGCAATAAAGAGATATTCAAGAGATGGGAGGGCATTGTGATATGTAGCTGCCATGTTCTCACGTACAAGCTCTGGTGGCATATTGGAAGAGAAAAGTTTTGGGCAGCCGCGTATTTCCAAAGTCCTCAAATATATGAGTTGCCTCAAACCTTGCAATGAAATGGACGTGAGATTTTGGCAACCTGCTATTAACCAATTCAGTTAGGAACCTCAGGTTATGGAATGACAATACTTTGTCGTCTAGCGTTATCAGCTGATCAGAAGGCTCATCAATAACCGAAGGATCATCAGAATCATCGAGAACCCCGATTCTTAATATTCCTCTGGACCACTCAACCGTTGGAAGCGTTGAAACTCCGGTGATGGATAATTTTGAAACATTAGTTGAAGGCGGCAGAGGATTGTGGACATGCAAATGGGGACATTTATGGATGACAAGCTTGCTAAGACGGAACAACCAAGATGGCTGCTCGATTTTAAATTGCTGGCAGTTATCAAACAACGGAAAGACCTCCAGTGCAGGGCACGTCTTAATCATGAGAACCCTTAAATTGTCGTTCAAGTTCCTGATTGAAGTGCAGAAGCATCTCTTCAACTTTGGCATTTTAATCAACACAAGCTCCTCCAGTGAACAAATTGAAACTTCTACAACATTGCTCATTCTGATCAATACAAGCTTCTTAAGTAAACATAGCCTTTCCAGAGAAAGTATTTGCCATTTTCCACAATTTTCTAGATAAAGTGTTTGCAGAGATGTAAGTGAAGTTGCAAGACAAGTTGGGGAGGTAACTCCATTATGCTTGAGGCTATGATGTGGTTCAAGACCATAAATTACCTCATTTGATATTATGTCTGTAAAATATTCTGAACTTGGGGAACCGTTGCTATCACTCGATGGCAGTTCCTCCCCTTCTGTTTCCATGTCCATAGAAGGTTCAGAACTCATATCACTGTCGTATCCATTTACATAGCTCACATTACTGACATATTCATTGGGAGTTGTACAAGAGCCAATATCTAGTACTTGAAGATGGTAACACTTGTCGAGAGCTTGGGGCAAAGCTCCTTCGCACTCTTCGTTCTCAAGTCTCAGATACCGGAGATGTATATAATTTACCAGATTGGAAAGAAAAAGAATCAAAATTAGCATATGTCGAACTCATCTGCAACAGTCGCAAATGCTGTGCCTCCTTGAAAAGATTTTGGAAAGATTGGAAGAATAGAGAGTCATGTTGCCCAATTAACACCAGTGTCCTCAACTTACTCCTTGACATAACTTTCAGCAATCTTTTCTCAAATTCTTCATTACGAGATATGTTTCCATGTGGATCCTCAGAGTACGCAGAGTCAGTTACAATTGACAAATGGCGTATACTTGGCGCTAACTTTTCACACTCTGATCCATCTATAGTTGCACACTCAGTTTTTGAAACCATTCGTGCTAAATCATGCATAAGATCGTGCAGAACAATATCTTCTGATGAAGGCCACTCATTTTCAACTTGCTGAAAGAAACCAGAATTCACCAATTCAGCTAGATATTCCCATCCTTTCTGCTCCAACTTCTCACTGGATTTTTCCACAAACCCTTGAGCAATCCATATTTGTATCAATTGTGCTTCACTAAAAGAGTAACCTTTGGGGAAAAGAGAACAATAAGAGAAACATTGCTGTAAGTGGCTGGGTAGATGATCATAACTGAACTTCAATGTATGCATAATGCCATCAGTATGTTGCAGAGATTTCCATTCTTCGTTCTCTATAATGCTGCTCCAATGATCTACGGTAAGATTCCTTCGTAATAGGGAGCCCACAGTTTTTGCCGCCAATGGGTTGCCATTTAGCTCCTTAGCTATTTTCCTCCCAAGATTCTGTAAAATTGGATTATTGCTATGTTTATCACTACCAAAAGCATATGCTTTAAATAGTGACCATATGTCATCATCTTTCAGACCTTCCAAATTAATTGATCCTACCGTTCCACAAAGCTTGGCAGTAGTGTTTTTTCGAGTTGTCACAATGACCATACTGTTACCTGTCACTTTTTCCTTTGACGGATTAACATGATTAGCTCTTAAAGGAGCCAGTAGTTTGTTCCAACAGTCAGTAGTGACATCCCAGACATCATCCAAAACAATCAGGAACCTCTTGGATTTCATATTTTCCTCGAGATCCTGCTGAAGCATATTAAATGAAGTTTTGGGAATTTTTCTCTAGAAGCTTCACTACTTTTTTCATTTCTCTAACTCTGCTATATACATGTACATATGAGTAGTATATGGGCCTCATGGGCCAACACATACATAACTCAACACTCCCCCTCAAGATGGGCGATAGATATCTATCATGCCCATCTTGTTACACGATGAAGTACACTCCCCAACACTTAAAGCTTTTGTTAAACAGTCAGCTACTTGTTCCCCCGACATAACAAAACCTAGCTTCAAAATCCCTTCATCTAGTTTTTTCTTGATAAAAAAACGATCTATCTCCACATGTTTTGTTCGATCATGCTGAACTGGATTGTTAGCGATGCTAATAGCCGACTTATTGTCACACCACAACTTCATGGGAATATTCATTAGCAACTTTAACTCAGAAAGAAGATTTCTCAACCATAACAGCTCACTTAAACTCACTGACATTGCCCTGTATTCTGCCTCAGCAGTTGAGCGAGACACTACCGGTTGTTTCTTGCTCCTCCAAGAGACCAAATTGCCACCAACAAATACGCAGTAACCAGAGGTTGACCTCCTATCATCAAGGCTGCTAGCCCAGTCCGCATCACAGTAGCCCTCCACACCTAGATGTCCATTTTTCTTGAACCATAAGCCTTTTCCTGGGCTCCCTTTTAAATATCTCAGGATTCTATATACTGCGTCCATGTGACCACTTCGAGGGTCATGCATGTATCGACTAACAACACTCACAGCATAAGTTATGTCAGGTCTGGTATGACACAAATATATCAGTCGTCCCACAAGTCTTTGATATCTTTCTTTATTCACTGGATCTCCTAATTCAGCACATAACTTATGATTTTGCTCAATTGGTGTAGAGGCAGGTCGGCAACCGAGCATACCTGTGTCACAAAGTAGATCCAATACATACTTTCGTTGTGAAAGAACTATCCCTCTAGGAGATCTTGCAATCTCAATGCCCAAAAAATATTTGAGCTGACCAAGATCTTTGACTTCAAATTCTTTGCTTATATTCTCTTTTAACTGAGCTATTTCTTGAGTGTCATCTCCTGTAATAATTATGTCATCCACATATACAGCCAGGATGGCAATCTTCTTTCCACGGTGACGATAAAACAATGTATGGTCTCCATTGCACTGTTTGTAGCCCATGCCACACATTGCACGTCTAAATCTATCAAACCAAGCCCTTGGTGACTGCTTAAGGCCATACAAGGATTTCTTCAATCTCAATACCTTTCCTTTAGTTTGAGAGGTGGAAAAACCCGGTGGAATCTCCATATAACTTCCTCTTGAAGATCTCCATGCAAAAATGCATTCTTAACATCTAGTTGGTATAGTGGCCAATCAAAGTTAGCTGCACATGATATCAAGGTTCTCACTGTGCTCATCTTTGCAACAGGTGCAAAGGTTTCATCATAATCGATTCCATATGTTTGACTGTACCCTTTTGCCACAAGCCTTGCCTTGTACCTTTCTACTTTCCCAAGTGGATCTTGTTTTACAGCATACACCCACTTGCAACTAACCACCTTCTTACCTGTTGGAAAAGGTACAAGCTCCCAGGTCTTGTTCTTCTCAAGTGCTGACATCTCCTCCATCATTGCCTCATGCCACTTTGGATCATTCTTCGCTTCTCTCCAATCCTTTGGGATCACTATGGATTGTAATGATGCAATAAAAGCCCTATAGGCAGGAGATAAAGATGAATATGACACATAATTAGCTATGTCATTCCCATTTTCCTCCTCAACCTCCTCAAAGCCATATCTTATAGGGGGCTTTCCTGCCGTGCTTCTTATCCCTTTCCTATTAGCAATAGGCAAGTTAGATTCCTCTCCTGATATTTCACTCTCCTCTCCCCCTGTCTCGGTATTCTCTTGTATAGGATCTGACTGATAAGAAGATTGATCATTTATTTCATCAATGACTAGAGGTTGTTGATGTTGTTCTACCATCTCATTTCTATCAATTGTTAGAGGTTGTTGTTCTACCTGTTGTGTCTCCAAGGACCTTGGCTTTCTCCTTGTGTAAACCTGTAGATTTTCTTCTTCATGTGGTTTCCTCCAATTCTGCTCATGTGGGAGTTTGCCCATAGGGCATGGGATTGACCCAATAACAACCTTCGTCCTCTTTGATTCATCCCCTTCTTCCATTCCTAGTGATTCATTCACCCCTTCATACCTATCTTCACTCATGATTGGATTGTCAAGATCAGAAAACAAATAACTCAAATCTGTCATTTCTCCATAGAAAGGAATAGACTCTCTGAAGGTGACATCCATACTTACAAATGTTCGCCTCTCAGATGGACTCCAACATTTGTATCCTTTCTGACCAGATGAGTAACCTATAAATATGCACTTGATAGCTCTGGGATCCAATTTTCCCACAGAAGGTCTATGATCTCGAACAAAGCATACGCATCCAAACACCTTTGGTGGAACAATAAATTCATTACATCCAAATACCATCTCATATGGAGCCTTCATCCCAAGTATTCTTGATGGTGTACGATTGATAAGATATGTAGCTGTCATGACCGTCTCACTCCAGAGGAACTTTGGTACATTCATAGTATACATGAGTGAACGTGCCACCTCCAAGATATGGCGATTCTTTCTCTCAGCCACCCCATTCTGCGGTGGTGTGTCAGGACAAGAAGTTTGATGTAGTATCCCTTCTATCGAAAGGAAACTACCAAATTCGTTGTTCACATACTCTTTCCCATTATCAGTTCTGATAATTTTGACACATGTGTTGAATTGGTTTCTAACAAATGCGTAGAAGTCCTTGAAGCATTTTAGTACTTCATTTTTATGTTTCATAAGATATATCCAGGTCATTCGGGAGTAACAATCAATAAAAGTCACAAAGTACTTCATTCCACTCACCGAGACAATAGGGGAAGTCCACACATCAGAGTGGATTAACATAAAGGGTGATATGCTCCGAAGTCCTCTGCTTATATATGTAGCTCTTGTATGCTTTCCATATTCACATGCATCACATACTAGTTTGCTTCTGTCCACCTTACTCATCTCATCAGGATATATCTTCCTCATAGTTTCAAAACACATATGGCCCAATCGACAATGCTGGAGAATCAATCTAGCTTCCTCTTCACTTGTACCAACTGGCAATGCACTACATAGTGCTTTATTTGTTCCGCTTCTATCTAAGTACCACAATCCGTTCTGGCTAATGCCAATCCCAAGCTTCCTTCCTGTTCTTCTCTCTTCTATTAGGCAATTTTCTCGATCAAGAGTTACCCGACAATTCATATGGTCAACCACAGAACTTATTGATACCACATTAACTGGAAAGGAGGGAGCATATAACACTGATGATAATGTAATGGATGGAGTGCACTGTACTCTTCCCACACCTTTGATAGGCTGTGAAGTACCATCGGCGGTCTGAACAGTTTCTTTATATGTGGGTGGATATGGAGTAAATGACACAAACTCACTTGGGATACCTGTTACATGTCTAGATGCTCCAGAGTCTAATATCCAGGTTGAGTGAGGTACCTGCATCTGCATGGGATGCGCGAGGTTGACAAGGTTTCCAAGAACTGTTGTTTTCTCCCTCTCCTTCCGTATTCTTTCCCTTATTTCTTGTATTTCTACAGCCATTTTCGCAAGCAGTTGTTCAATTCCTTGACTTCCCTCCATTCCTTTTTTTTTTTTTTACAAACTCACTCTATTCTAACACCTTGAAGACAACGTCCCCTGGTTTTCTTTCCTCCTGATCAGGGAACTCGACACAGCAGCACCCCTCTCCCTCTCTGTGACTGCCGAGGCTTGGACTGTGTTCTCGCACACACGAATTTTGGTTGGTTGCCTGCCAATCTGAAGCACTAACTTCACATTCACCTTGCACAACCTGTTGCCTTACTTCTTGACAATAATTAATTTCCAACACCAAAGCCGCTTCTTCCCTTCTAGATGAAGCTAGCTACAGCTTTCCTCACCTGCTATTGCTCTCTGCACCTGTAATCTTCAGCACACACGACACCACCAACAGATCCAGCAGCAATACTCCCTTCTTTTTCTTCCTTTCTCAACCACACACAGCAGTACAATACTCACAAGCTCACCTCCTTGCCGCAGCACACACAAGCCACACCAATAGCACAACCGGCAAACAATTCCTCTGCTCGCTCAACAGCAACAGCAACAACACACTTACCAAATTTGTGTTCCCCTTTTCCTTTCAGCAGCAACAGCACACTACCAAATCCTCAGCTCGATCTTCTCTGCCTCAGCAACAGAACAGCAATAGCAGCTCACCAAATCCTCACACCAGCACCAGCAGTGCCGTCCTCACAACCAGCAGCTCCCTCCGCGCGCGGCCGCCGTTGACTCTGCCTGCCACCGTTGACGCCGCTGCGTCCTCGCCGGGAGCTCCAGCACCAGCGTTTCCCTCCTCACCTGGAGCTCCACGCGCTCCTGCGCCGCGTACACGCGCAGCTCTGCCAGCGCAGCTCCCTCAGCACCTCTCTGCACGCCTCGACAAGCTCCGGCGAGGCTAGGGTTTAGCCGTCGCCCGTCGCCAGCCGCCAGCCGATTGGCTCTGATACCATGAAGTTTTGGGAATTTTTCTCTAGAAGCTTCACTACTTTTTTCATTTCTCTAACTCTGCTATATACATGTACATATGAGTAGTATATGGGCCTCATGGGCCAACACATACATAACTCAACATTAAAGTTGCTTGTTTCTTTTTGCTTCTTCTTGGAGACACACTCCAAAATCTCCCTCGTCACCTTGTGCAAGTCAAACTTATCAGATACATGGATCCATATCTTGATTGCAGACTTTCTAATTTCCGAATCCTTATAGATTTGCTGGGCCAGAGTGGTTTTCCCTATCCCTCCATTGCCTACAATTGGCAGGACGATCATGCCATCGGATCTATTGCTCATGATCAGATTTTTGATAGATTCAATCTCTGTTGCCCTCCCATACACTATGGGCTCAAGAACATAAGACGTTGTTGTTGAATTTGTGGCCCGGGCTGTACTCCGATGACTCAGATTTGAAGCTTCAGGAGACTTTAATCCGTTTATCTTGAGACCCTTGCTGACATCACCACGAGCATCTCGTAGTTTTCCAGCAATTTATTTTATCGTTGCAGAAAACTGGCGCTTATTATCAAGGAGTGTGTGGTTTTCTTCTCTTTTCCTTTTCCAGCCGGTGACGGTGAACCATCTGTTAATAGAAAAGAAAGATGAAGTAGGTGTAGATGTAACATCCTCGCTGTTGCCTGCAAACGGTAACATCTATTTAGTGCAATAGTGGTACAACTTAGTATATTGCAAGTCATCGTTTGCTCCATGGCTGACAAGCCGTGGATGATTGAAGGAAAACAATATTGTAAAACCTTTCTATCTAAAAATAATAAAAAGACATCAATCACCTCTAAAATTAAGTTTTAGAATTTATTTTTGCTTTGGTTGAGAAGCCAATAAGCAAACGATGGATCGCTTATTAATTTTGTTATATCAATAAAAGTTAATAACTTATGTAGTGCATTGGTGACGACTGATGTTTATAATTAGAGATCTTTTAAGGTGATTGGAAGGTACTCAGCGTACCTTTTAAACTATTGAATATCAACCGTTGATTGCTAAAGGTGAATTTAGAAATAGAAATAACACAAAGATGGGTAATTTAGTAATTATTTCCAGTCCTATCAACTTCTAACTTCTTCATGAGCGAAAGTAATGCACGAGCAGCAGTGGATAGAGTAGGGGCTAGCGGCAAACAATCATGAAAAAGTTAGAAGTTGATAGGACTGGAAATAATTACTAAATTACCCATCTTTGTGTTATTTCTATTTCTAAATTCACCTTTAGCAATCAACGGTTGATATTCAATAGTTTAAAAGATACGTTGAGTACCTTCCAAGCACCTTAAAAGATCTTAAGTCTCTTATAATTAAGAAGCCAACCATATTTTATAATTTCTTAATTTTAATTTTAAAACTGTTACCGAAAGAATGTGTAAGAATTAGAGAGTTGGATAAAAGTTACGCCAAATTTGTAAATAACCAAAGGCCTATATATTTATTCCTCTACACCTGTACTAATCGGGAATTCTAAGGAAAATTTCGCGCGTAAAAACCTCAAGCTTTATGGTCAAATTTACATGGAACTAATATCATTATTTAAATCTCAATTAGTTTCAGCATATCTAGTGAAGAGTTAAACTTTATATACAGCGCATATTTTAGAATTTTAATAAATTTATGCTCAACATGCATACATGTGTAGGAGCGAGGTTTTTTGAAACTTTTAAACTATAATACATGTGGTTTACTCAAGAACTAGCCATTGGTTAGCTGGAGCTAAACAGTAAACAGTCACAGAACACCGGACCAAATAAATCCTTTGATAATAAGGTAATAATAAAACGCACCTTTTATGATCTGTTCTTGAAGACGACAGTAGTCGAGCTTGTCCAGCACGTCATCCGCGTCGTACAGCAGGTCTTTCAGATGGAGAAGAGACCCAGCCATCGGCTCATTCTGATCGCCGACCTTCATCCCCTTGGCGGCCTCGAGCACCACGGCGACGTTCCTCATCTCCGACACGAGCTCCTCGACATTGTCGTCAAGATTAACTCGCCTCAACCAGGAGCTCAGCTTGTCCGTGAACAGTGACCCGAGGACGCTCTCCACCAGCCATCCGATGGCCGCCTGCCCCACCGTGTTCCAAACCTCCATCGAAGCCGGTCAGGAGGCAACTGGAGTATGGAGCAGCTCTGGGAGATTTTGGAGAATGGGTAGTGAAGGAGCAACCGAATTGTATTGTCTGGGAGAGAAAAGAAATGAGAGAGAGAGAGAGAGCAATTGGACGAAGTAAAAAATGACTAGGGAGGACATGGTGCATGGCTATGGCGTCTCCACTAAGCTCTGTCAAATATTTTATTTCCAGTTGGGGTATGGCACTTTATTTCGCCGAAAGAGGGCTGAGTGCGTAGCTTGACTTAATTTGACCAACATTTCAGTAAATTACAATAAAATCTTATAAGTTCATGATATTATGAAAATACTTCTGAACACGAACCTACACATATCATTTTTTTTATGTTTTTAGATCAAGTGTTTCAAAAGCCATCGATAGTTGAAGCTTCAAAAGTATGAGATCATCTGGTTGGGCAATTATGATTTTACCTTGTTTTCTAACTCTAATTTTGCCCCCTTTTTTTCTACTGAAGCTGCTGTTTGAAAAACACAAGTGCTCAAATATTCACTGTTGGGAGTGATAGGAGAGAGTAGTGGACTAGTGGTTTGTGGCCCTTTCGTCGAAATGGCCTGCATATTTTTATTTTTTAAAAGGAAAATGCATATCTTTATGTTAAAAAACTTTCATGCTTGTTGTAGGTATGTGGCACTTTCAACGAAAGAATCAGTGAATGTTTGTTCATCACAGATTTCAAGGTGACCCTTTCGTCAAAAAGGCTCCGCATTTGAAATTTTTTTTGTCTATAATTGACCTGTTGTAGTCCTTTTTTCCTTAAAAATGACACTGAGATTTTTGCGTCCAACTAGAAACGACTGACAAAATCCGTGCTTGTTAGATGGCAGCGTAAGATCCGTGTTTCAACTAGTCATACGGACTGTCATACAGAACCGGGGATATGATGCGAGAGTAACATATTCCCTCCATCCCTAAAAAAACCAAATAGTCATAAGTTGATTTTTTTATAGGAGGAGGAACTAGATGTTTATAACAAAGAAAAATCCCAATGTAAATCCTGGCCACAGAAGTATAATAATCATGTAAATTGTTTCCTATTCCCTCCGTAAAAAAACCTACCTAGACGGTTGATTTTTTTAAAAAAAAAAAGGAAACTGAGAACATTCATAGTGTATAGTTCATGTAGGAGTACTAAAGACGTGGCACGCACCAATCATAGTAACCAGAGAAAATCGTTGCAATGTACTCACTCCGTATTTTAATGCATGACGCCATTAACTTTTTAACCAATGTTTGACCACTCGTCTTATTCAAAATTTTTATGCAAATATAAAAATACTTATGTCATGCTTAAAGAACATTTGATGATAAATCAAGTCACAATAAAATAAATTATAATTACATAAATTTTTTGAATAAGACAAAAGGTCAAACGTTTGTTAAAAAGTTAACGGCGTCATACATTAAAATACGGAGGGAGTATAAAACATCACTTAGAATCATCATGGACCCACCCATATTAATATAGAGAAAAGAGAGATGTAGCTTGACACAATGTAACTGACGTATGGGCTCAAATATCAGCCACAACCACAAGGTGAAAAACACAGGGACGATCTCTGAATTGCACGAATATAAAAGAGCAGCAGGAAGCAAGTAGTAACAGAGAACAAGATAGCAAGCTGAATTTCACGAGCCCAAGACTTACCTGCGTGTGACGTGCCAGCCATGCTTCAGGAGTCGGAGATGCACTGATCATGAATCCATCGTTCCACGGAACACCGACATGAAAAGGCAACACAAAAAGGCTCGCTCGCCGACGTTTTCGTCGCCCGCGACGTCCACGGTTCACCCACACGTGGAATCTGCAAAGATGGGAGAGGGACATATCGTCCTTTGTGCAGGCGGAATCGGAGGCGGAGCGGGGAGACGCGGCTGCCTGTGCAGAACGCGGCGGCGTCAGGTGCCCAGCTCCTTCACCACACGCCGAACAACCAAGGGGTGGCGAATGACGATGCGCGCGCCGCGGCGGAGGGCGACTTTGACGCCCGCGGTGTGGGGAGAAGGCATGGCTCTGATACAAGATGATGGCACAAATCTTCCACGCATCACACTCAACCTCCCCTGAAAAACCTAAGGAAGCATGGGGAAAAATCTGGGGGCATCCGTATACTTTCAAAAGCCTGAGGTTGCAGAGGGATTGTGAGACCTCAATTGCGGTGAGCAATGGACATTTTTGAATCGTCAACTCTTGAATCTAACTCCAAGGATTCGAGAATCCAGGGACGCGATCCAGCTCGAAGGAGTAAAGAAAAAACAGAAATACTACAAAACTTCATTAAAAAACCCTTAAAAAGAAAAAAAAACACCTGACTAATATGAAGACCCTGGGCTAGGGGAGGAAGAATAGCCTTCCAGCTAGTTACAACCATAAAAAAAACACGAATATTAGAAAATGATCTAATATCAAATAGTAATTAGAATGGATGCCACTACCTCGTGGAGCTAGCCAAAAAACCCCTGATCGTTTCTCAGTTACAACCATACGATCAACTGACTTAAAAATTTATCTGAATACTAAATATGCAATAGCAGGATAAATGACAGTACTATATCAGTGAGCTTGTGGTCAAGGAAATGTACTAGTATTTACGCATTTAAACTCACAGATTAAAGATTCTTGACTTGAATCGTCTCCTAAATGCATGCCTGTTGATTTGCATGCGCCACTGAAAGAGGTGAGAACTATGAACAAGAAGTAGCGATTCCATTCAAGTATTTTTTTTTTCTGGGAATACACAAGGAGCGCATCTTTGTATTAAGAGGAGTAAAAGTCTGTACAGGTGAAAGAGAGAAACAGAAGGAGACGGGATTACAGGAAGTCACCCAAGAACATTAAACCCTATTCTCGCGACACAATGTTGCGACCTAAGCGGCCTAAAGGCATGGCCGGCATGGCAGTATTGGTGAGCCGCCACAGCGCTGCCTCTTCTGCCATTGCCCTTGCCACTTCTGTCCAGCTTCTCTGCTTCTGATTGAACACCCTGTTATTCCATTCCTTCCAAATTGTCCATGCTGCGAGTGTAGCAATGGTATCGAAACCTCGCCGTTGAGAGCTTGGGAAGGTTTCCCTCTTGTCACACAACCAGGAATGGAATGAGATTTCATTGACGGGCAAGCATTCCGGGCGACTGATGGCCGAGAGCAGTAGCCACCAGAGCTGCCTTGATTCTGGGCATGCGACCAAAATGTGATCGATGCTTTCTTCGTGCTGATCGCATAAGACACACATGCTGGGGTGAAGCAAGCCCCTGATGCTTAACCTGTCCGCCGTCCAGCAGCGGTTGAGTGCGACTAGCCAAATGAAACCAGAGAATACTACCAATAGTAAACAGCAACAAATCCACACTGCAGAGTGCAGACACAAACTCACACCAAATTACACTGCGTGTATTAGTCTTCAAAAGTACCCAGTATGAAGCGCTGCAGAAACTTCAGAACAAAAGGCAGTAAACTGCGGCCACAAAACTTACTTGCACAAGCAATGACAGACAGCCGCGGCTAGGAATCATATTAGATTCAATAAGCTACTATCATCAACTCATCACAAGAATGTTTGCTGGAATTTTAGGCGAATGATGGTCCTCAACTGCATAAATAACATCTTGGCCTGCAGTGCAGTACAAAAACTCTTATAAGTTTTACTTTAGCAAGAGAAAACTGAATATTTCAGTTAACTATGGAATATTGTAAATTTTAGATTATACTAGTACCTCATAAGCAGCTCAGTACTAGCCCATTTGCGGAGCATACAACAAATAGAGAGGCGAGGTCTTCAAGCTTCTATCAGACCCTACACACTTTCCCATCAATTAGGACCTTTAGCTTTTCTGTCGCTGCTAGTCTGCACTGCCTATTTAGTTCCTCAGTGCAGCCTCTGGTTTCCAATTCTTCAAGTGATAAAAGAGGGAGTCCCTCTTCCGGCAAACGTAAGATACCCGGACAGTAGCCAATCTCCAACTTCTTGAGGGAGGACAGGCAATGCAACTGTTCAGGCAGCACGAGGAGATCATCGCAGCAGAGGAATCTGAGCTCCTGGAGGTGGGTGAGCTGCTGAAGCACTCTCCCTTGCCCCTCTGACAGTCTCACCACTCTCCAATAACTTCGCGAGCTTGAAAGCGTCAAGTGTTGGAGGGAGTTGAGGTGTTTGAAGAAGGACATGGTAAGGACAGAGAAGTCATCAGTCTCAAGCCATTCCAGTCCAGATAAAATGCTTAGATCTCCAGCCTGATCTCCCGTGCATTGTTGATCCTGTGAGTCAAATTCCCATGAAGTGGACAGCTTGGGATTCCTTGCAAGCTTCATGATCTTTAGGGAGCTGAGAAATGTCAATCCCCCAAGTGTACACAAGTTCTTACAGTTAAAGATTTCCAACTCCTCCAACTTTGTACAAGAATGCAGCTGTAGGCATATCAGGCTAGGGCTGTCCCACACTGACAATCTTCTGAGAGAGGTATGGTTCTCTGGAAAATAGAGCTGGAGCTTTTCTGAGAGATGATCGGTCTCAAATTGGTTGAGTAATGGTGGAAGGAGAAACCTCCCACCTATATGATCATCACTAACACCTTCATGCACCATGGGCATGAGTAATTTGGGGCATCTGGTAACTGTCAACTCCTCAAGGGAGGTGAATCCCGCAAAACCAACCTTTCTGCTGCAAAAAACCAAATTTGGGCAGTCAGATATGTGCAACTTTTTGACATATGTGTAGAGAAGATGTGGCATATGAAATAGTATGGGTCCGTTTCTTATCGACTCTGTTGTTGCTGTAGTAGTAGTTGAGGAGATATATAGTAAAGACAGATGGTTGCTTTGCTCTTCTACAGGACAACTGAATGTTGAAGGTTTGTCATTTACAGTCAGCTGTTCAGACTGTGTACATGGAAGCAATAATGGATCACCCAGCATACTAGATGACACAATTGATAGATGTGTGATAGATGGAAACTTTGTCTTTCCTTCACATGCTTCTTCCAGCATCATCTGTGGCCAAAGCAACCTGGGGCAGTCAACGATTTCCAAGCTCTGTAAAGACATGAGCTGACTTAACGCTTCAAACGAAACAGAGACCAGATTGGGGCAATTTATGATGCGGAAGTTTAGTATACTTGTCAAGTTGTTGAATGCCACGGTATCATCATTCAAGACACTCCACTCATAAGACTTGATTGTAAAGAGTGGCCAATGCTTACGCATTTCTATTGCAGGAGGAGCCAAAACTCCTCGGATGGATACAGATACCTTGGACAATTCTGCAGAAGGTGGAAAAGGGCATGATACTATAAAATGAGGACAACTGTGCACTTTGAGTTTATTCATGTTTGGAAGCCATGTCTTCTCCTCACAGTGGGGTGGTAAAACTTGCAAGACTTGAAAACTGGTCAATTTTCTGCATTTTGTAATTTTCAGTACTTCTAGACAGGAAGATAATAGGTCGAGGTTCGCACATGTGCAACATTCTAGGTTTGGCATGTTTCTTATGACCAACTTCTTCAGGTAAGGAACTGAAACTTCTCTAACACCAGGCATCGCAATCAACTTTAAGTCCTTAAGAGAATGCATCTCTTCAAATGGAAGGATAGTCCATTGCCTGCAATTCAACAATCTAATTCAGTAAGGTTTTCAGTTCAGAAAGATATGGCTAAAAAAATGACCTCTTCATTAAATGATTAAGTAAAAAATCACTATCATTTGCAAACCGAAAAGAGATCGGATAATTCATGTGTCAAAAGGAAGAAATAACAACATTATCTGAGGGCATTGCTTGATGGTGAGTTTTGTCAGTAATGGGAACCATGTCTTCCGCTCAACTCTGAAATGATCATAGTTCAGGAAAAGAGTAAAGTCCTTCAGCTTGTCACATCTCTCCATCCTCAGAATTCTCATGTTAGAAGTCAATTCCCTATTATATGTACCAATACATTTTTCCAAGTTTGGCAAATCAATTAGCACTAATTCATCCAAAGAAGGAATTGAGACATCCACTAAACTCCACATCCGGATCAAATTCAGCTTGCCAAGTGAAGAAATCTCTTCAAGTTGAATTGCTCTCCATTCACTACAATTCTTTAAGTGAAGGGATCGAAGTAAAGGGACAGAAACATTACTCCCAAGCCACATGGGGCAGATAGCACCATTGTAGCCCCGGATTTTGATACGCTTTACATTTCTATTTGGATGAAGACCTTCTAAGACCTCCTCTGCTGTTGCCATAGCAGGTTTCAAATTTGTGGTACTATCATCCCATACCAAGCACAAATTTTCTAGGTAGTCCTTGTCTATCAGTCTTGCTCTCCTGGCCTCTTCTTTAGTCTTGACATTCCCAAGTTGAAAAATTCCAAGACTTACGAGCTCATTCATTTGCTGAAGTTGTCCGATTTCAAAACCATCAACATTTTCAACTCTAAATTTTCTTAGTTCCTGAAGAGACGTTAACCTCCCAACATTAGCAATTTCCGAGTGCCTTTCCTTATCAGCAATAAGATGCCGTAGGTTGACCAGATTATTTATGCGCCTAGGTACAAGATTGCTGGAAGAACCTGCATCCAATGCTTGAAGGTGATAACATGTCGGCAAACCTTGAGGATCGACGTTGTAGATACGAGGTCCATCTTCTGTTTCCCACCAACAAGATTTTTCGAAAGTGATACTTCCATTAAAAAATTCAATATATCGGAGATGGAAAGGCTTTATGGAGTTCCAGAGAGCATCAATTAACATAAATGCAAAGTGTACTCTTAGGTAACGCAGACCTTTTGCATGTTTGCATAATGTTAGTAAACATTTCAACAAATTTCTGCTCCCGTAGGGTCCATGACCAAAGAACATCAAGGTCCTCAGTTTTTTTAAACATGTAATTTTCTCCAATTGTCTCTCAAACTTATCTGTGGGAAAACTGTCATGCTCAACTTCATCATAAGCAGAGGTAATGATTGAAAGATGACGAATAGTTGAAGGAATCGAATTGGACTTCAAACCATCAATAGTGGCACAGTCATTAGATGAAACTGCCTGTGCTAGTTCATGCATTAAACCATGCATGACATAGTGCGGGCCATCTTTCTGGAAGAAGCCCAAATCCACCAATTTGTCCAGGTACTCCCTCCCTGTTTGCTCCACTCTATTTTTTGTATCTTTGCAAGACACAAAGCTTTGTGAAATCCATGCAAAAATCAACTTTTCCCCATCAAATTTATGCTCTTGTGGAAACAATGAGCAGTAAGAGAAACAGCGTTGCAAGCAAGATGGTAGATAATCATAACTAAGCTTTAAGATAGGTAAAATATCATCATCACCTTTCTGTAGAGATGCCCATTGGTCCCGGATTTTCCACCAGTGCTCATAGTTAAGATTCTGTCCCAAAAGTGCACCAACACTTTGGGCAGCTAGTGGGTAACCCTTCAGTGTTTTCACAATTTGTTGTCCAATGACTTGCAAACTAGGATGATCCCCGTGGTTCTCATCACCAAATGCGCATTGCTTGAAGAACAACCAAAAGTTGTCGTCATCCAAACCTTTCAATTCAACTGAGGTCAGTGTTCTGATCTTTTTGGCAACAGAGGGGCTCCGAGTTGTTGCTAGAATCATGCATCCGACTGTTTGATTCTGGCGCAATGGACCTAGTAGTCTATTCCAACCGTTTTTATCCTTGTCTTCCCACACATCATCTAAGATGAGCAGAAATCTTCTGTTTCTAACGCTGCCCATGAGCATCTCCTGAAGCACATTAAAGCTGCTTATTTTCTCACAATCCTGCCTGTCTCTACAGGCATGCTCTAGCATCTCGCGTGTTAGTCTCACCTCATCGAAGATGGAAGATACGCAAACCCACATTTGCAAATCAAAATGATCTTTGATTCTTCGATCACGGTATACAAATTTAGCAAGAGTGGTCTTTCCGACCCCTCCATTTCCAACTATTGGCAGAACATTCAGGTCCCTGGATTTCCCATTTACCAGAAGCTCCACTATCATGTCTCTGTCACTATCCCTCCCATACACCTTCTGTTCAACTGGCACCGAAGTTGTCAGTCGTCTGTTGCTGACCACGCCTTCTTTTGGTACCGCAATGCAGTAAGAGGCCTCTAAATGGATAGCCTTGTGCACAGAATCACTAATTGTGCACAGCGAGGTTGCTATCTCGTTTATCCTGCGAGAGATATCATCCTTGTTTTCGAACGGCACAACCACAACAGTGGCATCATCTTGTGCTAGCTCATATTGTCCCCTTTTCCTTTTGCTTCCGGCATGGGCCATGACGAAATCTACTGCCATTGATGCCCAAGAAGTAAGCTTAGTGGCAGCATTCCATACAAGACGGCAAGTAGAAGACGAGGTGGAGCTGAAGGAAGATGCATTGCCTCCCTCAACACAAGAATCCACAGCAGCAGCAGCGTCCTCGCCTGTAGAAACCATTAAAACCAACAGACGGGGAGTGAAATTTGTGAGTGAAACAGTGCAAGGAAACAGGAAGGAACAGAAATTGGGATTTTGGGATGGAAATTTGGGGGGGAAAGAACGTACGCTGCTCGATCTCTAGCTGGAGGCGGTAGTAGTCGAGCTCGTCGACGACGTCCTCGGCGTCGAACAGCAGCTGCCTCAGGTCGTCGAGGGAGCGGGACAGCGGCTCGTTCCCGACGAGCTCCCTCCCCCGGGCGGCCGCCGCGGCGAGCACCATCTCGACGCTCCTCATCCCGACCTCGAGCCTCCGCACGTCGCCGGCGAGCCCGACCTCGCGCGTCCAGGCCTCCAGCTTGCCGGCGAGGAGGGTCCCCAGGACGCTCTGCACCAGCCACCCTATCGCCGCGTCCACCACGCTCCACTCCACCCCCATCGACCCTGTCCGCGCCACGCGACACAACAGTGCAACCCAACCCCAACCCACCGTGCTGCTGCTGCTGCTGCGGAGACACGCGCGCGCGGGAGAGGAAATGCGCTGCAAGTACAACAAGGGCGATGGGATTTGGAAGCGGTGGAGGAGACAAACGACGAGCCGTCGCGGGCGGGGCGGCCGAGACGGCGGCGGCGGCGGCGACGTCGTTCTTGTTTGTCTCCCAGAACGAGAGCAGCGGCATGCTTTGGTTGCTGCTTTGCTTGGCTTCGGTTTCTACTACAAGGTGAGGAGAATTTTGTCGTTCTGTCTGGTATACGGGCACACATGTTGCCATCTGTGTTGTGCATTTGCGCATAAGGGACATGGCGATTTGTCAAAGACGGACTGCTCTTCTGCTCCGCTTTCTCGCTCTCGCAATACTCGCTTCCATGTCTCGCGGCAGCTGGAGATGGAGAGGGACGTCGCTCTCGCTCGGGTTCTGGGCGGGCATTTCCACAAACACATGAAGGGCGTCGTCGGCGCCAGGCCAGCCAGTCAGCCACGTACGGCCGCCGCCGAAGGCCAGACCCTCGATGCCGTTTGCGCACCGGACGTCGGGCGCGTCCTCGTCCTCTATTGAGCCGGAGAGCAGGGCTCTGCCGGCGGCGCTCCGGCGAGGCCCTGCCCGTAGGCCGGCATGAGGCAGCGGTGAGCTGGTGGTGGCTTCCTCGTCGTCGGGGTCGCCGCTCGAACTCCTCCGGGACGACGATTAGGCCTACGCGGCCGGAATTTTTTTCGTTTTTAGATTTTTTTTTAATATTTACAGAAATAATCTATCGACAAAAAAATTGCAGAAATAGCCCCTGCCGCCCAAATGGTGGGCGGCAAGCTGACGTGACAGACGGTGGGTCGACCGCGCCGTCTGTCGCCGTCGGCCAAAATTGCGATTAGGCCCTTGCCGGCAAGGGGCTAATTGCAATTTTGGCCGCCCATTCAGAGCTTGCGGCCGTACTTTTTTCATCTGGAACCCAGATGAAAAAAGTACGGCCAAAAGATTTTTCTATGTTATGTTAATAATAAATAAAGAAGTATTTATTGGTAAAACTTGTTAATATTGTTATAAAAATGTATTGAAGTTGGTTGTTGCGCAATTTCATATGTTAAGTGAGGTATTATTTTGTACCTTATTCGACGTATTAGTACTCGGATAATTTATATAGGCCTATCGCAGTCTAGGTCGTAGAAACATTATATGGACTTAAACAAGGAGAATTATGTAACATGAAGAAATAGTAGTACAATTTGAACATGATACAACTATTTGCATTGTGGTTACATAGATGATATTAGATTCGAACTAGGAGGGAGGTAGTGCAATAGTTGAACACAACGACGATGTAGTAATGGGACAAGGAAGCATGACAGTAGAAATTTCAATATGCCAAATTGTCCGATAATAGCTAAACCCTACGTGAGGATCCCTCTCCTCTCTCAAACCGCGCTTTAGTAACCTTGTATTGCTCTGGTAGTTCAAGCTGCACAACACGGCTAGGTGGAGTTAGAACCCTTCTGGTGTCTATCCATTCTCTGTATTGACATCTCCTTGGTGGTTCCTGGGAGGAAAGAATAGATGTAAAGCAAGCAAAGTTAGTAAATGTTGTGAGAAAATAAGGAATCATGTAGTCAAAATATTCTTACCATGAAATCGTCGTCAAGAATATTTGGACAAACAAAGAACCTTCGACCCAATGTTGTAGGATTTATGGAACGAAGAACCTGACAACGATCACCACACCTGCATCTTGGACGGGCTTCCCATGGAGGGAGTGCCGTAGTTAGCACCCGCCAGTCGCTCTGTTGTTCACGACATTGTCGTTCATAAGCCGCTTTTCTCTGTAAGTATTGCTCAGTACTTTCGGATGCGAAATACCAGCGACCTTCTTGTAAACAAGTGGTTAGGTCGAGAACGGGATTTTCTGTATCGACCCACTCGATGTATGCGCAAGCCGTAGTGCGGGTCTGCCGAATAGAGTAGTGTTACGAAGAATAAAGCGATTGCCCATACGGAATGAATAAGCATATGCAGATAATAAAATACCTCACGGTCATAGTTAGGGCACCTAAAAAAGCGCCTTCCTCGAATATCAGGATTCCTCAAAGCCATTAGTTGGCATCGATCACCGCATAGGCAGAGAGGACGCTGGCACCAAGGTGGTAGTAGGTATACACAAGGATCGCTACGCCAGTTTGGATCCTCAACACCCCGGCGTCTAGCCATTGACGAAAGCCGGTCGGATTTGTAATGAAGCAAGTGGGGAAGAGAGTACTGAATATGACTGAGTTCTGAAAGATTGTGAGGCCTCACTCGTTAAGGCGACTTATATAGGCGCAAAAAATCGAGTGATACCCCTGACATGTGAACGTGGTGGGGTATGGTGGGTACGCCTGATTGGCGCCGAAAGATACATGCATGATCGGCGCCGAAAGTTACATTGGTCGTATGCGCCAAATGGCGGGCAAATACTCGTATCACACGCGAATAAAGGAGGCTGCATCGGTGCGGCAGAAAGTAGTCGTGCATGCGCCGAAAGGTATCGTGCATGCGCCAAAAGGTATCGTGCATATATAACAACAACGTAGTCATTACACAAGCATACAGTACTGAAAAGTGAAGCAAGTAAACAAAAAGAAGACTGCTCTACTGGCCCTGCCCCGCGCCGCGACCATGCTTGGTCCTCCGGGCCTGTGCTCGCACGTGGTCCTGGGAGTAGGTGAAACGATCCGGTGGCACAGCACGGGTAGCACGAGTGTCCCGCGGAGGAGTGGCCTGCGCCTGGTCCTGCGTCTGCACCGGCGGTGCGCCACCCAGCTGTGAGGGGCCGATGACGTCCTCTGTCGAGCCTGAAGCGAAGTCGAAGTCAGTGATGTCGAAGAGCACGGTGGAAGACAGGAAGGGGTCCGACGAGGTCCCAGCATGGTCCAGTGGTGGACCCTGACTCGACGTGCCGGCTGCCTGTGACGCTGACCCTGCAGCCTGGGAGAAGTGGGCGGCCTGCGTCATAGCGAACTGGGCGAAACCTACACATCGACAACGGGACCCTTGTAAGCTAAGACATAAAATGTATGTAAATTGATTGTGGAAGTAATGTTGTTTTTTTAAGTACCTGTGGGGGGCACAACAGAAGGCCTAGCCGAGGAAGGCGGGGTGCTGAACGGTGCACGAAACCCTGAAGCAATCGGCAAGTGAAACGGCTCACTTATATGTGCGAGGCATGTACAGAAGTAGTAATAAAAATACTTACCTCCGTGCGGAGGGGGAGTCGGCCTAGGAACGTGCGCAGCTGGACAGGGACCAGTCGGTACGGGTGGCCACTGTACAGCTGCGTCTGCCCGAGCAACGTCGTCTGCACGACAGGTGAGCACTCGGAGAATCGAGCGCATCGACTCCACCATCCGCGTGTACGTCGTCAGGTACTCCTCTACGGGTACCGGAATCCCCGCGTCTAAACGTTGGATCGTCGTTGAACCGTCAACGACGACCCGGTTGATGTCGTCGACCTGCATGGTTAATTTGTTCGTAAATATTCGTAAAATTTGACGAAGAAAGACATGAAAACATAAAGGAATGGTGCGATGCAGGGTACTCACAACACGAGCGAAGTCCTGGTCGCGGTGCCTGGCGTAGAGGTCTCTAGTGCTCGCAACGTGGGGCTACTGCTCCAAGGGAGCGAAGGTGACCCTAGTACGGGTGCGTGGCTGGTACCAGCGTAGGTAGGCCTGGTACGACTCCTCAGTGTGTGGCTCTCCCTCGTGGTCCACGACCTCCTCGGTTGCGAGCAACCAGTCCTCAACAAAAGTCGCCAACTTGGCGGGCCAGTCGCCAGCTGACTGCTGACCCTTGCGCGAGTACCTGCGAATTAATGTGTAATATTAGTGTGAAATGACAGATGTTACAAATTATTGTGAACAGGCAGATTTTAATGCAACAACGGAAAGCGTAGTGCAAGATCTTACCGGTGAACAGCAGCTGGGACGGTGGTCGGAAACGGTACTGGAAAGGGCTGACGGAAGCCGAACTGCCACATCACGCGGAAAGGGGCGTGAGGCTCAACGCAGATGTCGAAGACCATCGGAACCGTAGTCATCCAGTACGCCTGGTCCCTGGTGCAGAGTGTGGACAGACCCAACGGCGCACGAGCCTGGGTAGCCGCGGCACTGTAGGGCTCCCACACGACGTCAGTCGTCAGAAGGCGGTCGAACTCCATAACAAACTCAGGATACGACCGCCTAACCTGGACGTGAGCCCATCGGCGCTGCAATACGAGACGATCGATGTGATGTACAATGAACTTAGCGATTAACTTAACAATATGATAAGATCGATGCAACGTACCTGACGACGGCACCACAGAGTACCCATCGTAGGGTAGTCGACCTCTGGTCGCTCCTCGTACAGTGACTCCTCGTACGCGTGCTGGTCCACCTCAGGGCGGCCGATCGCAATCCTCTCAGCTGCCCAGATAGAAAGAAAGAGAGGGCACCCACCAAAGGTCGCGCTGGGATCCGTCTTCGTGCAAGACTCACAAAGTGCACGGTACAGAGCCGCCAACAACGCGGAACCCCAGCTCCACTGAGGCACCTCGCCTACCGCGGCGTCGGCGATGCTCCTGGCGTAGTGCACGAGTCCCTTGTCGACCGCGTGCCCGTGACCGCCACAGAACATCACCCAGCCAAAAAGCCAGAGCAAGTACGCCTCCAAACATCGGCTGTACGAGTACTCGTCGGCCTCCGCCTGTAGCTGCTCAACCTGCAAGCAGTCGATAAAATGTTAGGCACCTTAACTGCGGACTAAATATGTAATACGATTGTCATTTCGGTACAAAAACACTCACGGTGAGCTGAAGCAGCCACCTCTTCGTAGGTCCGGTGTTGCGGTGGTGTGCCAACGGCTCGAGCGGGAGGTGCGGTGCGCGCTGTACTAGTGCGAAACGTGCCGTCAGATCGTCCTGCCAGTCCACAGCCGTGGTCACTGGCCCAACAGCGTCTCCCGCGAGCGGTAGCCCCAACAAGTAAGATACGTCCTGTAGGGTAGGGGCTACCTCACCGCACGGCAAGTGAAAAGTGTGCGTCTCTGGCCTCCATCGATCGACCAAAGCTGCTACGAGGGACCTGTCCACAGTCCATCGTCTGGCCGGGTCTGCGTCGCCGGCCGCAGCCTCCACCAGCCGACACATCGGTAGGAGGCCGGCCTCACGTAGCCTGCAATAACAAATTAATATGTCATTATAAAAAATATTACAGTACAACTAACTTATAGTAAAACACTGTTCGTACCTCTCGACAAAGGAGTCGTGAACCGTGAGTAGCTCACCGCACGTCCGTGCCCGGAACGTCCCAAGCTGAGCCCCCTGCACCGCAGTAGGTGAGACCGGTGTCGGTGATCTATCGCCGGGTCCAACAGCTGAGGTGTATCCTGACGTGCCATCTCTGAAAAATATAGTGTTTCGTGTTAGAACAATTCAAAAAATAGTAATGTAAAACAAAAGATAACTTGCATAATTATGAAATAGTAATAAAATCGTGAGATTAATTATGTACAACAAGAGTACAGGCTATTTAAATATAGCAAACGTTACTAATGGTACATAACGATGACGTGCAATTTAACATATATGTAGAGTTCAATAATATAACATAACATTACGTGTCGAAGTCCGACATACATCAGCATACATAAAGACGTTAGGCGCCTTAGTCCGACATTACATCACGAGACCTAAAGACATGACATGCCGAAGTCTGACATTACACGACGAAACATAAACACATCGATAAGTTCGAAACGAATTACAAGCAAATCCACATGCCGACATAGAACATAAGAACTACACCACGTAGCCAGACGTGGCACGACGACGCCTAGGACGTGGTCGAGTGGAGGTAGTGCCTTCACCCGTAGGGCGAGCTCCATCTGCTGCTGATCCTGATAGTCCTGCCTCCGCCGCACTTGGTTTCTCCTTGTCTTTAGGACAATGCTTGTAGGTGTGCCCATGTTCATCGCATTTGCTGCAAAGCTTCACCCTGCCAGCCTCCGACTCGTCCATATCGTTGCGGATGCGACGAGTCCTCCTCCTTCCAGCCTTGCCTCGGAGCTTCGATGGGTCAGGAATATTGAGTACTTCATCGTTTGTCTCTGTGAACTCTCCAGCTATGCCGAACCCATAAATCTCGCCGCTCCATTGTATGATATATTGCTTGCTTACTGAAGTACTGTGACACATATACTGTATCTGGTATGCCACACTCCGCCTGCGGCAGCAATGACATGGGTGCATGGCCTGTGGAGCAGCTTCGGCTTTGCACAAGAGCAATGACAGGTGCCATCATCTTTGGGACCACACTCCTGGTTACACTCTCTTGCGTTATATCCCCCTGCCTGCTTTATCTTGACATAGTATCTCAAACCTGTGCTGTTGAGTACCTTGCACTAGAACTCGATGTTTCATGGCCTTTTTACGCAACTCCTCTAGCTTTTTCTGCATGAAAGCTCCAAACAAAATGCTGTTGTTCGGCATAGAGGGAAGAACTGCCTGGAACCGATCCCTAAAATACCTGCATGTCCCATGTAAAATGAACTCCACTATGCCAACTAGTGGCAGTCCACGGACACCGCGCATCACCCAGTTGTAAACTTCTGCCAAATTTGTTGTCATTATTCCATATCTAGCACCACCTGTGTCATACGCCTTGGCTCATTTCTCTTTTGGTTCATGCAGAATCCACTGAGAAAATTTCCGAATCTCCAATCCAGTTCTTCTAACCAATGTTGGACTATCCGTTGGGAGAGGTCCAAGAGCTTGAGGAGGGTCAGCAACGGCGGTCGATGGAGCCGCTGCACGCTGATCACTGCATTTGGCTGTCAACTCATCTAATCTCTTCCAAAGCTCATTGAATTTTTTCTCCTGGTTCTGATTGCACAGCCTCTTGAACATGTTCATGAGCTCCTTGTTCTTGAATTGCTTGAAGAAAGTAGCTCCCAGATGACGCATGCACCACCTACTCTGTACATGTTCCCAAACACCAGTGTATCCTCGTTCCATACTCCCAAACTGCAACTCTCCTATCGCTCGCAGAATGCCAGCGTGCCTATCATGTATCAGGCATACATTTGGCCTCATACCAACAAGTTTTGTGTTAACCAATTTCAGGAACCAGTACCAGCTGTCGGTATTCTCACTCTCAACAAAAGCAAATGCCAAGGGCAATACCTGATTGTCCCATCTACCCCTGTTGCTGTTAGTATCTGGCCCCGATACTTTCCTGTCAAGAATGTCCCATCAATACAGAGAACAGGATGACAGTTCACGAATGCCATCTTGCATGCATGTAGAGCTAAGAACGCCCTTTGCAGCACACTCTTGCCAGGATGTTCAATTGAGGGGAATTTCTTCACTTCGTAAGAGCTCCCAGGGTTTCTTTCTTCGATAACACCAAGCAGGCGTGGCAAATTGTCATACGAGGCTTCGTAAGTTCCAAATCTCATCTCTATTATTTTCTGTTTGGCCCTCCAGGCCTTGGCATAGCTAATAGTATACTTGTATGTCTCTTCGATGTGTCGGATTATTGACCTTGGTTCATATGTGAGATTATCGATGACATGCGCATACATCTCAGATGCAACAAATGCACATGTAATGTTCCTGTGGTATTTCTGAACACCAGGTAGAAAACATGTATGCTTGGTAACAACTGACACTGTCCAATAATCCTTCCATTTCCCCTTATACGCGTGCACTCTCCAGGGACAACCATCTTTTTCCTTAACACACCGAACTTCATATTGCGACCGGTTCGACTTGGCAACCCTAAACTCTCTATGAAGTGACACTGCAAAATGTTTTACCGCCTCCTTCATATCTTCTGCTCTACTATAAATTGCTCCCTGAATAACCTCATTTTTTTTGTACTCCCATCTCACACTATCCTCTTCAGAGACGATCAGTCCAGAAAAATCCTGACTAGCCCATTCTGCTGGATTAATATCCGTCTCATCATCTGACGAATCACCTTCCTCTACACGCTCGTTATCAGAATCCTCCCTCTCCATTTCATCCACAATGGCACCGACAGTCTCCCCCTCGTCGGCCACTCCACCTGGTTGAATGCCCACTGGAGCTACTACGCCCCCGTCCTCTCGTGCGTTGACCTCCTCCACAGAAGTCTCGTTTACTTCAGCACTTGGTCCCTCGCCATCATCCATGTTCATCTGCACACCTGGATCCTTCGGGTGAACAAACGGAACCAAAGCTAGAGGCCACCCGCGTTACAATGCATTTTCCAAATACCATCTCCACACTCGAGAGTTTTGAACTGGCATTAGTTTCCAATAAAAACCCTCAGTTGCCCGACTTACTATAACATTGATTGTTATGTCACTTGTCTGTGGATCAACTCTCAAGCCCCTCATTAACCATCCTTTTATAGAAGGTACACTCCTCTCAGCCGGTCTATCAATTCCCCTTTCTGATACAATAAAATCTGACAGATCTACCCCAGTTGGCCCATAACGGACGTTTCCTGGTCCATGGTAAACTTGGAATGTTTGTTTGTTCGACATATCTGTCAACGAAATAACTAGATCATATTACTCTTTCATGCAATAAACATCTACAACGTAATATCTTCTTGTGTAAGCCAATGCAACGGTAATGTATTGATTCCAAACTAGCAGATCTACGTAGTTACCGATATCTATAATACGCACTTCTAGATTAGTACAACTAAAACCCTAAAAATATAATGCATTTATTCAAACAAATTTTTAAAAAATACACACTATTTAACTCAATAGTCACATATAGAATCTATGAATATTACCTGAAATCGGCGTCTGAATCCGGCAGGGCTTCGCCCCTTCTTCTCTTCTCCTCCCCTCTCTTCTTTTTTTTTCACTGGAATTGAGGAGAGAAGAATGAGGGCTGGGGGCTGGGCAACAGGCCTTTTATAGGCAGTGAGGCCTGCCGCCCGGCCAGAGGGTGGCAAGGGGCCGCCTGCAAAATAGCCGGCCCTGACTAGCTTTTTTGCATTCGGGCCCGGCAGTGAGGCCTGCCGCCCGGCCAGAGGGTGGCAAGGGGCCGCCTGCAAAATAGCCGGCCCTGACTGGCTTTTTTGCATTCGGGCCCCTTGCCGCCCCACCAGAGGGCGGCAAGGGTTTTCCTGCAAAAAACCCTCCCTCCGTCACCGCCCGTTCCTCCCCGTTTGTCACGTCAGCTTGCCGCCCCAGAGGTGGGCGGCAGGGTCTATTTTTGTAATTTTTTTGGCCGATAGATTATTTCTGTAAATATTAAAAAAAAATCTAAAACCGAAGAAAATTCTACGCGGCCGCACGCACATGGCCCATAATACCTCAGGTAACGCGACATGTCATATGGGCTTTTTAATATGGGCCGTAATGGGCTTACGTCGACAAACCGCTTCGTCTTCATGCCACCTTTCCTCCTCGCCGATGGTCACGGGCTCATGGCGGCCGGCGGCGCCGTTTCTTCTGTACCAGTTTGCAACGTGAAGAAGTGCTGTAATAGCGCATTGTCTTGTTCAGGGATGCAAAAGTAATCTGGGAATTGACTGTGATCATTGTGAAGCTTTGTCTCAAAAGGATGCAGAATTACTTTGATTAGACCATGCATTTTCACTAAAAAGATTTAGCTGGCCTCTTCTTTCGGCCAACCCGGCTAATGTATTTTCATTCCACAATTGGCTTCCGCTATGGCATAAGCAGTACCTGGGAGTACAGCAGCCTGACGGAGCCTAAATCACAAGGCATTCAAGGTCTCGAGGATTCTTCACTGGAAAATGCGTACCCCAGGACAATAATATGTAACGAAATGCGTACCATAAACAAGACAATAATCTGATCAGTACAATGCCATGAAGCCACCAGGGCCAGGAATTACAGGACAAGAATGATTGCATTAATCAAGAGGTTGCAAAAATGCAAAATACTGTCAGGCAAAATTACAACACGGTCACAACAAGATGGTTAAAATTTTAAATCTTTGACAGAATACTGTTCTAGACTTCAAATACTTTTGACAGGAAGGAGTAATAGAAAATGTAATATAAACGGTTTGGCCAATCCACAAGAACTCATTTGCAATGACTGGAATCACATAAAGGGAACTGGGAAGAAATTGCTACGGTACTATAGAACGAAATCGGCTCAAACTGTAATTAGTCATCATCACCGAACGTTGAAGCCATCGATGTCAGACCGATTCAGCTCAAATGATTTCGATAAGGAACAATTGTCTGCAAAATCCACGTATGCTTTTCAGTTCAAAAAAAAAATCCATGTATCCTTATTCTGCACAAGGAAGCAAGCCACATGTCAGCGATAATAATCAGAATAGGAATTCTCCAAGTGCAGGATTCCAAAAAGAAGAGATTATTACTTTCATATATGTAACGGGCCAACTGACCCTTTAATTGCACCAGTATCATAACCCTTAGGACCAAAATGTTCTTTGTGCGAGCTTCGGATCTAGTAAAGCAAATAAGTAGATCACATATAAGACATGTTCAGAAAACTAAAAGTAGACAATCAGTCAAATTTCAAAAACAACAATGTGAGGATGACAGGGAACTTACCTGTGGTCTACTCCAATATAACTATCAAAGCCTTCAATAAGTAGAGTGTTGCATGCGCTTTGAGCAGGCTTATTGGAACAACTTTGTCCCTCCTGTGCAATGCATTTAGGAAGACCTTCCAAAAAGAATGACAAAATCAAGACATACAATGTTGGCAGTTAAATTTTCTGGCCACCCACAGCACGCCAACTGCAGTCAAAGATAAAAAATAGAATAGGAAATTAAGTGATGCTTAAACAAAAGGGATAGAGATTCAACTTCTTGAATTCTGTAGGCAAACATCATCTGGTTTTCTAGTTAACACCAACCACATAAGCTGATCTAACAAGCATATCAAAAGATTGATGACAGTCCCGAAACAGTTATTTACACTACTGAAGAGGTAAGAATAAGATACTGAGATTCAAACATAAGACTGAGTGCTGCATCAAGTAGCAAAAAGATGGATATTCATTTCCGTCACACAATCTGTACATGATCGAGAATATGTAAAATTACAGCAGAAAATAAACCACCAAAAATAACAGTACAAATACAGAAGCATAAAACAAACAGGCCATGGCAAGGCTTACTGCGAGGCATATTCGAGAAAGAAAAAGGCTTACTGTGAGGCGCCAACCAGGATATGCACAAGAATGAGAACAATGTCTTATATGCCCGGAGCAAAACATTCATCACTTTAAGCAAGGGCTTTCACACCAATCAAGCGTACATATTAGTCCTTGCAAGGCCAAAGATATGACACACTGACAACTCCACAAACACATGCGCTGAAGGAAGTGAGTGCAGAGCAGGTAGCAGCAATATGTACAAAATCTTGTAAGGCTGCAGTCTGCACTCTTCAGGAAGATCAATTAATTACTTTAAGCAAGAGGAGGCTGAGGGTATCAATTAGTTCTCAAGACAAAATGCCCATTCCTTTCCGCTGGTAACTGCCTTCTTGCTGCCTACCTCTTTAACCCCTGTACCGATAACTCAAGTGATTAATCAATAGTTTCGTCATCAATCTCGACCTGTAGCTTCTCCGTTGCTACCATTCTGCACTGCATACTTAGGTCGTCGCTGCAACGGCATAAAGATAATCTCCTCAACGATGGTGGAAGGCCCATCTCTGGCAGCCTTGCCATGCGGGGGCAGTCTGAGATATCTAACCACTCGAGGGAGGTCAGGCTTGCTAGATTTGCAGGAAGGGACAAGAGATTCGGCAACCCCCAAAAGTTGAGACGTTCGAGGGATGTCAGAAGCTGGAGTGCTCTCTCTTGTTCCTCTGTCAGACCCATCATCGTCGCATCAGGCTTGCTTCGTTCAGGCCAGAAGAATAGATCTCTCAGAGACGTGAGCTGTTTGCAGAGGGAAACAGTAAGGATAAAGCCATCACTGATCTGAAGATTTTCCAGTCGGGACAAGATCTCAGAGGCCCCATGTTGTTGTGATAGAATCTCAAAACATTGAGGCATGCTGGGCGATTCATATACTGTCAAGAACCTAAGGTTTGTCAAGGATCCAAAGCCCTCAACTGAAGCAAGTGACTTGCAGTCTACAATTTCCAACTCTTTCAGTGCCTTGGAGTATCCCAGCTGCAGAGATGTCAACTCTGGACTTTCTGATATGACTAAATTTGTGATGGTAGGGAGGAAGGACAGCAGACGAGACTGTACCTTGTCTGTGAGATTCGTGATAAGGAATGTGTCAAGTGACGGAGGTGGCGGTGGAACCTGATTACTGCCCTGTTCAAGCTCCTGCAGTTTGAGATCCCACACAGTAGACAGCTCAGGACCCATATCAATACATAAGCATTCTAGAGACGGTGGCAGCAATCCAACCTCCATCTTACCACTCACCAACAACGGTATCAGTTTGGGGCAACCCTGAACTTTAATGGACTTAAGAGAGGTGTATCCTCGGAGGGCTCCCTCTTCTCCACCGAACTCCAGATCAGGACAGTTAGAAATAACTAGCTCTCTTAGAGAATGGATGATATTAGATGGAATTTTCAACAGCTGTTTTAGCGCTAGCGGAGATGGAGTCAATCTCATCGAAAGTGGCAGTACACACAGTGCAGCGCGGAGACTGCGGTGGCGCGGAGACTGCGAAAGCTTGGCCACCTTCATTCCTTCAATTCTTGCTGTAGCAGTCCCTCCGTTTCAAAAGAGATACTACCTCCGTCCCATATTACTTTCGCTTTGAGTTTTTGTTTATAAAATTTGATCATTCGTTTTATTCCAAAAAAATTAAAATTATTATTTATTTTATTTGTGACTTGCTTTATTATCAAAAGTACTTTAAGTATTACTTATCCTTTTTCATATTTGCACTAATTTTTTAAATAAAACGAATGGTCAAACGTTGTAAGGAAAAAGTCAAAGCGACAACTATTGTGGGACGGAGGTAGTACTTGATAATTTAACACTCTTTAAAATGGGTTTTGATTATTTGACATCCTAGCCCACTTTCATTCACTCAGATGGTCCCACATGTCATCCTCACAAGTGCCAATTAAAGCAATTGGGCAACGGAAAAAGTGTCAAATTATCAAATATTTTGTTTCAAAATCCCCTTTGTTTCAGAAATTCAAATGCATATTAAGCAAGAGACTAAAATACTACCATACCTTTTATTGTAGAGAAAATAAGGAGGGGGAGAAAACGAGGAGAAGGGACTACTACCGATTGAATGACTAAAATGAGAAGAAAATTATCTTAAATGATAATATTTGTGGGACGAATCTTCAAGCTAAAAAAACATTTTTTAGAGAGAGAGAGAGAGAGTATATTTTTCGCAAAAAAGTTTACATGTCAATATATCAGAAGAAATATAGTTTTAGTTACACAACACAACGGGTCGGACTAGCCCGTGCAAAGATAAGGAAGGGAGGGGTTGAAAAGGAAGGAGATAAAAACTAAAAACCGTTGCTCCTAGACAGAGGGAGAAAGGTGAAAGAAACATTCTATCCTCTTAAAAGATCCCCAAACGAAGCGGCACTAGCTAAGGACCAGAGGTGGCCCTCTTGGAGGATGGATCCCGACAACCGTGAGACCGGCGAGAGAAGACTCGAAGACCCTAGCGTTCCGCTCCTTCCAAAGCTGCCACGATACAAGAAATACCAGAGAGTCAAAAGCTTTGTGAAGGTGCTTTGGGAGGTGGTCCCTAGCAGACGGCCACCAGTCCTGAAGAGTGTCGCCACGAGAAGGGACGAGCCAAGATGGGACATGATCCTTGGCGAGCGAACACACAGTTGAATAGGAAGTGATTCGTTGTTTCGAGCTCCTGCGTTCGCCGGGGGGGGGGGGAGTATATTAGTACCCTTGTTATTAGCAGGATGTATTGTGATATTAATGAGCAGTCATCCTTTGCCAAACACTAGCTCATGACAATTGCGTACCAACTACCCAAATGTTGTTGCCTGAGTTATCAGATTGTGATGACAGAGCTAAAAGGTCTGAGATTCTTCAAGGCAGTACCCTAAAAAGAAATGAGATGAAAAAGAATACATATATATATTGGACTCTCCGGATGCACCACATTGGATAAGTCACAGGCGGGACAAGCAGCAGAGCAAGGCAGAGAACACTACAAAAGGCCATGGTACGACATGGCTGAGGCAAACTAGTCTTCGGCTTTTGACGGGAGTGCGCACTTTTACCGTTGCAAATTATAGTAAGTACTAAACAGAACAGAACACGGGATGGTGTCTTACCTGTATACCACAAGCTCACAAGTTCCAGCAGCTGCATGAATCAGCAAGAACGCCAGGGCCGCTGTGCCGAACAGATGATAAAAGCCCAGTTTGGTTGGTGCCCTGCCGTGCCGTCTCCTGATGGCAGTTTACGCAGAACACAAACCTTTTTGATCATCTACCAATTAAGTGTACTAATTTGGATGATAAGGGCTAGATAGCTGTAACCATTCTGAACCGTGTTAAAATGCTACAAAATTTTCCCTTTTTGATGGGTATAGAAATTCCACAACTTCAAAATATATGGGGTTTCGTATCCGACATGGTAGCAACTTCCTGTGAGTAAAGCCAGCCGTTACGACATACTCCCTCCGTACCACAATATAAGGGATTTTGAGTTTTTACTTACAACGTTTGGCCACTCGTCTTATTCAGATTTTTTTTGCAAATATAAAAAACGAAAAGTTGCGCTTAAAGTACTATAGATAATAAAGTAAGTCATAAATAAAATAAATAATAATTTTAAATTTTTTTAATAAGATGAGTGGTTAAACATTGCAAGTAAAAAATCAAAATCCCTTATATTATGAGACGGAGGGAGTATTTTTTTTCTCAACTAGAGTACTAGACTTGCTGATAAAAAAGCATACACCTAGTACGAATCATCAGAGTCCATAGGCTTACCTTTTGTGACCATTTGCTCGTCAAGCTCCGTGCTGATGGAGTGATGGACGGCGAGATGATGGAGAGAGAAGCTCCTCAGTTATCGGTTAGACATTTCGTCGAACGTATTGTGCGCGCGCCGTGGCGTGCGTTGAGGCCTTCCGCCACCGCGCGCATAGGCAAGCAGAGGGGTGCGTGGCCGCCGCCGGAGATGGAGCTCGGAGATGCGCGCCGCCTCTTCGGCGGCCCCCGGCGGCGGGCAGGCATGAGGCATCGCATCGAGGGACGAGGGCTTGCGCAGGGTGAGACGGAGGATTTTCTACACGTGGAGGCGAGCCAGCTTGTGCTGCCATGCCCACCCATATGCTGGTTGGAGACTTGGACGACTAAATGGCAGACAATCATAGCAGAACACTGACGGAAAGGCCAAACCCGTTGGTTATAAACCAATTATTAATTGTGCCAATTTGAATGTCACGGGTATTTCGCTGTGTCAGTTATAAAGCATATTTTAACTATCGTCCAATTTAAAAGGACACCATCTTTTCTTTGATGAATTATCAATCAACAATTTGCTTTTGACAGCTATGGCCTAGTACTTGTGACATGAGTACAGTTTGACAGTAAGCTGAGGGTGCATTTGGTTCACAATTATTTATGAATTGAATATGATAAATATGGTGGTCCAATTTATATTTTCTTATGTATAGGATGATTTATTTTTTTATTTGGTTGGAGGGATATATCATTAATGAGATAAACTAAAATTTAGTGATACCCATTTATCATATACTTTTTTTAATCAAAATCATAACCATCCGATATCTTGTTATCTTGTTTTAATGACTTATTTGTAGTAATAAATATAATGATATAATCATATAATAATTTAGATAATAACAAAAATTAAACCAATCACAACCAATCAAAATAGACCACATCACCCAAACAAAAACATGAATAATTTCATCTAGCAAAATCAACCGGATCCACTCATTCAGCATATTGAAATAATATTCCCTTTTCTGAGTCACCCTATCCGCTTAGCCCTCCAAACAAACACAACAAACAATCAAATATCATATCCCATCCACCGACCAAACACAACCTAGGTGAGCACAAGTGTATTGAGAAAATATTCTCTTTTCTAAGCCACCCCCATCTACCGAGCCCTCCAACCAAAGACAAGCAACAATCAGACGAGCATCTTCCATCTAGCTCCATCCAACAACCAAACACAACATGAGGGGGGGCACGTGTATCGAGAGAATATTCTCTTTTGTAAACCCACCCCCATCCACTTACCTTTCCAACCAAACATAACAAACCATCGGACAGCCATATTCCATCTAGCTCCATCCACCAAACAAACACACCCTAAGGTGAGCACATGTGTATTGACAAATATTCGCTTTTCTGAACCACCCCATCCATCTTACCCTCCAACTAAACACAACAAATAATCAGACGACATCTTCTATCTAGCCCCATCCACTAAGCAAACATACCCTAAGATGAGCACAGATGTAGAGGTCTGCCGGAATTTAACATTAGAAGAGAATAAAAGGTAGTACAGGGGTTACAGACTAGAGAATAAAAAGAAAATTACAGTTGTAAGAAAGGCTATAAAAATCAGGGGGGTTTAAAGGCCAAGCAGCTCATATCAATATCTTGCTTGATAAAGTAAGCTACTTCAATCTCTGAACAAGAAGAATTTTGGAAAATTCTCCTATTTCTTTCCAACCAAATATTCCACCAAGTAGTTAAAAGAGTTCGTCTGACCAGCTGCACTTCCTTCTTAGAACCTGCAAGTTTGGTAACATACCACCATGTAGACACATCTAGAGCAAGATTTGTGCCAATCGAAGCCAAATTTTGGAATTGACAGATTAGGCTCCAAACTTGTCTGACAAAGACACAGTCGCTGAACAGGTGGTTTGTATCTTCAAAAGCACAACCACAGAGAAAGCAGGTCCAATTGCAAGGCCAATGCCTACGGAGCAAATTTTGGGCAGTCAAAGTTTTTTGGTGAAGGACTAACCAACCAAAGAATTTCATTTTTTGTTCAGCCGGACACTTCCATAAAGAAACAAAATCATTGGTGGCAAAAGAACCTTCGAACTGGAAAAGATAAGCACTCTTTGTTATGTAGGCGCCAGACTCGGTCCAATTCCAGGTGATGTCGTTTGGATCTTGGGAAAGCGAAACCAATTGGAGCAAGCCACCAAGCTGTACCAAATCATGTATTTGTTCCACGGAAGTGAATTGCCTGAAGGAAGTAAGCCATTTGTTATCTCGCATTTCCACTTGAACCGTTCTTTGCTTTCTTTTTGCCAGACTAAAACAATTGGGCACGATATCTTTTAAACAACGTTTTTGGATCCAATTATCATGCCAGAAGCTAGTTTTAGCTCCGTTGCCAATCGTTATTGTCGTTGCTGCTTGAAAAAGCCTTTTGTCCATCTCATCGCATGGCAAATTCATGCCTACCCAAGGTTTTTCGACTTCCTTCCATTTGAACTAGCGGAGTCGGAGTGCTCGAGAGAACCTGTCCAGATCCTTCATTGCGGAACTTGAACTTTCTGATGCAGTAAACGTGCCATGAAGCCACAAGGAATTATATTATGACGATAATGATGGCGTAAGTCAAGACTCAAGAGGTTCCAAAATGGCCAAAACCGTCGGGCAATTTTATCAACACGGTCCCAACTCCCAACATGACAATACTACTAGAATTTAACAGTCTGTGGGTAGCATTTGCGGCTCGCGGTTCACTAGAATTGCGTATGTGGTTGGGAAGAGATTACTACAGTACTAGAACAAAATCGGCTCAAATTGTTGCTTAGTCGTCGTCACCGAATGTCGTCTTCTTTCCTGCAGATGACAAACCAAATGTCAATTATGATAGCACCATTTGTCGTACATGACGACGAAGCAGCGAAATGTAAAAGCTGGGTAAATTGCAATCTGGCGTGGTAGTATAAGTTTTACCTGCACTGGGTGTACCAGCACTCTGCTTGAACGGTATCGGCCAGGCATTTCCTCGAACATATGGAGGGGGCACCGTCATCTCCGGATCTCCCGTTACAGGTACCAGGCCTGAAGGCTCCATGCCCGCGTCCGGCGCCGGAGTTGGAGCGCGGCGATGCACGCCGCTTCAGCGGCGGATAGTCCTCATCCGCGTGGCCAGCATCGGATTTGGAGCGCAGTGATGCTCTCCCTCTTCGGCGGCGGATAGGCCCGCGCTGGTGTCTGACAAACGGTGGCCGCGCCGCCGCGGTCGCATTGCCTAGCGCTCCAGCAGCAGAGGAGATGGCACGCCGCCGCCGCCGGGGACGAACGGCGACGGAGACATAGAACCCAGAAGCCGTTTGCGCACCGGACCTCGGGCAGCGTCCTCGTCGGCGAGGACCGGGCAGGCCGGCATGAGGTAGTGGTGGGCTAGTGGCTTTCCTCGTCGTTGGCTCGCCGCTCGCCGACCACTTCAGGCCTATAAGAGCGGCCATACGAGTCGTGCTCGTGAGTGTATGCCTGACGGAGCATAAAATTAAAATTTAGAGTAGCTATATTTATGGCGCCATATTTTTCACCAAAAAATAGTCGGAATGTAAATAAGTCCCTAAATTATATATGTAATTTTAGTATATTTATAATGTAAGTCTCAAAATTACGTATGTAAGTCTTAAAATTACATATGTAAGTTGTAAAATTACATATGTAAGTGAGGTGTAACTACTATAGTTACATAGGAATTACACATGTAACTACAGTACAATTACATTGTAATTATATATGTAAGTACAGTGTAATTAAAAACAGACATTGACGGTGAGCTCCCTATCTTGCCTGGTTTCTCCTTTTCTTGTCCTTTTGCCTGCCATCTGTGCATGGCATCTTGGTTTTTACTCCGTAATGGTTAGAGATTAGAGATTAGTATCAGCAATAGTAGTTACGATGGCATTGGAGTCTCAGACATGCACGAATCTCCGAACTAATTTCACGGTGAAAAAATCGACTGTAAACTGGGAAGGAATATGGCGCCATATTTATAGCAATTCCGTAAAATTTATAAGGCGTTTAAAGTGGATTATTCACCCGGAGAACATTAATTCTGAACGAACTAACAAAATGCGTAACATAAATAAGACAATAATCCGACCAGTACAATTTCATGAAGCCACCAGGCACTGTAGGATGAGAATGATTTGTACAAGTCAAGGGGTTGCAAAAATTACCAATTACTATCAGCCAAAATTACCAACACGGTCACAGCAAGATGATCAGAATTTTAAAGGTTTAACTGAATATAGTCATAAATGTCAAAAGTATTTTTTACCAGAGGGAGTAACAGGTAACGGAACATAACGGTCTGGTGGTCCACAAGAAATCCTTTGCAAATCACTGGAGTCACATAAGGGGAAGCGATTGGTACGTCACTAGAACAAAATCGGTTCAAATTGTTATCCAATCGTCATCACTAACTGTTGAATCCACCGAGATAAGATCCATTCAGCTCAAATGATTTCGACGAGGAACCATTGTCTGCAAAATCCATGTATGCTTATTCTGCACAATGAAGAAAGACACATATCAGTGACAATAATCAGAACAGGAATTTTCTGGTGCAGGAATCCAAAAAAGAAGAGATCTTACTGGCAAACGCCTACCCAGGAGATGCACAAGTATGAGAAAAAAGTTGTCATATCATCTGCCCCGGATCATCGCAACCATAACTTTTAGCAAGGTCTTTCTGATGCCAAAGGAATAACACATTGAGAAGTCCATGTATATTATATATGCGCCGATCGAAGGAAGTGATTGCAGAGCAGATAGCATCAATAAGTACAAATTCCTGTACCACTCCAGTTAATTACTTTAGGCAAGAGAAGTGTGAGGTGCTATCAGTTATCCCTTTAGACAAAATGCACCGGCAACATACCTCAATTGATTATATCAACTAATTCACCATCGATACGGACCGCTAAATTCGGCATTGCATATGTAGCTCCTCACTGCAACCGCTTACATACAGTTGTGTCAGTGAAAGTGGAAGGCCCATCTCTGGCAGCCTTGTGATGCGGGGACAGTCACCGATATGTAACCACTTGAGGGAGGTAAGGCTTGCTAGATTTGCAGGAAGTGACAGGAGATTCGGCAAGTGCCAAAATATGAGATATTCGAGGGATGTCAGAAGCTGGAGCGCTCTCTCTTGTTCCTCTGTCAGACCCATCATCGTCGCACCACGCTTGCTTCGTGCAGGCCAGAAGGATATGCTTGCCAGAGAATGAGCTGTTTGCAGCGGGTCACTGTAAGGATAGAGCCATCACCGATCTGAAGATTATCCAGTCGGGACAAGATCTCAGAGGCCCCTTGCTGTTGTGACAGAATCTCAAAACATCTAGGCAAGCTGGGTGAGTCATATACTGTCAAGGACCTAAGGTTTGTCAAGGATCCAAAGCCCTCGACTGAAGCAAGTGACTCGCAGTCTACAATTATCAACTCTTCCAGTGCCTTGGAGTATCCCAGCTGTAGAGATGTCAACTCTGGACTTGCCGATATGACTAATGTTGTGATGGTAGGGAGGAAGGACAGCAGACGGGACTGTAACTGTGAGATTCGTGATACAGAGTGTATCAAGTGATGGAGGTGGCGGTGGAACCTGATTAACACCCTGTTCAAGCTCCTGCAGTTTGAGATCCCATACAGTAGACAGCTCAGGATCCATATCAATATCTAAGCTTCGTAGAGATGGTGGCAGCGATCCAACCTCCATCTTACCACTCACCAACAATGGTATCAGTTTGGGGCAACTCTGAACTTTAATGGATTCAAGAGAGGTGTATCCTCGGAGGGCTCCCTCTTCTCCTCCGAACTCTAGATCAGGGCAGTTAGAAATAAATAGATCTCTTAGAGAATGGATGATATTAGATGGAATTTTCAACAGCTGTTCATCCCTATCAGAGTGCGTTGCTGCTGAACCCAAACTGCTGGCACCTTCCATTGCTGCAGGTTCACTGAAGGATAGAAATTTTATTTGTGGGCAGTCATGTAATTTCAAAGTCTTGAGAGACCGCACATGCGAAAGCATTTCCGTTAGCCAACTCCCTGATATGGCACATGACTGAAGGGAGAGAAATCTGACAGATGGGAGGACAAGGCCGCTTGTCATGGTGAAATTAGGACAACCTGTTACATATAAGCCCTCTAAATCGATGAGCTGATTGAGACCTTCACTAGATATAGAGACTAAATTAGGACAATCTTTTATAAACAAAGATTCAATGCCCCTGAGGTTATGGAATGCTAAGATCTTGTCATCAAGCATAATCAACTCATCAGATGTTATGCTGAGCTGCCCATATTCTTTTTCCATTGTTGGATATGTTGGAATCCCCTTGATAGAGAAGTGGGACGTCAGAGCAGAAGGCGGGAGAGGATATGACAGTACCAAACAAGGACAATCATGAATAGTGAGTTCACGGAGACCAGATAGGCACTCCTTGTCCCCTTGGGAAGTGGACATTTGCACAGTTGAAGCTGTTAGCCCGCTGCAACATTCCAGGATTAGCATGTTAATCAACACTAACTTCTGCAGGGAAGGGACTTCCAACTGTCTGACAGCATGGAGGTCTATTAACTCCAAACTCTTGAGCGCATGCATTTCCCTCAGTGGAAGTATTTCCCACTTGCTGCAACATCAATTACAGATTACGCGATTAAAAATTTGAAAGGGCAACTATTCAAGCAACACAAAAACAAAGAACGGATTACTACCTTATATGAGGACAACACCCAATGGTGAGTTCTCTGAGAGACGGAAACCACTGCTCGGCCCCGAAAGGAGTGAACTCATTCAGTTGAGGGCAATCTTTAATAGTCAATACCCTGAGATCAGCAGTCAATTATATCCCGTAAGTACCAATGCACTTCTCCAACTTTGGCATCTCAATTAAGACCAACTCTTCCAAGGAAGGAATTGAGAGTTCAACCAAATTAAACATCTTGACCAATTTCAGTTTCCTAAGCAAAGGAAGAATTTTAGGAGATCTAAGAATTTTCCACTCCCTGCAATTCTCAAGATGAATTGTCTGCAGTGATGTAACCGAGAGATTACTAGAAAGCCATGTTGGAGAGTTAGGATCACTGTACCCAGTTATACTTAGAGTTTTCAGATTATGATGTGGTCGAAGACCCTCAAGCACATCTTTTGATCTGTCAGGTTCAAGGCTCACGCTGCCACCATTCCATGATAAGGACAACTTTTTAAGGTACTCTTTATCTATAAGTCTGGCCCCACTGGCTTCATCTTTAGTCTTCACATTTTCAAGATGAGAGATCTCAAGAGTTACAAGCTTATTCATGGATTGGAGTTGTCTTATCTCAAAACCGCCAACATTTTGAACCTTGAAATTTAGTTCTTGAAGTGATGACATGTTGCCAACACCAGCTATCGCACGGTGCACTTTGTCATGAGCAATAAGATGACGAAGATTAACTAGATTATTCATAGAAGTAGGTACATCATGACTTCCATGAATGCCCACATTCAACACTTGAAGATGATAAAAACTGGTCAAAGCTTGAGGAAGAACGACATCCCCATATGCACCAATAAATTCAAGATAGCGCAGATGATATGGATTTAACGAATTTTGTAAAGAGTTGATGCCAGCATTTGAGACATAAACTCTTAACAACCGTAAACATTTTGCTTCTTTGCAAAAAGTAAGTGTGGGATTTAATAATTTTGTGCTACTCTGTCCAAAAAACATCAAGCTCCTCAGCTTTTGAAAAGGCCTAATCTTCTGTAGTATCTCCTCAAATTTCTCAATGAGAAAATCCTCAGGAGCATCATTTTCATGGCTGGTGGTTATGATGGACAAATGTCGAATGTTTGGTGGAATTACATTAAGCTGAATTCCATTTATTTTAGCGCATTCATTTGATGAAACCTGCTCTGCTAATTCATGCATTAGATCATGCATAGCATAGTGTGAGCCAATTTTTTGGAAAAATCCAAAATCTACTAAATTAGCCAAATATTGCAACCCAGTTTCCTCCAATCCCGCTCCAGTATCTTCATATTGAACAAAATTTTGAGATATCCAAGCCTGGACCAAAGTTTCTTCATTAAACCAGTGATCCTCTGGAAACAGAGAACAATAGGAGAAACAACACTGAAGGTGGAAAGGTAGATAATCGTAACTAAGCTTCAGGATGGGTATAATGTCATCATCTTTTACTTGAAGAGACTTCCATTTGTCCTGAACTGTCCTCCAATGTTCATAACTAACATCTCTGTTCAAAAGTGCACCGACACTTCTTGCTGCTAGTGGGCAGCCCTTTAGTGTTTTAGCAATTTTTTGCCCAATAGATTGCAAACTAGGCTGACCCTCATAGGCCTCATTACCAAATGCGCATGCCTTGAAGAACAGCCAAAACTCCTTTTTGTCCAGACCACTGATTTGGAATGCATTCACTGTTCCTATCATTTGTGCAACCGAGCTTCTTCGAGTTGTTGCTAGCACCGCACAACCGGTTACTTGATTACATTTCAATGGAGCTAACAGCTTATCCCATCCACTACTGTCCCTGTCTTCCCACATATCATCCAATATGATAAGAAATCTTTTATCTCTAATATTCTTCAAAAGAATCTCCTGTAGTACATTGAAATTGCTAACATCTCTGTACTCTTGTCTATCCTTACATACATGCTCTAAGATCTCAAGCGTTAGCCTTACTTCATTGAAGTTAGTGGATACACAAATCCATATTTGCAAATCAAAATGATCAATAATCCTTTGATCTCGGTATACAAATCTAGCAAGTGTTGTCTTTCCAATACCACCAATGCCAACTATTGGTATGACAAGGAGATCACTAGATCCCTCATTTATTAACATCTCTATTATCCTGTCCTTATCTGCATCTCTCCCATACACCTTGGGTTCAATAGGAACAGAAGTTGTCAGGCGTGTGTTCCTGGCCATTCTGTGCCTCTGATTTGATGTCAAACCTCGGCATGGGATCTCTAGCTGAAGAACCCCACTAACAGAATTGCCAGTTTTCTGCAAATTGTTCACTATTCTATTGATCCTCTTAGAAATGTCACGTTTGATATCATGAGGCAGCATGGTGCTATCAGTTGGCTCTTCCTCTTCTCGCTTCCTTTTTCTGCCAGATGAGATCCAGCTAGTAATTTTTTGTCTTGCACTGCATATTAGTTGATAAGCAGAAGATGAAATGGATGAAGCAGCATAGTTTGTCCCAGGATTATTATCAGCAGCAGCACTGGAGCCTTCACCTGCAAAAGCAAACTCAATTTGTTGCGGGAACCAGAAAGGAAAACCGCCTGAGCAAAAGGAGATGTTCCCCTGTACAAAGTTGTAACTGACAATAATTAACAATGGTTAAACCATGTGAAATTATATCAAAACTTACCAACGGAATACAGATGTGATACCTATGTCATTTAGCTGCTCTCAAGTACATATATGAAAGAAGAAAGAAGCAGAAAGCATAGAGCAAGACAGTGTAAGTCATGAACCTTTTTCGATCCAATGTTTGAGCCGGTGGTAGTCGAGCTCGTCCATAACGTCTTCCGCATCATAAAGCAGATCTCTTAGACTTCCCAGTGATTGGGCTAGTAGCTTGTTGTCAATACTTCTTCCTTCGGCAGCAGCAAGCACCCTCTCCACAGCCTTCATCTCAAACTCAAGCTTCTCGATATCTTCAGCAAGCCCAATTTCATGAGTCCAGGCTTCCATCTGTTCAGTGAAGAAGCTCCCAAGGATGCTTTGCACCAGGCATCCTATCGCAGCATCCACCACACTGCCAACTAACCACATCATTTCTCACCACACCAAGGCGTTGGCAGCAGCAGAAACTGTGGTTGCACAAAGGAGAAACCAAACAGATGGATTCAAAGAAAGTGAGAATGATGATGCATCAGAAAGACCGAAAGAAACTACCAGGAAGGCAGGAAGCAAGCAACTCTGTTAGCAGCTAGCTTCAACTAACACAGAGGCCCCAGATGAACTTATAACAGCTGCCCGTGAAACTGTGGGAACTGACTTGGAAGTTGGAAGCAGGACCCAGTGCTCCCACATGCCTACTTATCACACACACACCCCTCAAGAACTTAAGACACCAGTAGACCCGAGAGAAGTCTTCCCTCCACTGTTAAAGAAAATAGATGTATATTAGGTTGTGACCACACAGACACAGAACAGTACTATTATGTACTTTTGTTAGTCTTTGGCTTTGAATCCGGGAATGCACTTTCACAGTTTCACTGTCCCAATCTTTTGCAAATTATATGACGGAAGATGGGATGGTGATTTATCTGTATGCTACAAGCTCCATCGTGAATCAGCAAGAACGCCTTTCAAAAAAAAAAAAGAATCAGCAAGAACGCCCCAGCCGCCCTGCTTTGTGTGGAAGCTAGTGCAGCGGGGAGACGGCAAGAAAAGGCGCTCCGCGTGGCGAATAGATGATTAAAAAAAAATCCAGTTTACTCAGTACACGAACATGTTGATCATCCACCTCCACCGAATAAAGTGTGTTAATTTGGATGGCTGCAATCACTCTGAACCGTATAATGCCACCACCAAATTCCCCTCTTTTCTCTAAGGGGTACAGAAATTTGATTAGACCACTTCATACTATATTAGGATTCGTCTCCGACACGATAGCCACTTCCTGTGAGTAAAGCCAGCCTTTACGACAGTATAATTTTCTCAACTAGACTTGGTGATAAAAAGCATACCTGCTACGAATCACCATAGTCCATATTGGCTTCACCTTTCTTCCCATCTAGCAGCCAAGCTTAATGCTTCTGGAGCCCGCAAAGATGGAGACAGAACAGAAGTTGCTCCGATATCGGCGAGGCATTTCCTCGAACATATGGTGGGCGAGCCCCTCCACCTCCACCCCTCGCGCATCTGCAAGCAGAGCCGTGCGTGGCCGTCTCCGGAGGTGGAGCGCAGAGATGCGCGCCGCCCCTCTTCGGCGTCTCCGGCGGCAAACACGCATCGCATCGAGGGCTTGCGCATGCGCAGGGTGGGATGGGGCCTGGGGGAGATAACACGTGGAGATGGAGACAGCAGAGAGGGTGATGGAGCCAACTTGTGCTTGTGCTGCACTGACGGAAAAACCAAACAAACATGTTGGTTTATAACCAGCAATATGAAGATTTCGCTCCGACGATTATTATAAAGCATATGTTAACTACACCATCCGTTCTATAAATATTTCACTTTTCTGTTTTTTATACAACATTTAACTATTCATCTTATTTAAAAAATTTCTATAATAAATATTTTGTTTATAATTAGACAATAAAACATAAATAATATTTTATACGTGACTTTTTTTTATTTTTCAAAAATAACACGAAGAGCTAAAGCATTGAACACGAAAATTAAAAAAAGAATAAAAAAATGAAAGTCATTGTGAGACAGATTCAGCATTTCGAAGGGAGACGAACTTTTCTTTGATGAGAAAACTCAGTCCACATTTGCTTTCGACGGCTATGGCCTAAAACGCTAGTACTCGTGACTGCGAGAACATCTTGACAGAGCCAAAATTACAATACGTGAGCACAAGTGTATAGTTACAGCCTGACGAGCGAGAAGCCAAAATTACGAAGAATTCAAGGATCCATCATTGCGGAACTTTTAAGTTTCGGAAGCAGTTAACAGTGCCATTAAGCCACAAAGCACTATATTATGATAAGAATGATTACGAAGTCAAGAGGTTCCAAAATTGCCAAATCTGTCGGGCAAATTTACCAACACGGTCCCAACTGCCAACAAAGTACATAACACGGCTAGAATGTAACAGTCCGGAGGTAGCCAATTCACGGCTCACTAGAATCGCATATATTAGGGGGGATGGAGATTACTACAGTACTAGAACAAAATCGGCTCAAATTGTTCGTCTAGTCGTCGTCACCGAATGTTGTCTTCTTTCCTGCAGATAAGAAAGCAAATAGTATTAATTATGACAGCTCCACTTATCCTACATCAAGTCCAAGCAGCGAGTGTAAAAGCTGGGTAAATTGCAATTTGGTGCGGTAGAAGTTTTACCTGCACTAGGTGTACCAGCGCTCTGCTTGAACGGTGTACCCCGTCCACCATGGCCCCTGTCACCCCTACCAAAGCCTCTACCACGTCCACGGTCACCGCGCCCACGGCTACCATCACCACGTCCACCACGTCTTCCTCCTCTCCCACTGCTGTTAAAGTCTCTTCCACCGCTGAAGCCACCCTCTCTGTTGTTATCGGGCCTAGGCCTCGCTTCATCAACATACAAGCTGTATCCACCGAGGTCAGATCCATTCAGTTCGTATGCTTTCGACAAGGAACCGTTGTCCGCAAAATCCATGTACGCCATCCTGCATCAGGAAGCAAGCCACATGTCAGTGACGATAATAGATAGGGCTACACCAAGTGCAGGGGTCAAAAACGAAGAGAATACTGTGTTCCGCAAAGGGCATTAACAAAGTGTAATGTGTTAAATAAACGTAACAGAGGCAACTGACCCTTTGCTTGCACCGGTTTCATAATCCTTTGGAATTGAAACCCGTGTAATCTCTCCACACGAGCCAAAATGTTCTTCAAGTGAATTCCGGATCTAGTAAAGAAAAAAGCAGATGAAACATATAGTGCATGTTCAGAAAAAGAAAAGTAGACAACACAATCAGTAAAAATTTCTAATACAGCACCGTGAGGATAAAATGGAACTTACCTGGTGTATGTCAAGAGAAGTATCAAAGCCTTTAATAAATATAGTGTTTCCTGAGCTTTGAGCAGGCTTCTTGAAAGAACTATTGTCCCTCCTGAGCAATTACACAAAACTATCATGGCCCCATTTACATTGCGAAAGACAAACAACGATCTTTTCCAAAGCATATTTGAATTCTTTTTTTCTTTTCTGATGCATACAACACAAGATAAGGAATTACCCGCTGCCAGGAGTATACGCGCCTCTCTCACGAGCCAGGTCAAGCCTGACCGGCCGTCCCATCAGGTCATGACCAGCAAGTTCAAGTGCCTGAAAATAAAACAATTGATGGCTAATAAGTTTGATTGGCTAAACTTGGTGGCAATAAACTGCTTTCTTCATGTCCATGGAACCAATATATTATATACTGAATAAGTCACCAAAAAATATTGATGAGGATGTTGACCTTCTTAGCAGCTTCCGCTGTGGCAAATTCAACATGTCCAAAGCCCCTGAAGTTCCCATCTTCAAAGGTACTGAAACGAATATCAACAACTTCACCTGCCTCCTGGAAAAATTGCTTCCTACAGGAAGTGAACAATGAAATTAGCAGACATAGCTTTGAGACAGAAGGAATTATAAACACATTTCACAAACTTACACTTGTTCTTGCTCCACATTGTATGGTAAATTTCCAACAAAAAGAGTCTTTGACCCGGTAGCTTGATTTTGGTTGCTGGCAGGCGTTTTTGGCTGCAATTAATGAGGTTAAAACTGATTCTCCAACAGACATCAAACATAAAAGATAACATTGCAGAATAACAGTATCAAGAGTGGAAACATACTTCCTCTTGTCCCGGTTTTGTCGCAGACTTATTCGAACCAACAGACACAGCAGTTTCCTGAAGGATAAAGAAGCTTTTACTAACATAAATCTGCTATAGTTGAAGAACAATGTGATGTCCAAAGAAATCATATGCACGAATTTTACAATATACAGTACCTTCTTTTGGGGAGTTTTTGCTGGTTCATCACTTTCCATGTCACTATCTTCTTCAGAAGATTCATCGGAGCTGCTACTCTCTTGTGCTACTGGTGCTTGCTACAATTTCAGACAACAACAACATAGAGTTAAAGAGTAACCACATACATAAATGAGAAAAACCTAGGCGTCTTAAGTCTGCAGACCACCTTCTTAGCTTGAGTTTGTTTTTGCTTAACATCCTCATCAGAGCTTTCATCAGAACTGTCATCTTCATCACTTTCGTCATCACTGCTGATTTCTTTCTTGGTAGCCTTAGGGGAAGGCTTGGTAGTACCAGAAGTTGTAGAATCCTGGAGTCCGAAGAGATAGCAATTGTAATCATGAATAAAAAAACATTAAAATGTGCAAAACAAAAAGAAAAATAAGTACCTTAATCTTCTTTTGCGGAGGTTCATCACCACTTTCCTCAGAACTCTCATCAGAACTATCTTCAGATTCATCCTTGGACTGCAACGAGGTGTACCCCCAAGAGGCCAAGATTATCACAGGAAAAATAGCACATGAGACAATTTTACTCGTACTTGGAAACAAACTTCAGAAAAAGAAAGCATACTTGTCCCTTCTTTGTGTCTTTTGTCAGTGGCCTTTTTGCAGGAATAGTAGGTTTTGCTGGCTGCAAGACATTGGGTAAGATTTTAATATTGCACAACAATTAGTAATCAAAAGTAACAAGTGCTAGCACACGTACTTCATCAGAATCAGACTCAGATTCAGAGTCACTGTCTGAGCTATCACTGGATTCTTCTTCCTTTTTAACAGCAGCAGCCTTGGCAGGAATAATTGTTTTAGCAGCCTTCACAGGCAATGTAATTGCATACAAAAAAAATATCTATGGATAACAAAGCCTCTGTCAACATCACTATAACAGTATTAAGGTGCCCACCTCATCATCAGAGTCTGAATCACTTTCAGAATCAGAGCTTTCACTGGATTCTTCCTTTTTCTTGGCTACTGCTGGTGCTTTAGTCGGCACATCCTGTAGATATTGCTCTAGTCAGATCAAGAAACATATTTTATGTAAACATCTTCTATCAACACTCCAAATATTAAGTCATAATATCAGGAGAAGGGAAGCAATAGCTGTGTGCCACCCGAGCACTTGGAATCTTACATAGCAGTGCAACACAAATTGTATGGTCGCTTACCTCATCTGATTCAGAATCAGAGTCACTATCAGAACTGTCAGACTCCTGGGTCTTCTTTTGTATAGCAGCAACTGAAGGTTTCTTCACTGGAGCAGCAGTTTTCTGAAATCAAGGATATGCAACAAGCTTGTTAGTGTAATGAGACAAAAAGATTTTCTGGAACAAGAACCAAGAAGAGAAACAGAAGAACAGTGTAGAAATTGCAACGCTTCAAGTCAACCAAACAGATGTGTTCAATTCAAAGATTTGGTAGAAATTCAGGCACATCGAACTGCCTTTTATACATACTGTCCTTCATATATTTAGCATAATAATGTATCATATGACCGATATAATTGATGATACGAAATTCACAAAATACTGAAACAGAACATATAACTTTATGAGCTCTGCTGAACTGTTGGTGTAAGATGTAAAGCTTCAGAACCAAGAGCATTAAAAATCAGGGGATATTAAATCTTACAATAATGCATATGCAGATGATATGCACATAGACAAAGAATAGATCAAACAAGAAACTAATATAGCTGGTAGTAATAAAATCTCAAATTTTACAAATCATATTCATGATAGCAAAATAGAGATGGTACAGCACAATAGGTTTGGCCAATGATGAATGAAGAGAAAGAAACAATGAATACTGTCCTTCCAAGTTAAAATGGGAAACAAATACTCACTTTATCATCCTCATCAGACTCCTCATCAGAGCTGCTATCAGAGCTGCTGCTGTCTGTCTCAACCTTTTTTGATCCATTGGTAGCAAGTGCAACTGGCTTCTTCAAAGGGGCAGCAGGCTTTTTCACAGGTTCATCATCTGATAAACTCTCATCACTGCTATCATCACTGCTGCTACTGTTGGTAGAAAGTGCAGCCTTATTTGGACGAGCAACAGGTTTTTTTGCAGGCTCCTGGATTAGAAAAATAAAAAGTAAACCATAAGCTTCTTAGCAACAAAAGTAAACAAAACCCACTCGCAAAAAACAGATAAAAAAAGCATACATCATCTGAGGAGCTATCATCACTGCTATCATCACTTGACTCCTCTTTAGCAGGTTGTGCAGCCTTCTTCGGTTGGACAGTCTTCTTTGGTTGGGCCTTTACCTGCAAAGAATTTTGAAAATAATTAATAGGAAGAAAGCAGTGCAAAGAAAAAAAAAACTCCATGTTCATTATAATTTGGAACACACGAAACTACACAAAATAAACAGTTAACGAAAGAAAACATGCATCTTCAATATGAAATGACCTATTTTCATATGAGACTGAGGCAAAAGAGGAAAACTTCTACTGTTTAACCAATGTTCAAACTATTCAATCTCAGAGGTCAAAATTACAGCTTGACAGCATATAGATAATAATACAATTTCTGCTACTTCTACTGATTCATTAGTTCCTCCAAAAAATTCATTAGTTCCTCAAAGCAAACATTTGTAATAACACTTTAGCCCAAGGCATTCAAGAAGAAAGTCAAACGAGATAGTATAAATAATAAAATATAAAAGTTGTATAAATATAGGAGAAATACTGAGATATAGTGCAAGCTACTGAGATAAAACAGGTGGTCGGAGAAAATATCAGCCAATTTTAATCCTGAGCATTCAAGGTCACAAATACCATGAATCTTATAATAGTAAGCAAAGCAATCAATCATCTGATATACAATACCTATATTGAACTAAGACTCTAAACAGAAGTCAGATTAAGAGAATATCAGCAAGCTACATTGAGGAAGATTGAACTAGTTACCTCCTCTTCAGATTCTGAAGAATCCTCCTCAGAACTGCTGCTCTCAACCTTCTTCGGTGGGGGCTGCTTCTTCACTTTTTTGGCTTCCTCCTTTGAGGGCACAACCTTCTCACGTACAGTCTTTTGTTTCTTGGCACTCACAGCTTTCTCAATCTCATCTTCTGCATTTCTCTTTCCTGCTTGTTATAAAAAAAATTTTAGATAGAACTGAACAACTGCAATAAACAATAAGACATGAGAGGCAAGAGTATACAAATGTTACCCTTCTTCCCAGATTTCCCCTCTGAGACTGAGACAGAGGTAGGTGCAACTTCAACAGCAGATTTCTTGCTTGACTTGCCCATATTAAGTATTGCTTAATTAATTCTACAAAAGCAGATGATGCTGTTTAGCAAAACAAATCACAATAATATAATATATCATTAACACCACTATAACAATAAGAACACAAGTGGTAATGTAGGATTGAAGAACCCTATTTGTTTTTAGAATAAGATTGATGCTGTAGTAATATTAGTTGCAAAGAGCAGGTTTAGACAAATAAGGATTAGTGTAACTAATTCGTTGGTAAATAAACGGGTTCCTCATGGCAAAGAAAAGACCAGACACCCAATCTTGGAAGGAACAAAAATTCAAGCTGTAGGCCAGATCAAAATCTGATCAAACAAAAAGACCCTCGTTGGAAAATCCAAAGCCTAGATTCTTAAGACCAACTACAGGTTAACGCATCACAAATATACGAAGCATAAATGTATACCACCAGCAGTGCACCCCATCTTAACTATCGAAAAGTGAATCCAATGATGTAACATGGATGTGCCACATCTTTCAAATAATATTAACCGTTGGATGCTAACAGTAAAACAGGATTTACCGTTGGATAGAGATACATATAAGAAAGGAAGTGCTTGCAAATGTTCCTGAGGCCTCCAGAGCCAAGACAGGAGCAACGAGTGACGGGGAGATGATCATGAGCAACAGCAAGAGGCGTGAGGGTAGATGCCAGTTTAATCTTACAATTTGACCTTTCTATAAAATCATTTTACACAAGCCCTTAATTTGACATATCACTGTTGCAAAATGGTAAAACTTATTTATAAATGGATCTGTGGCTTATTTACATATGGATCAGAGTTGAGAAATTGGTATTTTAGAACTTGCATGGCTTATATTATAAGAACTTACATAAGTATAATAATTTGAAAAGGTTTTCTAATAAGTACTACAATAAAAAGGAAAATGTTGATAGCTTTACATGAAGTACAACGTGGAAAGGGGATAACAATGAGTTTACCATATGTAACGGCTCAAATATATATGAATTTTATATAGGTTTAAAAAGTCATGTAAACCACCCAATTGATACACTAGAACACCTCCGTCACCCGTATTGTTAATATGTATATTTCTAAAGTTCAGATATGACAGTCATGCAACAATAGAGATGGTGAGAAGGCACGGCTCAAGTTGCATTGAAAGAAGACGGTTATTTATACTCAAATTTTTACGCCAAAAACTACAAACTTCAACACTGTATAATACTATGGTTAGAGTCGAGCGAATGTGCGACTTGGTAAACTGGTAAAGATGAAAGATAGAGGCAGCTCGTGCTAAGTGTATATGCTACTACTCGAACAACAATCAGCGTATGCAAATAAAAAAAAGTTCCCTTCCAAAGCAATGAATAAACTGCTGGTAGTCTTGGACAAGCATATTCACATACCACCATGGATTCTACCAGCAGACCAACATAAGCAGGAAGCGGTCAGTTAAAAGTTAAAACAAACCATCCCTTTGTTCAGGAAAAACAAATAGCTTTGAACTCCATCCACCAGCTAGAAATCAAGAACACGTACGCTCCGAGTTACATGCCCAACAGGCTACCATCCGAAAACATTCCACTCCTTATTCACATAAACCCTAAACCCTAGCCTTACCAACCCCCCCCGGCAACCCCACACCTAAAATTCACCGAAGTAGAGTCACGCGGGAGTGAGGAGCGACTTACCCAAACGAGGAAGCGACACCGGCGAAGCCCCGCGCGGCCGGCGACCACTGCGGGCGGCGGCAAGCGACGGAGAGGCGAGGCGGACCTGGGGGCTCGAGGTGCGCGGGCGGGGAGGTAATGGGGGAGGCGAGACCGCACGGGCGATCCTTTTATATGGCGGCACCTGCTGCTAGGGTTGTCCCTGCCCGCCGCCAGGCCACGGGGCCACCAGTGTCTGTGGGCTGTAGCTTGGGCCGGCCCAGACCGGGCTGGACCTCCTCACGTAGGTTTCATCGGGGAATAAGTTCACTTTGGGTCCCTTAATAAGTGAGTGGATATGATTTGTATCCCTAATCTACAATTCGGATATCCCGACTCCCGAACTATTGAAACCGGTGCAATTTGACTCGCTCGATGGTTTTGGAGAATGGTTTCGCTGACGTGACGTTGTTGACTTGGTGTTCGTCTCATGCGGCGTTTGGCGTGGCGCTTATGTGATATTAGAATTTAAAAAAAATATGTGGGACTCATTTGTCATTCGCACGAGAAAAAATTGTGGAACCCACTGACATATGGGCCCCATCTGCCATTCTTGTTGACAAATAAAACGGACGGTCAAGCGTTGGAGACGAAAATCTATAACCGCATTTAAAATGGGACGGAGGTAGTATTTTACAAATAGACTCTTGAAAAATTTATTAAAGAAATGAACCCTTCTCTCGGTGTCAGTGACCCCGACGTTGAGGTTCATGTCACTGTCTTAATGATATTGGCACCGACACCCTCCCTTTCCGCAGAAGCTACGTCACTAATGTTAAGAGAATCGGTGTTGAGGATCTATTTGTAAAAAAATAAAAAGGATTAAAATGTAAAAAAATTCTTCAGACAGGTCGTTTATGCTAGTGTCTTTGGCGCCAATGACATTGGCTTAGTTTTACATATGTGACTTAGGGGCTTTTTGGTTTGATACCAAAATGTTATCATACCAATCTTTTGGTAGTTTAAATAGTAAATGTGATGATTTGGTTTAAAGCCAAATGTTTGGTAATGTCTATACTTAATTTGATACAAATTTTGAAAATTCTTCACCACAATTTGAAATTTGGCTCTCATTGGCATAAATCCAAAAAGACTCATTTACAATTATACCTTACCAAACTATTGATAGTCCCAAAAATTGCCTAGAGTTTAGCACTACCAATATATTGGTAGGGTACTAAACCAAACAAGTCCTTAATTTCTATAGGAGAATGAGGGTGAGATATTGAACCTCGGTGTTAACATAATAAGTTTATTTAAGAATTTAATTATAAAATAAGTTTTCAAAAAGGGCTAAAATGTAAAAAAAAATCCACAAGCGATCGATCAAACGGGTGACGTGACGTAGCGAGGAAGAATGGCTTCGTCGTCGTCGTCGTTCCCGCGCGCGGGCGGACATGTCGGGACCGCGGATTGTGACTTTGTGAGGCGCCTCTCCGCAGTATAAAGCAAGGGCGACCTCCCCCCCCCCCCCCCCCCCCCGCGTCTATTTTTTACCTCCACTTCTGCTGGTTAAAGGCCTTTTTCTCCCTCCTCCCTCGCGTCGTCCCCGGCGGCCGCCCGGGCGTCATTCTCGTCTCTCGGCCACCATGACGACGATGGTGCGTGTTCCTCTCGTCCTCTCACCGACTCGCTCTTCAAATTTCGTTTGCGTCGTAATCGGAGATTTTTTTTTTCCATTTGCAGGACAAGGGCCGGGCGCTGCCCAAGTTTGGGGAGTGGGACGTGAAGAATCCGGCGTCGGCGGAGGGCTTCACGGTGATATTCCAGAAGGCTCGCGACGACAAGAAGACGACCGGCCCCGGGAACGCCAGGGTGGGGATACCGCCGGCCTTCCGGAGCACCGACGACGACGGCGGCTACAGGCCCGAATTCAAGCCCGCCGAGAGCTACCAGCAACACACGCCGCCCAAGCGCGTCAAGGTACGCAGCGATCGACCACGTTGGGCTGCGTTTTGATCTTTTCTTGTTTGAAATGACTTTTGCTGGTTGGTTTCTTTGCAGAAGAAGTGGGCATTCTGCGCCGGGTGTTGATTTTCTGGCTTCTGCTGCTGTTTTTTCGGATGAGGCGGATCGCAATTATTCACAATTGCCGCACCAGAAGTATTCCTGATGGGAGCAAGAGCAAAATAGGAGAGGAGGGGGGGGGGGGTGTTTCTGTGATCATGGTGTTCGATCTCTTCACGTTTATTTGACCATGTTTCATATGAATACATTGCCCATTTGTATCGAGAAGGGGGCAGAAACCAAACTGATTGCAGATTCCGTCTAGCCATTTCTTCACGTCGATATGTTAATGCCGAGAATCGAATTCGTACAAATTATCAAATCGATAACATGAAAAACACATGAAGTACATGGGAAAATAATATTGATGTTCTTAGTTGTTTACAAAATAAATCATGAATAATATGATAACATTCATCGGCCTGAATCCGAGTCAAAATTGTTGTGCTAACAGCACCAACTACAGAAACTAAAGCATCGAAACCACAGATCACCAATCAGTTACTAGTATTTACCACGGTGACACGAGCAGACTGCAGATCACACTACGCGTTTAAGAATGAGAGCTGGCTATTTTCAGCATTCCGCATTCGAATGTTGCCAGCATATTGGCGAAGATATGAAAACTTAAGCAGCTCCATGAGAGAATGCTGCATGGTCAGCAGTTGTATGATGCATGCAGGGGCAGAAGATCAATACATCAGCAGTTCTATTATACATGAATGAATGGTTTGACTTGTTCCCCATGCATCCTGCACATCCATAATCATCATTATGACATCCACCTTTTCCCACGAGTCTGTTTCTATTTCGCCTGATTTTTCATCAGCTTTCTGCTTTTTGTTCACCCATAGGGGGCTCCATAGGATTCCTATCATCAACTGGTTCAGGGTGCCTGGTTGTACTAATTTCCGTTGAACCTGGTAATAGTTCTCCTATTGTGCTCTCAGGTACCGAGGTTCCAGACAAAACTTCAATCTCCTTTTCAACTCTTAATTCAGTTGTGCCAGACATAACATCCTCAATTCCATCCATCTGATCCACACTACCAACCTCGCCATTTGGAACTGCTGTGTCGTTCTCAGGTACGTCAGCAGGTTCTGCTTCTTCCTCCCTCCATTCCACAAATTCAGGTGGGCTTTCTTTTACATCTGGAGTTGGTGGTCTGATGTCATCTTCCAATTTATCAATGGAGACATTTGTCAAGCCTGTGTGACTAGATTCTTCATTCAAGTCGACTGCTAAAAGTGACTCTGAACCCTTTCTGCCATCTGTAACCTCAGTAAGAATGACTTCATCATTCTCATCATCAACATTTGGAGAAGATATCTCTGAATTTGGGGATGGGGAAGCTTCTGGGTTGACCTCGCCGTTCAGTGCTTTATCCTCACCAAATGCAAACCAATTGGAATTTGTAAACAAGGAGTTGCTGCAAGGCATATTATTCATCAGCCAATCCTTATTGCGAGCATTTAAATGAACTTACGAAAGAGCACATACAATACAAAGAGCATAGACTAGAAAATACCTGTCATGTTCATCACCAAGACGAAGAGAGGAAATAACCACTTCAGCAGATTCATCGTCAAAATATACGTCCTATGGAAGTAAGTAAAAATTAGAACATGCACTCACATTGTATGAATCAGGAATCTTGTCAACTTGATATATAGCATGTAAGGATGCCCAAACCTAAGCAAAAAAGGTGAACATACCTCATCATCTCGCTCATGTGGTACTTGATCCTGCATATATCACCCACCAAAGAGTAACTCGTCAAATATATATGCATGTGTAAATTTCTTTCATAGTTGCATCTAAAAGACAAACTAAAATACACTTCTTAGGTCCACAATTGGATAGTTAGAAAATTAGCCTCACAAAAAAACATAAATCCAGCATTTCAGGTGGAATTCTTAGGACTCAGAATCTCGAGTGAATCTTCAATGTACACTAGTGGGCCCATATTAGAGAATACAACTTTGCAGATCAAACTAAAAACAATACAGAATCAATCCAAGACTAATAATGCAAACATACTCCCTCCATCCCAAAATAACTTCATTTTTAGTTTTGGGTGTGCAAAACAAGGTAGAGATAGAAAAGGTAGTATTGGTGGGTGGATGGTTAGGTAAGGAGTTGGTAAGGCTTATTGAAGAATAAAGCTCATCGATTTTTGAACCGAGGGTAGGTAAAACCGTAAGAGGATAGAAATGAAGTTATTTTAGGACTAATGGTAGAGACTAGAAGTGAAGTTTAACGGAGGGAGTAGTTATTAACTACTCCCTCCGTTTCGCAATATAAGTCATTCTAGCATTTCCCACATTCATATTGATATTAATGAATCTAGACATATATATCTATTTAGATTCATTAACATCAATATGAATGTGGGAAATGTTAGAATGACTTACATTGTGAAACGGAGGAAGTATATCTTAATAGAATGAATTTTGTTCAACTGCTGACCTCATCAATATCTTCATAACTGTAAATACCATATTTAGATGCCTGACTCAAATTGCTAGCAAGCGCAGCAACATCGTAGTCCCTATCTCGAAAGTCTTCTTCATCACTGTCCCTACCTCGATCCTGCAGTGTTGTTGGCCGGCTATGACCAGATAAATGATACAGTGTTTAGCAGATCCTTTTTCCCCAGAAGATGTCAAAGGCATGTAGAAAGCAAGCTAAGTTGTACGCAGGATATGAAGTCTGGAGTAAACCCCAATAACTTATATGAACATGCATGACATATATTCTGATCCTAAATTATTAATGAATTGGCACTGGAAACATAACCTATCTGTTTCTCCATAATAATTACTCCCTCCGTTTCATATTATAAGACTTTCTAGCATTGCCCACATTCATATAAATGTGGGCAATGCTAGAAAGTCTTATAATATGAAACGGAGGAAGTAATGAGTAAAACTGCCACATTCAGCTTGAACTTACCATCTGATGAACTATTATACTGTGCAAATTCATCACAAAAAACAGTCATCTGTCCATTTGTAAAACTAAAATTTTCAGGGGTTGACCATAGTATATGCATGGAGCTAAAATAGACAAAGTTGGAGCTCAAGCTCAATGGAAATTAAATCATCTCTCTTCTAATGGCATATGGTGGTAATAGACTAATAGTTGTTTGTGCTACTATCAAAATGAATTACCTAATTATTCCAAAATAAAACATTATTGACCATATCTTCTCTGAGAAAATGGAGTGGCAACTGCCAAGAAATCTATCAATGCCTAATACACTTTTAGAGATCAGGGCAGCACTGACACAGTGGACCACACGTGCAGCCATATTCTTAGAATTATGTGGTTTTTATCTTTTACCTTCAGCACAGCACAGTCAAAGTGGTTCATAAGGAGACAACAGGCAGAAATAAAGAAGAATTCAAACAGAAAAAATATGGTATTATTCGTTGAAAATTATACATACAGATTGCAAATGATTAACATAAAAGAATTAAACATGGTACTTACCCACAAGCCCACTGGTAAACATTTTCTACTGCGTTACACCTAGTTAGGGTTCCAGCATGCCACTCAGCCCACCCAGAATTTTGCTGAAAGAACCAAATCAAGTGAGTCAAACAAAGAATGCTGCCACTAGAATTTTCAAAAGCATATCACACAATCAAAATTTGCAAGAATGAGCTTGTATAGAAAAACAAACCAATAAATATTTAAGAAGCTACGAGGCCCGTAATAAACATATTGATTGTTGTATTGGATATTTCACGTAATCATTATGTTCAACAGACAGTGTGGTTAAGACATGTCACCTTGGATCATGTTTAACTTTCATTTCCTGTATTATAAGGGAAGTATCATTCAGAACACTAATGGGTTAACCCAAGTTTAATGCAAACCATCAGATATTCTGTATGCAAGAACCATTCATGTCGACCACTTGTCTAGGGATCCATCAGATAATTGGCAAGGGACCATTAATAAAACCACTAACATGTCGGGGATGTAAACAATACGAAGGTTTCCCTATGCATAATCGAATACAGACCTGCAAATGTGATTGAATTATGCTGTTGGTCTTAGCCAGCTGAATGAGTTTGTTAGATATGCGTGTCATATGACCAACAAGTCCGATCCTTGGTGTAAATCTCCCCTCCAAAGGAACCGTGTGCTGAAAGGGGAATTGCAAGTAAATATAATTGTTTAATAAAATAAAGAGTGGGATATTAATTTAGTACCTTAGTTAAATCTATTGATAGAGCAGAGTTCTTCTCAGCTTCCAAAATTCTTGTAACAAGCTTACACTCATCAAGAACATGACAGATCAGCTGATCCTGCTTACTATCTAAACAAGAACTGATGATGCTCTCCACATGGTGGTGCAAAAAGTTGTTAAAAGGGTACCTAATGATTAATTATATGTCAGCTCCTTGACAAACTTATGAGAAACAACATTGCAATTTAACTTACTCAAAAAATAGATCTATGACACGCTTGATTGCTCCTAGATGGATCAATCGAATTTCAGCAGCTTCACTTCCAATTGAGAGCAGGACGGAGATGAACTCTACAATCTGAAAAAAAAAACATCAAGAATAACAATGAAAAATGTAAAGCAATTACCTAAACAACAGAAATCAAAGGTCAAATAGACATCTGGCACCAATGGTATGGATAAGTATATTTATATTCAAGGTCTTCGCAGACAAAAAAGTGTATAATTGTGCAACAGCGATGTAAAATGCTGGCAAACACAAATAGGCACAAATCGCTGTTATGTCATGTAATCTATGCACTTTGTGGCTCGACAGACCTGCATATAATTAAGCACTCATACCTTCAAGCGTTGCTTTCCTAGAGGAGGTTGTAAGACTCCATATGTCGTTGGCAGAACATTTTCAGCAGATGAAACATCCAGCAGCTTCAACAAATCACCTTAAACATCATTGGTAGAAATTAAGATCTTTCAGTGCATTAGCCTTGGAGGTTGGAGCATACATCTTTATGTGTTACTTGCACTTTATAATCATAAGAACTAAAAGAAATAGTTGAATGTAGGATGCTTAAATGATAGTAGAAGAATGTATACATGTTACTCAAAAGAGGTATTCAGAAGTTTTATATGTGTCTTATCATTGGCTACACCATTTTATGAAGATACAAAGCTTTCCTGAATAATACTCAGGTAAAGGTTCTGAATTAATAAAAGCAATCCACAACAAGAGCTGGACTTAATTGTGGACAGCAAATAATGTAAAATGACAATAAAGGATGTATATTTTAAAGGACCATAGCCAGAGTGACTCACCAAACGAAAAGATATATGGACATAACAGCTTAAGGAACCACTAACCTAGGCTATCCAGCATGCCACCAACTGTCTCTGGACTTGCAGTGACCAATGTTGCATGGCTTAGTTGACTACGGAAAACTTGGTAGGAAGCTAATACAAGTCTCTTAGGATCCAACAAAGATATGCACACTGACAATGAGTGGACCAACACCGATTTAGGCCTTGAATCTTCAAAAGCATGGTGAAATAGTCTCGCCACAAAACTGCAACCATGAAGTAAAAAGGATACACAGAATTGTTTTGAATATCAAATTGCTATCACAAAGCCCAGAGACTTTACACATCTTAAAAATTTCAGCAATATGGGCAGATGGAAAAGCACCTTGCACTGGATATTTTTGTAGCAAGCGCTGGTGGGGCATATCTAGTTATCGCACAAAGGATTTCAGCAGCGTTTGCATGAACCTCAGGAGAATCCTTCAACAGAAGTTATAACGAGTATGTTAATAAAAAAAAGCATTACCCACAAATTTCTATTATATATGAACAGCATATAAATAGCCAACACTTCCTGCATTTGAATATGATAAAAATTGTGCCATCTTCAAAAGAATGGAATGTAACCAGTTAGTACTTGAGGACAGTACTTGATCATTTAAATTCCAAGGGAAGTTTTAACTTATTTTTCCGTTAAAACTGGAAGCATGCATGCTGACCAGAAATTAACGAAGTAACAAGCAGCGGTCCTATTGTTAAAATAGTTTGGAGCAACAATAAACAAGACAAGCAGAAGATTGACAAAGTGAGACGAGATGCTAAAAGTAATCTTTAGTTCTTACAGATGAACTGAACTTGTCAACAATCATCTCAAGGACCTTTATGTCATCCAACCATTGCATTGAGTCAACATAACCAGAATACATAGTTTCATCAGCACCGATCAAGCGGATCAACACCTGCATTACAAACCAACAAGCTATCAAACTGTTTAAGCCGATTAATCAGTGATGTTATTTGTTACCATGACTTTCCAAAGCTACAGATGATTTTTTTTGGCATTTAAATTTGTCTTTAGAAAGCTAACCTCCATTATAGAAGTTATACCAATAAGGTCAACAAGTTGGCTAACTATTTCAGGATGGCCCTGCAGCAGGAATAAGCAACACATAAAAATCAAATCCGTAAGTAATATTTATGCACAGAACACCAATGTATGGATTCACCTCTCCACAGTACAACCTTTAAACATAATATGAATGGTTACAAGAGATGTGAAAAATGAGTTTCAGATGTTCAACATGTGTAAAGCTGAGACAAATGAGAAACTCATCTACAAGTGCATGTTCACTGTCACAGGTTTTTAGTTCTACTCTATGACCAACTGTCATTTTGATGATTCCAACTTTAATACTCTACACCTATTTGTGTTGCAGCCCCAGATGTAGATTTGATACCTTAACACCCGTGCACAACATCAAACAATAGGTGGATGTGGATCTTATAGAAAGAACGTAAATAATGGGCTAATGGCAACGAAACAATCACAGCATGAGAAGTTTTGGCAAAGACCAACTGCAAATTCTTTCAGCACAGCCTTGGAGATACAAGGCATTGTTGCTCTACCACACGCCCACGTCCTTCTTAGACCTTTTGAACAAATATCCTTGCTCGTTAGAAGAATCTAATGCTAAACATATATCACACCTTTAATCCACTCATGTGCCAAATTGCTCATCCTTGCTTTAAGATGAGTTTCCATGTCTACGCTTCAGTGGATTCTTTGCGTCAATACAGTTGCATCCCCTATGTAGCCTCACAACTATCCTCCAAACCTATACTGAAAATGAATTACTCTAGATTATTTATAGCACGTCACTAAGTCCTAAAACAATTTATATCCTAAATGGATTAGATTCACCTCTCCCAAAAGTGACATCAGCTGAACAAACATTGCTTCACAAAATGGCGTTAGCTGTAATAGCTGTTGCACAAATTGCTTACTACAGAAACCACTGTTTCACAGTAAATACAAATGCATAAGAAAGACAGATGAAGGCAAGGCTAACTTGGGAGAACAGTGAGCGAACAAAAGAGCAAAGGAAGAGCTGACAACTGACAGCAGAACTACACAAACCTGCACATAATTGACGAATGGGAGAGTCTTCCTCAGCATCAAGCAAATCACGACCTGCAAAAGGTAGCAGTATATAATGACCATTTAATCAGCCAGGCTGAGACAAAAAATTTGCAGACGTGAATGGTTGCATAAAAGTACCTTACAAAAGTAACCAGCCAACAGTGTCCCATGAGGTCGGTCAGGTTTTAAGTAGGAGAAAAGCAAGTCCATGAGCTGCACAGATAGCATGGCTTCATTAGTCATACAAGATAATTGTACACCATGATAGGAGAATAATATTGTATCAAGCTAACATAAGAAAACTAAAATGAAACATACATCTTCATTCTCCACTAATGTCTTCATTATGACATCCACTTCACATGTAAATATTTCACAAGCTACAAAAGGAAATCTGCACACAAAAATTCGTGAGAATTCCACATGTGGGGATTGCATTAAGTGTTTTTTTATTCAACCATAAGCCATGTATACCGAAATATCCTCTTCTTTTCAGCATCTTCAGGTGCCTCTTCGACAATGTAGTGGAGTAATTGCTCCACTTGAACTTTGTCCCGCAGACTGCAATGACCAGAATAAATGAATAGCACATTATCAAATCATCTTCCGGTGCCATATAATTAAAGGATATTAAATTTATGTGTGGTTCAACTAGCAAAGCTATATTGTGGATGTGCGCCCATTCCTCTTGTATGTACACTTGGCCACACATTCATAACCTCTCCTTTATTCACAAGTCGTACACCAGATTAAAAAGAATTGCGGTAAGAAAAATGTAAAGAAAAGGTGATAATAAACATGCCAGGAAACATTCATGTAGCTGGTTGAAATAAGGTTCGATGACTTATCATACAGTACTCCACTTTAACCCAAGCTTAGTGAGGATCTCCCTCCTATATACTTACCTGTAATATGCTACTATCTTAGGCATGAACAGCATTCACAGAGCAGACATTTGGTAGTACATATAGATAACATAGATAGTCACACATATCCATTTGGTGAACAATATCAGCATACGCTCTAAGATCAATCACAACTCAAGGAAGGAAAAAAAAATGCAACGGAAAAACTGTGTCCCAGAATAGAAATTGTACAAGAAAACAACTACAGAGAAACAGTACTCTAAAAGAGAAATAGTACAAATTGATTAGGCGGGTGTTTAGTGCTTTGCACTCCTGGATTATTTCATCCTCATCAAGAAGGTCCTCCAACTTGAAATTTTCCTTGTCTAAAATAGTATCCACCTGAAAGAAATAGCAAGATGACCGCTGAATCAAACAAATATACCTTACACAACACATGGTCACTAAAAGTGTAAGCACTCACCGGTGATGCAGCAGAGATTCCAGGTACGTGCCAAAACATTTTGCACAGTAACAACTATCACTGTCCAGTGCTCTTAACACCTCACAAACCAAGTGGATTTAGAGCTCAAACTTCCACATTCTGAGAAGATTCATCATTTATGTTCAGACTTCAGACTAGACCCTGCAATAGCTGATTGTGAGAAAAAACAGAACCACATTTTAAATTGATGAAGAAAATACAGCTATGATCAATCATAATGAACTACACGCTGTTGTCCATTATAAGCATTAGCACTATAGTGAAGTTATAGAAACTATACACCTATCTTTTGGTATATAGACCTGAAGAGAAATAAGATTGCTGCATGTTAATCATATCAACCCTTTCTAGCTTCCACACGCATGTCTCTCTTCCATAAGATAACAATGCGATTACACTACAAGAGCTAACAAAACAAACGGAAAACCTTCAGAAATTCAAACAAGAACCAAAGTTGAAAACACACCCCCAAATCCTACCCCAAATCAAATTCCTTGAACAGAGTCCATCCTGTACAACCCAATTTCACAACCACCACGTTTTCAGCATAACAACAATAAACACAAATCCCACCATATACTCACCCGAGAAGTCGTGGTAACCAGCATGTACATTAGTAAGCATCACCCGAATATGTCAGTTCCGAATTCCTAGATTACTGCGTCGAGAGACACAAATGAAGCAGGAAAAGAACTGTACGGTGGAACACATCAAGCCAACACCATCTCCCAAAACCACCCAACTACTCCTCCTCAACGCGAAAAGGCAAAAGGCAACATACTACGTAATCCGGAACCGATCGCATTAACTACGGAAAACAATAGCAAAAGCACATCGGCGCTAATATATATATTGATACACCCATCCCGACTCCTCACTCCTCAGTCCCCCACCTCCAAAAGCTTAAATACGCCAAAGCAATCCTACGAGCTTCCAGCACCACAAGCACCAATCTCCCAAAGCGAAACAGCTAAAGCGATAACTGACACAACAGCATCACAGCCGCCCCCACCCACCCAAGCACACAAATAAAATAAAAACAAAAATAAAAATAGTAAGCGCACAAACACAAACAGTGTCATTTCGCCATTATAGCTTCCAGCTACGCACACCTGCTCCTCCTTCCTACGACGCATCGAAATCAAGCGCTCGGCTAAACTAAACCAAGCACAAAGTGGAAAGGGTGATCCAACAGCAAGCAGTCGCCGCCGCCACCGCAGCGGCAGTTTGATAGCTCGAGTAAGGAGCGCGATTCCTCACCAGTAGCCAACGGAGAAGCCCCAAGTCGTTCGTCGCGGCGGCGGAGTGAGTGTATAGCTGGCGCTCACGCGAACGCGATCCCGAAGAGCGCTTTTGAAGACCCCTCGCGCGCGCGCGCTCGTCGACCTGGATCCGGTTGGCCCGGGGGAGCAAATCCGCACAACCCTAGAATTTCACCAATCGCGAGATGAGATGAGGAGGAGGAGGGCGAGAGCGAGACGAGGGAGGGAGGGAGGCGAGGGCAAAGGCAAAGGCTCTCTCGCTCGATCGCGAGACGGCGAGAAGAGAGAGAGAGAGAAAGGGACTTTGGGGAGAATAATCTATTGCAGCATTGCTTCGTCTCGATGCGGCATGGGGAGCTGGACTGGTGGAGTCCTCCGTCCACAGGTGCCGGTATATACGGCCGTCTCACTGCCCTGCGGGGTCCACCACGTGTGGGTCCCACCTGCCAGCGACAGCGTTTTGAATTTCTCGGTGGCGCTGGCTTTTTTCTGGGCGGAGGGGGCTGTGCTACGGTCACTCCTAGGTGCACCTTTCTCGGTCGTTTAAAATACCACTGTGTGACTTCCATGTGGGCCCAGAGGATGCGTGGGGCCCATCCCACAGTGGAACATCGAAGAGATAGTCGTTGTCTGTGCGTTTACTTTTTGAAAGATCCACCTCGTGGAGTCGTGGGGGCGGCTGGCGGAGCGGAGCTTAACTCAGTCGCTGCTTGTGGGTCCACGTGCATGTGGGCCCCAGATGTCAGTGAAACTGCAGCGCCGCGCTGGCACTGGGAGATTCGATCCAGGAGGATTCGCTGCTGCTACAGTCACCCGTCCCGTTCGGCGTACGCAAGGATCTCAGGGCGCTGCCAGCCTGGGGCCATCAATTTTAGGGACCCAACGGTAGGCGTACTCGTACTGTACGTGCCCTCGACTGTGAACATCCAACAGGGAGATGAGTGTGACTGTGTATTTGCACAAATTGCAGTTGATGAATTTTCGTTGCCCTCTTTATAGAGTCATCTTTTTTTCAAGTCAGGTCTTGTCTTTTCATGAAAATTTCAAAAAGTCAAATTGATGTACTCCCTCCGTCCCATTTTAAGTGTCGTCGTGGATTTCTGTGAATAATGTTTGACCGTCCATTTTATTTAAAATTTTTTATAGCTAGTATTTTATTATTATTAAAATTAAAACATAAATATTTTTTTATGCATGACTTATTTTTTAATTTTTAATAAAATTTTCAAATAAGGCGGACAGTTAAACATTAGACACGGAGACCCACATTTCCACCTAAAATGAGATGGAAGGAGTAGGAGCACGACGATAGCCATGATCATTGGTTATTTTGTCTTTCCGCGTCATCATGTTCATTTGTTAGCTAGGAATATGTTACATATCGAAAACTAATTGCTTGTATATCGATAAAAAATATGCCTCCACTGGTTTTTAATAGATAACGTCCATTTTTTTTCTCATTTTTCTTATTTAATATTTAATATTTTTATGTAATCTGTGATCAATTCGGTCAATGTTATTAAGTGTTATGCACTACCAACTTTTACTCCCTTGTTTTTCACGCCACACGCTTCCTAGATTATTAAACAATATTTTGTAAAAAAAATATTTTAGAACATATTAATTTATTTTTAAAAAGCTAATACTTAATTAGTCATGCGCTAATCCATCACTCTGGTTTTTGTGAAGAAAAAAAAGGTGCCCAATCGCTACTATCAAACACACCCTAAGTGCGTGTTCGCTGCTGCCGGTTGGGAACTATCTTCCTCCGCATGAAAAAGGGGATGGCTCATGAGACTATGAGAGTATGGTTGATCAAATATTAAGCTTTAAAAATTGAAATATAAATTAATATGTTTTTTTACAACAACTTGCCTATATTTTATTTTTTTTAAAAAAATATTGTTTAGTAGTTTAGGAAGTATGAACGTGGAGGTTGGGAACATGTATAAAATAACTCAGCCTAAATACGCTTATAACGAAGATAGCCTATATATACCATCTGTAGCGGCAAAATACAAGTCCATGACCTTAGCGAAGTGATTAAAGTACGCTCTCAATGGTGTGAACTGTGAAGTACTACTGTAAAAGAAACTAATTTTAGCTACAAATCTAAACACGTACTTATCCATATTCTTCTTCCTCATCATCATTATTAGTAAATTTTATAAAACTAGATATGCTTTGGTTAAATTTACAATCTAAAAATATACTAGTTCAGTTTTAAAATATGTTTTTAATGACAGGGTATACGTGTGCTCATTTGGATTAGGATAAGTATGTATGTGTATATAAGCTGAATTGTGTTTTAAAAAATCTTGTTATAAATATGCTGGTAATTGTTAAGTGCATGCGCACCTCCAAAAGTCTTTTAAAAAGCACCACAAAAGTCTTTAAAAAAACACCAGCGCACTGCACTACTCCATCCATTCCATAAAAAACCACCTAATACTGAATATGACACATGCTAATACTATAAATCTGGATATATATAGAATTGTCACATCCGATTTTAGATTTGTTTTTTTTATATATATTGCTGGTTTGTTTTTTTTATAGGCCGAGGGGGAGTACGCAGCAAAATTTCGAACCAACAGCGGCAGCGAAATTTCCAGACGGCCGCCTATTCCTCTCCTCGCAGACTCGCGTCGCGCGTCCACCCCCAGAACCCCCAAATCGAGCGGGTTCTACCAAAAATGCATCTGAAAACTCATCTTATCCGCTCGAATCCAGGTAATAATCGCGATCCTTCGAGCCGCTTCGTCGATTCATGCGTGCGGATTGCGTTGGTGGATGCTTCTGTGTCGAAATCGCGCCGTGCTGGTGTAGTGGTGTTATTTGATTTGCGATCTACACTGTTTACCGTGATTTCGTAAAGCATCTCGCTAGATTGTGATGATTCGTACCTCCACAAACTCCCAAAAGTGATCGGAGCGGCTAGAACAGGTGCAGCGGAAAAATCTGGCGTGGAGGTGATGCGCGGCATGTGCGCTAGTTTGTTGGAAACTGAGATCAGTATGAGTTGGTATGGCTAATGCGATGTTGTGTTTGTTAACATTGGTTTGCTCATGTGCTTAATTTGCATGTTAGGATGGGAGGATTCGACTTATTGCCATGTTTACTTAGAATTCAGCGTATTAGGGCAGTCAGAAATGGTTATTCAAATTAGGATTTCTGCCAAATTATTGCTGTAATTCATAATTTACAATCAATTTAAATTGCACGTTCACAATTGTATATTCTGTAGCAGAGATAACTGTTCTGCTAGCCAAAGAGATTAGGGCTTGTACTTGCATTTGGGGTTTCAGATTGGAACAGTACCTCTCCACTTCTACCATTTCGCTAACATTGGATCACTGTGACACTGTCAATGGTAGAATGGAAGTGGAATTGTGAATGCATCGCATGAATACCGTTAGTTGTTTCATGTTTCTATCACAATGCAAGCTTAACTTGATGGATCATGGATGATGAGGCGTGCCACAGTACACCTCCTTGGTGCTGGCATAAGGATTTTACTTTGTCAACAAATAATTATTGTGGAATATGTAGCTATACTATTGGAATCTTGAGAGATTCTATACTGATTTGTTTCAGCTGCTTCTGCAGTACATGATGAAGTACGAAGTGGAATGTCAACTGTATATCTACTGGGTACTGACTACTTGGTTGGAACTTGGTCACTTGGACTGTGAAGGTACGGTGATTTGCAATTATTCATCACTTGAAGTCTTAGCTGACACCAACGCGAGTCCATTTTCTGGCGCTTTTTCTTGTCACTTGTTGGCTTGTGGCCTGCTGGTCCATGCATTCTCTGATTTCACCAAGGACATTTGCAATTTCACTGTTGTTGCATTATATGGTACTTATGATACACTGCATCCCGAGACCATTGAACAGTGTAGAGCTAGTACAGGAGAGAAACACGGATCTGAGTCTTCACTTCTTGTAGTCAACCAGGCATTCTCTGCCGTGGTACATGCTGTTGGTCGAGCAACCAATGGTTATGTCCAGACCTTGAGGCAGTACAAAACTGGAGGTCATCCTGATAACTAGATATAAGGAACATGTCATGACATCTGACTTGGTTTGTCATATATTCACTGAACTACTGAAGCATTGTTGATATGAAGTAAAAAGAGATCAATCTTAGTCCTGAAAACATGGTTGAGAAACAATCAATTAGGCTCTAAGCTCTTCTCCAAATCTTGATAAGATTGAGCGCTGTACAATCTTTCAGTCAACCCTGCTAAAAAACCCACTAGTCTTGGAAATGCTTTTTTTTTTTTTTGTCAATACAGCCACACTATTATGGTTTCACCCAAACATAGTCAAGAAATGCTCGTCATTTTCCAATGATTCAATTCGTTGAGCAACAACCAAGTGTTCTTTAACCGAGTAGCCGACCAAGCAAATGTAAGCATTGGATTGACTTTTATGACAAGCAAGAATTTGTACATCTGAATACCTAATCAAAGTATCAGACATTCCTTTCCATACTAAAACCAAGGAATGCTGATTATAGAACATGGGGTTTAGATTTTTCACGACCATATTTAACTCCCTAATTGTCAAGCATACACTAGTGTTGACAGAAGCAACCACTGCAGCATAGGATACATGACCCTGGAACTCGTCCTGTCTGGCGAATCAGCTCAGCCTTGTGAACCGCCTTTGCTGCTTGTTGGTTCATCCTTGCATTGGCTGAGGCTCGTTTCTCTTCAGCTAAACGCCGTGTCATTTCTAGCTTTTCAGCCATCTTCGCCATGGCTTCGCTTCGCAATTTCTCTGCATGTTCCTGCCACAATGACTTGGGTTTTAATAAAACAACTAGCATTGTAAGAGTAAAAAACCCGTGTAAGATTATTGAACATTTGAGAAATGTATTGTGTTGGTGTGAATAATTTAGGTACACGAAGGAGGAAAATACAAAGCATGGATGCACCTCTATTCTCTTCATTTCAGATTCTATTTTTGCTTTTTGAAGGCTCTCCCATGCTTCAATCTTCAACTCTTCCTTCTTGAATCTGAGAAATACAATTTTCGATAAAATGGAACAAAGCCGATGTGAAAAATATTCAATTCTATCTATTTCCCTTTGCAAGTCATTAGTGCAAGAAACTAATAGGAAATATATGTAATTTTCTGGTTGAATAATACCTTGCTGTATGCTTAAAATTTTCTGCTTCTTCATATGCTGCTGCACGAGCTGCATATTCTTTCTTCATCCGCTCCAAATCAGCAATGCTTGGGGATGCAGAGACTAGTTCTAGCTCCTCTTTGCTAGCCCATGTAGCAATGTTCATCTTTCCTAGTTGTATACCCAGGGCGGCAATTTCTTTCCTTGTCTTCAATCTCATTTCATCGTCTGATATTTCATTTGTGCCACCTTTTCTGTTGAAATATGGTCCATCATCTGTGTTGTCATCTCCTGGTGATGCTGTTGACCGTCCTCCTACAGGAGTTGATGGTATAGAGCAATTTGGGCTACGAGTTGGTGTCATTGATCCAAGTGGAGTTCCTGTCCTTGAAGGATCCTGACTCGGTATGGGAGTCATTTCTGTGCCCACATCTCTCACGGACACCGAATGAACTGCAGGAATAGCTGCATGCAATAATTCTTATAAGAGTTTTGAAGGTAAACAAATTTAACAGTTAAAGTTCATTTGCTCACAGTGCATTATACTTTGATAATTTCTGACTTATAAAGTGAAAAGGTTACCTTTGGGATCTTTGTAGGGCCTTATTTCAATTGATGAACTGTTATCGGTTGCCTTTGTTTGATACTCTGAGGTGACACCAGCATTATTAACTGTACAGACATCTGCATGCCTAACCAACTTTGGTTGATGTGAACCAAAAGATAACCTCTCTAATATGCTTCGAGAAGCGGAAGAAGCTGGACTCGGTCTTTTCATGTTCTGCATGGGGCGAGGAATTATGTTTCGGTTTGAAATTTTGGGCACAATAAAACCCCTGCCTGCAGCTGAATTCATCTGCTGTGCACTCTGGTTCTGTGGTGCGCCCTTAGAGATATTTTGTTGAACATTTTGCTTATTAACAATCCATTTCTCAGCATCATTCCACTTGGAGGAAGTCTGTCTCGAGAAATATCCTGATGTTGGATTCTGCGCTGCTGTTTTCTCTCCTCCATGGAACTCGAAACTACTGGTACTAGCATTGTCAATACCACTATCACAGTCATTACTCTCTTCTTCTATGGTTCGAACTGGATGTATCATGCTTGAGTTGCTTGATGCAGGTTGCTGAACTGAACTTTTGGTCATGTCCTCAACCTTGTTGATGTCCAATGGTGGATCCTTCTCTAAAGCTTCAGTTTTGTTGATTGCTGAGGAGCATTTGGATCCATCAGAGCTGCCTGAAACTGCTAGAAGAGCAAGATAGCTGTGTGATTGACTTGATCAGGAAAATGTAAGTTCCTGAACAACTAGGAGTATGTGTATGTCTGTACCTTCTTCAAGAACATCACAAACTAATAGTCTGTTCTGTGCTTGCGATGGTTCAGTGTTCTTCGAAGGTGATGTCCGTGATGAGCTGTTGCTGATGACCCTCACACGATTGTGAGTTCCCAGAAGCTTCATCCTTAGCTTTGTCGGAGAAAGTGCACCAGCCTACAGGAACAACAAAGCAGCCAGTAAGTCTTTCTCCATGGAAGTTCTATTAATTCAAAGTACTGTATCTCAAATTAAACTTAAAATTGGTGATTGCAGAAAGAACTTGTAGAATTCTTTAGAAGTTAGAACCGCTAACAGAAAACACCTGTATCCTGCCAAGATTTTAATCATTTCTGAGAAGTTAGTAGAAGGTTCAATTTGTTGCTACTTTTACTCTGGTCTGGAACAACTTGTAACTTGTAAGGGTATTTTTTTTTTCAAAAGTGAATAATTAAGTAGTCCCATTTAGCATGTATTCAACGATAAATTCTTCAGAATGAGGTTTTGCACTACCTAAGTGAAGAGTTGTTTTTTTTTTCTGTAGAAACAAACTTCGTTAGCTTCGCTTTCAGTGAGAATGACCTAAAATGTACTATCCTTCAATACTTTTCTCATTTTATACCCAAGCCGTCTTATTTCAACACTATCTTCTTAGAACTTTAAGACAATAGTTTGAATCGAAATACAACATTCCTAAATGGTGTGCAGCCGAAATGGGCATGCCGAAATATAATTTCTGAAGAAACAAAGAATAGAAAGTAAATTAGAAATGAGTCAAGAGTGACTATATCAAGAAAACGAAATCTTTCACGAAATCAATGGGAAATGTCAATTAAGGGATTTAAGAAGAGTCACTTGTGAGTGACTAAAATGAAGTGTGGAGGAATCGAGCAACCAGTAATGAAGAGCTCGGCTAAAACGAACTACTGCAATGGCTTTGGGTAGAGCTCATACCTGAACCTTGTGAATCCTTTCATACTCCATTCTTCCTCTCTCTCTCCCTCTCTGAGTCTCTGTGCTTCTCTGGTACTCTGGTGGGTGAGAGTGAGATGGAGGGACTGGGGAAGGAGGGGGGAGCGAGACAGGAGAGAGTGAGGGGGAGAAGAGAACACTGAACACTAGAGCATTTGGACTGGCATACTAGCTAATAAGAAGAGAGATCTGTTAGCACGCTGTCAGGTCGTGTCATTTAGGTAAGTTCTTTAGACATGACTCATGAGTCGTCCACAAGCCAGTTTCTCTGGCCAGTCGCATTTTCTTTCCAAAACCCTTTGTTAGAAAGTATTTATAGTAGTATGCTTTGCCTATTCATCAATGGGTAAACACAAAGCAGGTTGCAAGTACTACAGTAGAAATTCACCCAGTCACAAATAGGGCTTGCACCAACATACCATGACGACCTTTTGTTCTAGACAGAAAAAGAGTCCCATCCTCTTTTTTAGTCTTTACAGATCTCTCTTTGTTAAATCACATGACCCTTTTATTACACAAAGTTCCCTTTTACGACAGGCAGTATAGTAAACACAACAGTAAAATAAACCTAGCTATTTCTCGAGATGTGTGCCCCCTAAACACCCCAAACTCCAAAGCTCCAAACTAATGCTACCACTCCCCTTTTGGTTGTATAAACTGGGGGTGGTCAAACAGAGGTCCCAAGGCTGGACTGGAACCCTATCCAAGCATTCAGACCCACCACTCTTCACTAGCAGCTCACACTCTCCTCTCAGAGATGGGGGACGGCTGCTACTGCACCGCCACATCTTTCTGCGTCAGTGACTCATCAGTGTCCCTGCAAAGATTTTATTTATTGCTCCAATCTCTTGGCCTTTTCACCGGCCCATCTCGTGTCATCATGCACTCACCCAACGTCGCCCTATCCCAAATCCCAGTGTCACGAGGTTGGGCTAAGATGTAAGATGTCGTCACCGGTATGAATATATACTTTTGTCACCTTCCTGCTTCTCACCGTTTGCAAAATTTGACCATGCGTTCATATTACTTCGTACAATCGTACGTACTCTAGTACTAGTTGGTTATTGCTGTCATTGCTGCTCTCACTTTTGATTCTCTGACCTTGCCAAGGTTCATACATTTGGATTCGCCGTGTACTTGGAGCAAAATTTGGACATGTGAGCGATTGGAGCTTGGGCTCTGGAGTACAGGTGCACAACTGCACAACTGTATAGCTCATTGAATTGGTTTCGATTTGGTGTGCTGCGCTCTTATGGTCCATTTATGAGCTTCATCATCTTTGCTGGTAGCCTTAAAACCTGTGTGGTCCAATTTTTATGGCCAAGGAGCTGGCCAGCATCAGCATGAGTACTTACAAAACAGTTTGATGTGCCACACATCATGTTTATGGTCCATCATTTTTTTAAACACGTAAAAGCCATGCAGGTCGATATATTAGCAGAAAAAAAAGACTTGTACAACTATTACCCGCTGACGTGGGGGGGGGGGGGGTTACACGGAGAAGTGAAAAAACACACACGGTGATGGTCCATCATTCATAGGTGATTGGTCAAATGCACTGATGATTGATCTTACAATTTACTTGTGTTCAATATACTATGAATACCCCTAAGAAAATACCATGAACAAGGCTCCTGAAAAGAAAAAAAAGGGTCAAAGTTAGTTTAGTTGTCAAGATTTTTGGCAGTAGTTGTCTTGTTTGTTCCAGCCACATGGAAGTATACCCAACAGTGTGACATTTCATGATTGTATAGTGTATTCCATAAATAATCTTGTTATTGTAGCACACCTAATTGTTTGCAGCAAAATGTACCAGTTTGTACACCTGGGAATTAATGGACCACAAATGATTGTTTGATGTACAAATCCATGGTTAGAGAGAAAGTATTGTCTATAGAGTGCACGGTCCTCGAGGCAAAAGTGAGCGGCACATTTTCTCTGCAAATAGCGCCTAGACTGTGGTAGTACACTGTACGTGTACAGCACAGGCCTTTGCATATGGCTAGAGAGTAGAGACCGTTAGAACAATTAGACAAAAGGGGCTCTTAGTTTGAGGAATTCCTCTCTGACCAGTAGATATCAGGCTGTAATTTGCCCAGACAGAATCTTTTCTATTCAAAACAACAGTGCTTTGATCAAAGCACAGTCTTTCTACTGCCATCAGTAAATACTCTATCCGTCCCATAAAAAACCAACTTGTACCGAATGTGATATATCCTATCTATTATATTATTAAGACAGCTCGAAAAGGAGGCACCATGTTCGCTGTGGAGGCTAGAAATTCCCACATTGATCGGAGAAAAAGAAAAAAAAGGAAAGTCCAAGTAGGAATACAATCTAAAAATAGCTGAAATTCGGAATTAAAAATAAGCAATATTGAAAGAAGTTTCCATATAAGAAACCAATACGAGATTAATCCAAATTCGAAATAAAAATAAAATAAAATCCAAAATTAGAAAAGGAAAGGAGAGTTCAAGTAGGAATACAATCTAAAAATAGTTGAAATTCGGAATTAAAAATAAGCAATATTGAAAGAAGTTTCCATATAAGAACCCAATACGAGATTAATTAAAATTCGAAATAAAAATAAAATAAAATCCGGTATTAGAAAAGGAAAGGAGAATCCAAGTAGGAATACAATTTAAAAATAACTGAAATTCGGAATTAAAAATAAAGAATATTAAAAGAAGAATTCATATAAGAACCCAATACGAGATTAATTACAATTCAGAATAAAAATAAAAATAAATCCTAAATTAGCAAAATAAAATAAAAGAAGAGTTCAAGTAGGAATACAATTTAAAATTAGCTGAAATTCAGAATTAAAAATAAGCAATATTGAAAGAAGAATCCATATAAGAACCCAATACGAGATTAATTAAAATTTCGAATAAAAAATAAAATAATATCCAAAATTAGAAAAATTAAAAGAGAGTTCAAGTAGGAATACAATTTTGAAACAACTAAAATTGAAAATAAAAAAAATAAAAACATTAAAAGAACACAACACGGTATTAACTAATTTTTTTAAAAAATAAATTATGAAATTAGAAAAAGAAAAATAAGATTTCAATTAGGAATACAATTTATAAATAACTAAAATTTATGATAAAAATAAAGACTATTGAAAGAAAAGACCATCTAAAACAAATGACGAGATAAATTAACTAACATGCCTATAAAGGAGTAGAGTGGTGGCGATTAATACGACATATAAAAATTGTTAATAAAATACCAAATAGAATTCTAATGACAATTAAAAGGAGGGACGCCAGGCAGGCCGTGAAGCAAACAAGTAAAGCAGTTGCTGGGACTTCTAGAAAGTAATAAAAATAAACCCTATTGATAATCCTATTCGATTTTTAAAATCTCAATGACAATAAAAAGGAGAAGCAGCGGGCGGGGTGTATAAGAGTATAGTTGCAGAGCTGCCGACGGTTGACGGGACTTCTAGAAAATAAAAAATGAATTCCAACAATAGTTATGTTCGATTTTTAGAATCACAGTGACAATAAAAAGTAGGCGATGGACGAGCTGTAGAGAGGCATAGTGGCATCGTTTGATGGAACTTCTAAAAATTATAAAGAAAATAAAACTACAAGTCCAATTTTTAAAGGTTTGAAACTTCCAAAAAGTAAAAGAAAAAACCAATGATAATCATGTTCGATTTTAAAATCTCAATGACAATAAAGAATGGAGGCAGCGGGCAAGCTGTAGAGGAGTACAATGGCAAAACTGCTGATGATTTGGCGGGACTTCTAGAAAGTAAAAATGAACCCAAACGATAATTATGTTTGATTTTTAAAATCTCAATGATAATAAAGAGAAGAAACACTGGACGGGCCGTAGAGGAGTATAATGGCAACATTTGACGGGACATTTAGAAATTATAAAAACGGAACCCAACGTGACAATAAACTCTAAAACTATAAAATCCAATTTTTAAAGGTTCCAAGAAAAATGAATAAAAATAGTGGTAGATCGAGCAAGCAAATAAAGAAGGAGATGACATAAAGGGTAGCAACTGATGTGACTTTTAAAAACTATATAATTATAACACGAGGATGATAAGGTTTGGTCTTTTAAAGTCTTAAAACAATGACATAGCTATTTAATAAATTTTAAGTAAAATTATAGTAAAAAATATATGATTTTGTTTAGGTGCTAGCCGCGCAATTGCGCGGGTCACCAGCTAGTTACTATAAATCTGAACATACTTTTGTATTGACTAGATATGCCACAGCCGTGATAGAATTTTATTTCCCTTTATTAGAGAGTACGGCTGATAATTTTGTAGGCACAGAAACCGACTCCCTAATAATGCATGCCGTGCCATTATTCCAGCTCTTCTTGCAGTTGCAGCCTTTGCTGCATCATCAGAACAAGTGTGAGCCGTGCTGTAGAAGAGGACAGGAACATACCAGCTGCCCTTTACCCCGGCATGGGGCTCCATGTGTCTCTGGTGTGCTGTGACGCTTGCGAACTTGACATGTGATGCAGTAGCAGGCAAGCAGCTATCCCTGTCTGTCTGACCCTGTTTGTTACTTCTTCGTTACTGCCGTAACTTTCAAGAGTTAACTTTCAAGATAGGATAGCCAATCAGGCATGATAGTCCAAGGATTGGAACCTTTTCCTGTGGATCTATCATCGACTGCTGCCCCTGTTGCATTCATGCTGCTCTCGATGAAAGCCTTCTGGGCATTTTTGTTACCCATACTACTTACTGCTGACTCACCCTCTCTCTGTCTGACTAACCATGTGCTCTCGCACAAGTGACAGGCATGGCTAAAAACTGAAAAGCAGAGAGCATCTCGTGGGAGGAGGACGAGCTGGGGAGGGAAGGTGAAAAAAGTTGCAGCAATGGATGGAGGATGGCAAGAGCAGGGGGCTTTTTCAGAGGAGAGGGGCAGCAGCAGCAGCTATAGTCAGCTACGGCAGCAAAGGTAGGATGGTGGATCGGTGACGATGATGATCTGCGTTTTGGCGGCTTCATCTTCTCAGGATTCTATTCCCATGCGCGGCTCTGACGACCCTGGCTACAATTTCGTCTGCAGTGCTTGGGCTGAACGGAAAGCCTCGCTAAAGATGGCCCTTCATGTTGGCGAGCATCGCGCATTTGTGTGCTGCAGCATGGTTTTTTGAGTACGCGAACATCTGAACGAACTTAGATTATCCATGAAATTTGTTTCAAAAAAATATTCTTCTGTATATGTATGACGGATTTGGAGGAGTAGAACACACACTACAAATCCTTACTACTCTACTCTACGCCAATGTTCAGGCTGGAGGTCTGGACTCGAGAGCCGTGGAGAGTATAGCTACGGCGCAAATTTACATGCGGGACCCCACCGACTAAGAAATGTCAGGTCAGTCTCGTTCTTCTGAATGATGCATTTGTTAATCTGTCAGGTGCGTCTCGTACTTCTGGGGGTGCATTATGTTACTCCGTGTTAGGCCGGATGGGCTTTACAGCCCATCAAAATCTAGCCCATGGAACTACCCAATTATCCATACCTTTTAACTAATTTTTATCCTAGTCTATTTTCCAGCCCTATCTTTTAAACTGTTAATGATATAAATATAGAAGTTTTACCTAAAAAAAATCTTTTGTTGAGCCTAATTCGGCACTGTGGACTTTCCTCCTTTTTTTTTAACTTCTGGGTCAAAAAGAGCTGGCACTATTCGATCTAACCTGAGCTTAATTTCCAAAAGACCGAACTTTAGATCGTTTTGACAGGCTAAACAAAGGGAAACGAGCAGATCTAGGCTGCCACTGACACCAACACGTTCAGCTCACCTAATCCGACAGGTACCGGTGATGCAGATTGCCGTGCGTGCATTTTCCAATCAAAAAACCCTCGGCAGGTAGTAGTAGCTGGGTGCGTTAATATTCAGACATTTCTCGGTCAGTGTCTCGTTGTTCTTGTATCTGATGCGAAAGATTATAAAAGAAAAACCAAATGGGAACAGTAATATCCAGGGTATTATATCCTATCACGCTTTGGAAATTTTGGAAAATTGTAGCCCACATGTAGGGGATTATGCGCATCTGAGTAGGCATGTTTCATCATGAGGATTATCAGTTCCAGAGAGCATCCTTGACACTAGCAAAGCAGCAAACTGGAACGGGTGATAGTAATGGATTGGGATCACATACTTGATGCGACAAGCGGGCCTCCAAGAATAGATTCTACTGAGTACTACTTGCCGAACCAGAAAGGTTGATGCATTATATCTGCTTAGATTAGATTCAACCCAGTCTAAAAGATTTTTTTTTCATTTGTTTTCCAAAAAAATGGGAAATATAGAACCCGTAGGGCGTAGGTGTTGAGCGCACCTGCAATCCTGAAGTCAACCTGAAAATTAGACTTCAAGATTTGAATTTTAGCTACAATGATAATAAGTCAACAAGCAAACAATGTTTTTTCTTTAAAAAAAACGCAAACAATGAGAGCCTTAGCCCGCATTGTCAAACTATTTGTCTGTACTGCGATAGTGCTGACCTACTAGTGATTTATGTTTTGAGGAATTGTCCATGAAATATGATATAGTTAATAGCACGACAAACAGAATTACAGGTACACCGAAGAACAGGTAAGCAATAACTTTTTCATAACTACTCCCTCCGTTTCATATTAGAACTCCGTTTAACTTTATTTCTAATCAAATATCTTTTAAATTTAACTAAATTTGTATAAAATTTAATAATATCTATAACATTATTTTTTTATAAAAAATAATATTTAATATATTTTTATAATATGTTTGTTTCATATTGAAAATGTTGCTATATTTTTATAGACTTAGTTATATAGAAAATATAAGCGAAAAAAATCAAAGCGATATACAATTTAAAATAGAGGGAGTACATTAGAACATTAAATCCACCGGGTTATAAATCAGTTAGGTTGGAGAAGTTCTTTTTTACTTATACTCCCTCTGTATTTTAATGTATGACGCCGTTGACTTTTTGATTAACGTTTGACCATTCGTTTTATTCAAAATTTTTGTGAAAATATGAAAATATTTATGTTATGTTTAAAGAACATTTGATGATGAATCAAGTCACAATAAAATAAATGATAATTACGTAAATTTTTTGAATAAGGCGAATGGTCAAACAATGGACGAAAATTCAACGGCGTCATACATTAAAATATGGAGGTAGTATGAGTTAGAGATATGATTCCACCACTAAATTTAGGATATTAAATAAACCAGCTTATAAATCATATAAATCAATAAGCTAACTTAAAAGACTAATCCTGAAGAAAAGAGGCTTTAGGTACAATTATATAGTACCCCTGAAAAAATCGAATTGACTTACCTCGGAATTTTGCAGCGGAAGAAATGTCAATGTCTTATACCCAACGCCATTGCAGATTGTTTGCACCAACTTTCCACGAAAGAAATATTTGTGTCAATGTCGCACTTGATCGTAGTACCGACCTTTTTATAGACAGAGGTGCAATATCAAAGTACCCTTTTATGTAGTTCTTCGATCCTTAATAACATGTGCCGTCGATGCTGACCGAGTACAAAGAAAAACGAATGCTCTTTTCAATCTGAACAGGGGAGTATGGTTTTATAGAAAAAAATAGCAATATCTATAATACCAAATTAGTTTCACTAAGTTTAGCATTAAATATATTTTGATAATATGTTTGTTTTGTATTATTATATTTTCCCACATGCTTGTTAAATATAAAGAACTGATTAAGAAAATAATCAAACAATTTATAATATGGAACAAACTGAGGGAGTATCTTAATGCAGGAGCAACACCATGCTCCATCACTGTTGGCGCATCATATTATGCTAAGTTAATCTTGAGATCGGATAAGGTGCTGCTCTATTACATGACGTAGCTCTACTCGACAGAACAAACCATGCTCCAAAGAGATTAGGAGTGCACTTAGCAATGGGCTTTGAGATGATCACTCTCTGACTTCTCGCTCCTCCGGCAGTGTACGCCCTGATTGGTCGTAAGCGCTGACGTCGTCCAGCTCTCACCAAAACAAAATCTGTGTGTTATTTTGGGTCGCAGCCGCCCATATTATGGAGTATAGTCGTTAAATTGTGCCGTACTGATCCTACTCTCTGATCAGGAAAGGTCCTTTTTCAGAAAGAAAATATGGAGCGGAGGACCCCGTTTTGGCAGGTTTTAAGGCGAACAGCGCGAGAAGAAAACAAAAGATCCAGTGGTATCAAGAATAGTATGCTGGCATGTGCACAAACACCCTCAAAATAATTGGTTCACATCATCAAAATATTTCTTTTTTCTGGAGGAATATCAAATCTTCCCTCCTTATACAATGTATGCATTGTTTTGTATTCATATACATATATGTAGTAAAGCAGTATAGTAATTTTTTTCAGGTGCAAAAATTTGTTGGATTACCTCTCTGTGGATCATAAAAATGGTACTAATTTAATTGATCCCTAATGTTAATATATTCCAATAGGATGATCCCATTATAGCACAGTAGCAGTGCTGCACATCAGATCTACCTCCGTCCAAAACATAATTAGTTTTAGGGTTAAGCACAAGTATTAAAAAAGTTGATAAAATTTAAAAGGAGATTGTTACAATTGATCAGGAAGAGAAAGTGGATATAAAATTTAAATAACAGAATATCATAATTGGTTGAGAAGAAAATATATGTGAAAAGTGAAAAAATTATTATATTTTAAATAAAATTTAAACTTTAAAAGTTACTACCTCTGTTTTTTTAATATATAACATCGTTGACTTTTTAACAAACGTTTGACCATTTATTTTGTTTTTTATAAATATAAAATATTAAGTAATAATGTTTCAAGATGATAAATCAAGTTACAGTAATAAAACAAAGAGTGAATTATGCTTTGGGCCACATTTTATTAATTAAGTTTCACTTGGACCACCTTAAACATATATTTTCACTTTGGACCGGATAAATTTGCCATTGTTGCAATTTGGACCACCACGAACGATTTTTTGTCAGTACAATAAATGACCTTAAACACATCAGCTCTAGTATATACGGCCAAATTTCTCTATGTATGGTTCATATGTTTGCCAAAAGGGAAGTTAGATATGACAAGAAAAGTTGTTCATGGTAGTCCAAACCGCAACCATGGTACCCGGTCCAAATTGAAAAGATAGGTTTAAGGGTGGTTCAAATTGAAACTTGGGTAATAAAAGGTGGACTAAAATAAAATTTACTCGATTAAATCAAATATTTTTAAAAAATTAACGGTGTTATAGTATAATAGAAAATCGAAGGGAATATTATATTTTAGTACGGAGTGACGCCACTGGGCACTTGGGCAGCGGAGGCATCATCCCTGACGAATGAACCATCCTCGATTCCTCTCTCAAGAAAGCCGCCAGGAAAAGATCGAGGAAAGAATCCAAATCTCGTATAAAAAAGAGGAAAAATATCTTCTTTTTTTTTCTGTTCACTCTCCATCACGACCTGCGGTGACACAAGAGCCCTCCAAATCCAAAACCCATAAATAATGATCTGATCTCTCTCGTTCTCCCCTCCCACGAGGTGAGAGACTGAGATGTGCCCGCGACCGCGAGTCGCGTGAGGAGATGCCCACGCCTCGTCTCCGCTACCACCTCCTCTCCGATTGATCCCAACAAGGCGAGGTGAGCTCCAGCTCCCGTGCCGTTCTTGGGTTTTTCTCCGATCCTGGGAAGATGCGTGTTTTCATCTTCTCCTGGTGATGAAGTGTTGGGTTTTTTTTGTTTTTTTGGCTGCGATCTCTGGGGACGAGGTTGGTTGTGATTTGGATGTTCTTGTCCTGTAGCTCTTGTTTGGCTTGGGTGGCTGTGGTTGGTTTCAACTCTCGCGTAGAGGATAACTCGGCGAAAAATTTTACCCAAAAAAGCGCAGAAAGGTGCCCTTTTTTCAGGCCTTTCATTGTTAAAAAGCTTCAAACTTTGGGAAGAATAGTTGGGGTTTGGAGTTTGGACCATGCGGGGTGCTGATTCTCTTGGGAAGATAAAATCCTTGTTGAATAGATAATAGCCTTTCTTGAACTCCTTTGCAGAAGACATGTTCCATGATTCGTGCCTGCCTTTTCAATATTCATAGATTCAGGAGGTAAAAAGGTTTTTGTGAAGGTTCTGTAGTCGTCCTCTTGTGTTTAATCTTGTTTTCTGAAATCATGAAGTCTTCCGCGTCTTGTTCTGATCCATGAGTATGTACTGAGGTTTATGGGTGGAGTGAGGGCGATTCGTACTATTTCTAATATGTGCATCAAACTGTAGGCGCTAGAGTAGTCGATTGCTATGGTTTTCTGTTCCTAGTTGATCATTGTTCCAAGTATAGAAGTTTTGATGTTAAATTGATGTTGCAAATACAGTGCTTATTGATTGGATTGCCAATTTATCATCGGTTTGCTCAATGAATCCAGGGGAAGATCAAAACTGAGTGAGGGTTGCTAAGGGGACGGTTTGACATGGGTTTTGATCCACTGGAATGGTACTGCCAGCCGGTCAATGGCGGGGTGTGGTCAGATGTAGAGAATGCTTTTGGTGCATACACACCATGTGGCACTGAAACCTTGGTGGTGTGCATCTCATACTTTGCACTCTTCGGTGTTTGCTTCTATCGGATATGGAGGACGACGAGGGACTACACGGTGCAGCGCTACAAATTGCGGTCGCCATACTACAACTATATGCTCGGCCTGCTTGTGGTGTTGTGCATAGCTGAATCACTGTATCGGATCGCTACTGGCACCTCCATAATGAACTTGGATGGGGAGACTAGCCTTGCTCCATTTGAGGTGAGAACATGTCCCAAGTATAAGTGTATCAGCACGTAGAGTTAAGCACACTTGTTCAGAATTTTACTTCTACCGAATTCTTGCATCCCTTGACCTTTTCAATCACGTAATTCTGCCTCTACAGGTTACCTCATCTATCATTGAGATTGCTGCTTGGTGTTGTATGCTTGTAATGATTGCACTTGAGACAAGAATTTACATCTATGAGTTTAGATGGTACATCCGGTTTGTGGTCATTTACATCTTGGTTGGGGAAGCTGCTATGTTCAATCTTGTGCTTTCAGTAAGGCAGTATTATAGTTCGAGGTATAGTACACATGAGACATGCTTTATTCATGAAATTTATTGAATGTTGATTGATAGAGAACTTTATACTCTAAATTTTTCAATGAAGACTGACTTCTGTATTTTGGTTATGCAGTTCAATATTTTACTTGTACTGCAGTGAGATAATATTCAAGGTTTGCATTCTTGTTATCTTAATAATCGTACTGTAGTGATATTTGTCGTATACTGAACTTATCATCTCTGCAGCTCTTGTTTGGAATTCTCATGGTGGTTTATCTGCCTAGCTTGGATTCCTATCCGGGTTATACTCCAGTCAGGCATGAGGCACTTGTTGATAATACTGATTACGAACCTCTGCCTGGTGGGGAGCAGATTTGCCCTGAGAGGCATGCTAATATATTTTCCAGTGAGTAAATATAATAAGTTGTGCGGTTGTGCCACACTATTGCATACATCCATAATGTTTTGTTTGTCCTCATAATTTCTCTAAATTTCTAGAAGCACACTGAGGCTTTTTGGTTGTCTTACCTTGCTAGGGATATTCTTTTCATGGATGACTCCTCTAATGCAACAAGGATTTAAAAGGCCCATCACCGATAAGGATATTTGGAAATTAGACAGTTGGGATGAGACTGAAACATTGTACAACCGGTATGTTCTGCAACCATTTTTACTGAAATGAGAAACACTTGTATATGCAGATCTTAACCTTATAATCTTTCCTCAGGTTCCAAAAATGCTGGAACAATGAGCTTCAAAAACCAAAGCCTTGGCTGTTACGGGCTCTGCATAGCAGCCTTGGTGGAAGGTATATTTGTACAGATGATAGCTATATTTTCCAGTAAACCTTTAGGGTGGTCCCTTCTTGCTACATTGTTTGTGTTCACGTAGTGATTGGTTTCATTCATTTTCAGGTTTTGGCTAGGAGGATTTTTTAAGGTAGGTAAATGTATCTCGACTTTTGTAAAGTTATCCTTCAATTTCGTTTGCATTTTTGTTTGATGGCAAGCATTTTGTGTTATTCCTGGCAACTCATCCTTTTTCCTCCAAAATTTTGTAGATTGGCAATGATGCTTCTCAGTTTGTTGGCCCACTCATATTGAACCTCTTGTTGGAGGTATGCTTCTAGTTTCATGAACCAATGGCAATAAAATTGCATTGCATTACCTTTACAAGCCTTATTCTACTATTGTTTTTACCATCAACAAACTTGTGAAGTAATTCAAAACATACTGGGTAATTGTGCAGATTTTAATATTTATATATGAAAGAATAGATCCAACTTTTCTCTTATGTTGTTGAGATGCTAGTGTTAGGTGCTTTGTACCACTAAAGGTCAATGTTCTTTTGGCAGTCTATGCAAAAAGGTGATCCATCTTGGAGCGGTTACATCTATGCTTTCTCAATCTTCGCTGGAGTGGTATGGATTATTTTCTTCTATTGCATGTTTCACACTTATATGTCTTGTTGATTCAGTGTATTTGAACTTCCAAGCAACAATTATGCTGCATGTGAGCCAAAACTGGACAGACTTTTGATCACTTACCTTTTGTTTACCATTCTGCAGTCACTGGGTGTTCTTTCTGAAGCACAGTACTTTCAGAATGTCATGCGAACGGGTTTCAGGTTGAGGTCAACATTGGTAGGTGTTGCTTGTTTAGCATGGTTTAATATGATGTCAACAGGCAACCAGCAAACCACTTGTTCCACTATTTTTCTGGACCACTCTTTTTTTTTTCTCTACTCCCATGGCTATCTTGAGCATTGAACTTCCTGATTTATGCATCAAGGACATGTGTAATTGTTATATTAAGTTTAGACCTTTATTTTTCTTATGTTCACCATGATATAATATTATCTGGTAATAATTGACTTTCCTGCAAGTAACACTACCATAGCCATCTCAGCTGCTGTTATATGTTGAGTTACACGCTTATGCCATGATTCTGTTGTTTCGCAGATCGCAGCTGTTTTCCGTAAGTCTTTGCGACTAACTAATGATAGTCGAAAGAAGTTTGCCTCTGGGAGGATAACCAATTTGATTTCAACTGACGCAGAATCTCTTCAGGTGTGATTTTATTTCATAGGTTTAATCAGTGTTACCCAGTTCTTCAACATTATTGATTTTAAATATTGTTTGGCAACATAAAATTAGATAAAAAACCAAATGATATGTTAGATACCTTGTTGATGTCTGAATTGATAAGTAAATGGAAAACCGTGGAAATGTTTTGTTAGGAAAGAGCAATGGAGCAAGAAATACAATATGTGCTACAATATGGAGCTATGGTTATTTATATCTTATGTTGTACATTTGGTTTGTACTTTTTTTACTTTTGCAGCAAGTGTGCCAGCAACTTCACAGTCTATGGTCTGCTCCTTTCCGCATTGTTATTGCCATGGTCCTTCTATACGCACAACTAGGCCCTGCTGCATTGGTCGGTGCAGCCATGTTGGTTCTTTTGTTCCCAATTCAGGTAGATTTCTCTTTAGACATTCAATTATGGAAGGTCTTATGTTGCATTTTTAACTTTCTATCTGGTCCCTACATTACCAATATCTACTTTGTGTTTTTTATATTTTGATTCTTTTTAGGGAATGTGCAGAAAGATTGTACTGATATATCGATTCTTATATGGAGCCTAGAGTTCACATTAGAGTCTTTCATGCCATCATTTAGTTGTTGATTCTACTTCCTGTTATCTATCCTGAGGTTGTATTGTAGTACTGTTTGTACGTCTGCTTAGTTTTCTGCCATACCCCGTAAGAAATTCTTTGATGTTGTCCATAAATTGGAGTTGATCAAGTCAATGCTTAAATCCCTAATATTTGGCTAATCCATATTGCTCATGCTTTCTCTTTTGAAGCTTATAATGCAAATTGCCAGGGCACTTAACAGTTGCTGATTTTCAGATTATGCTATTTTTATGAATGATATATGCATTTCAAATAACGATTTTACTTTTAAGCAAACTTTTGCTACTTTCAACATAGATCTGACTGTTAACATTTTCTTTATTTAATTTACCAGACTGTTATCATAAGCAAAATGCAAAAACTTACCAAGGAAGGGTTGCAAAGGACTGACAGGAGAATCAGTCTAATGAATGAAATATTAGCTGCAATGGATACGGTCAAGTATGCTTTACATTTACTTGTGTTTTTACTAGAAGTAGTACTAAAATTTTGGTATAAACTGTTCCAAACATTTTCTTGGTTAGATGTTATGCTTGGGAGCAAAGTTTCCAGTCAAAAGTGCAGGACATCCGTGATGATGAAATTTCATGGTTCCGCAGCGCTCAATTGCTTGCTGCGGTATGTCCATTTTGTATTTAAGTTATCTTTCACTTGTGTCAATTTCATTCTGCTATATATGATCTCTTTTTTAATCGTGCATCCATGAACTCTCCTTATTACACAATAAGTTTTGGAGTTGCATGCTATAGTATCGATTGTACTGGTGCTTCCTGGTCCTATAAAGTTTGTTTACAATAATTTACTTAGTTACTCAAACTTAAAATAGATATGAGAATGAGTTGTTGCATCCCTTATTGTCGGCTCACTATTATCTTTTGTATTTTTCCTTGTCTGCTGCAGCTGAATAGCTTCATCCTAAACAGTATCCCCGTTATTGTCACTGTGGTTTCATTTGGTGTATACTCTCTGCTGGGAGGTGACTTGACACCAGCAAAGGCGTTCACATCACTTTCACTGTTTGCTGTCTTAAGATTTCCACTTTTTATGCTGCCAAATCTGATAACTCAGGTGTGCAAAAAGCTGTAAATTATGTCTTGTTAAGTTTCCCACTTTCTGTACAAGTTAAGAAGTATATCATTTTCTGAACTTATATGTTTGGATTGATAATCATTCTTGTACCAGTTAATTTTCATCTGTCTTTGGCAGAGAAAATTAGTACAATGGTTTTTACAATTTTGGTCACAGTCCAATGCTGGCTTGAGATAGTTCTCTGCTTTTCTTGTTCAACGACTCTTTTGTTAGTACTCATAGTCACCTTACTATTTTTTTTCCTTTTAAATTTGACAGGTGGTTAATTGTAAAGTGTCATTGAAACGTCTGGAAGATCTCCTCTTGGCTGAAGAGAGATTACTTCTGCCCAATCCACCTCTTGATCCTGAGCTTCCAGCAATTTCTATTAAGAATGGATATTTTTCATGGGAATCGCAGGTAATTTCATGTTTCAGATATTTGCCTGGTATCTAAATATATCTATGTTGACTATCACACATTCAACTCTCATCATTCATTGATATTATAATATAACACATATATTATTGTTCTGTTGTCTGGAGTACTGAAAAGAAACAAAAGTTTGGGCAAATAAATACTGAATTAGAGTATTGATAGACTAGCATGCTTCATGAATGGCAAGGTCAGTGCAAAAGAGAGCATCTAGTTACTGAGGTAGTGAGGTCGATCCATAGAAAGATGTCTATTACAGATGTCTCCGTAGTTCATAATGAATTGATGATTTGGTAGTAAGCTTCACAATACTATTCTGACCAGCTCTTATTGGTTTCCATTTTTGTCACATAATTTTATACAGTTGTTAACACTGCATGTTTCCTCTAATCTTATGATGTTGCTCCAAAAACTAATTTTTCAAATTTTGGCAGGCTGAGAGACCAACATTATCAAACGTCAATCTGGATGTACCTATGGGCAGTTTGGTTGCAATAGTAGGAAGCACTGGGGAGGGGAAGACTTCTCTTATTTCTGCAATGCTTGGTGAAATACCACCAGTGTCAGGATCGAATACATCGGTGGTCCTTCGTGGAACAGTGGCTTATGTTCCTCAAGTTTCATGGATCTTCAATGCAACTGTGAGACACAATATCTCCATTTATGTTGATTGTTATATTGAACCTTTTATGGCTTCTACAGATATAATGTTATCATCTCTGCAGGTCCGGGACAATATATTGTTTGGGTCTCCCTTCCAACCTCCACGCTACGAGAAAGCAATAGATGTCACTTCATTACGGCATGACCTTGACTTACTCCCAGTAAGTTCTAACTATTTCAGTCTTCAGAGATCGTTCTGGAAATTTTTGACACTCGAGCTTTCATTTGATAGATAACTTGCTGGGGAGTGTGTTTTTTTTTTCATTTGTCATGTTGAAATTATGTTGCCAATACCTTTTTCTATCTTGGTTTTGCGCTTTATATTCTTGTACCTGCAAATTGACAAGAAAATATATCTTCTTATGCTTGTTGTCAGGGTGGTGACCTAACAGAGATTGGAGAAAGAGGAGTTAACATTAGTGGGGGACAAAAACAGAGAGTCTCAATGGCAAGAGCTGTTTATTCTGATTCAGATGTCTACATATTTGATGATCCACTGAGTGCATTAGATGCCCATGTTGGTCGACAGGTGCATTCATCTTGCTACCACTGCGGTTCATGCTTTCAATTTTACAGTCTCCCCCGCATTATCAAATCTGCCAGTGGCAGTTGGTAATGGTGTCAATGTTTTGTGGATATCAGCATCTTTTTTGTCGAAATTCCTTTTTACTGAGATTCCCTTGTGTCTGTTTTACTTCCCTGGGACATGAAAACATGAGGTTCTATGCCATTGGTTTGGCATGTGTCAGCCATGTTTCTGTTATGAACATCACATTGCTATGCATTTTTTTCTTATGCCCGTTTACTGCAGATAGGCACACTTTCTGGTTGTTATAGAGTAATTGCGTCGATAAGATATGGTACACCATTTGTCACGGTAGATACTTAAATCTGTTTGTTGTGACCGAACTAATGTTGTGAATAATTATATGCCAAATCATCCTATATGCTGTGCTTTGGTAGCCTGCTACAAGTGATGTACCTTGGAGGCTGTTTGGATCCCTCTTACCAAAACTAGATTTTGTTAAACAGATTTTAGATCCTGACAAATTGTTATGTGATCCAAACAAAGATTTTCTTCTGTATGAAAATATTTCAGTTCAACTAAATAATCTTAATTACTGATGCCCTATTATCACATGCTTATGCAGGTATTTGACAAATGTATTAAAGAAGAGCTACAGCACAAAACTAGGGTTCTTGTTACCAATCAGCTGCATTTTCTACCATATGTGGATAAAATACTGGTAGTCCATGATGGTGTAATTAAAGAAGAAGGTACCTTTGATGAACTTAGCAACTCTGGGGAACTCTTTAAGAAGCTCATGGAAAATGCTGGAAAGATGGAAGAACAGATGGAAGAGAAACAGGACGAAAGCAAAAGACAGGATGACATAAAACACCCTGAAAATGGGGGCAGTGTAATAGCTGATGGTGATATGCAGAAGAGTCAGGACACTTCTAATAAAACAAAACAGGGGAAATCTGTTCTGATTAAACAAGAAGAAAGGGAAACTGGAGTTATAAGTGCAAAGGTCCTTTCACGGTAAAAGATTGTTGTCTCATTGTATGGTAGTATATTTCATGTATAATACAGATAGAAGAAAGGAAACAGGAGAGGGAGGGAGGCATAATATTAAACATATTTATAGATCATGATGACCTGGAATATCTGCTTACTTAATACCTTTACCTTTGCAGCTACAAAAATGCATTGGGAGGGATCTGGGTGGTATCTGTTCTCTTTTTTTGCTATGCACTCACTGAAGTTCTTCGCATTTCAAGTAGCACATGGTTGAGCGTTTGGACAGATCAAGGTTCTACGAAAATCCATGGCCCTGGTTACTACAATTTAATCTACGGCCTTCTTTCTTTTGGGCAGGTACTTGTACCATGATTTTCATCTTCTTTTCTTGATTAGAATTTGAATTTATCCAGTTGATCACATGCTGGCTGCAAAATATGACATTGTGTTGTTTATAGGTTCTAGTCACTCTAACGAATTCTTATTGGCTGATCACATCAAGTCTTCGAGCAGCCAAGAGGTTGCATGATGCCATGCTCCGGTCTATATTAAGAGCTCCCATGGTATTTTTTCACACCAATCCACTTGGACGAATCATCAACAGATTTTCAAAGGATTTGGGTGACATTGACAGGAATGTAGCCATCTTTGTGAATATGTTTATGGCACAAATATCTCAGTTGCTCTCAACATTTGTTCTCATTGGCATTGTTAGCACTATGTCTCTGTGGGCTATCATGCCACTTCTGATTTTATTTTATGCAGCTTACCTCTATTACCAGGTACTTTTGTGACAGCTGACTTTTTTAAAAAATATATATTAAAGATTGTATTGTTAGTCCTAACTTCTTGAATCTTGACATCTCATACCTGTCTTTTCCCAGACTACGTCTCGTGAGGTAAAGCGCCTGGATTCCATTACAAGGTCTCCTGTGTATGCTCAATTTTCAGAGGCATTGAATGGTCTGTCTACAATCCGTGCCTACAAAGCCTATGATAGAATGGCAAACATCAATGGGAAATCAATGGACAACAACATCAGATTCACTCTTGTGAACATGAGTTCAAACAGATGGCTAGCCATCCGTCTGGAAACATTGGGTGGCATCATGATATGGTTCACAGCAACATTTGCTGTCATGCAAAACCAACGAGCAGAAAATCAAAAGGCTTTTGCCTCCACAATGGGTCTTCTTCTTACTTACACCCTCAATATCACCAATTTGCTCACGGCTGTTCTTCGTCTTGCTAGTCTGGCTGAAAACAGTTTAAATGCTGTTGAGCGGGTAGGAACATACATTGAGTTGCCTTCTGAGGCTCCTCCTGTCATTGAGGATAGCAGGCCACCTCCTGGTTGGCCATCATCTGGTGTTGTCAAGTTTGAAGACGTCGTGCTTCGGTACCGACCAGAACTTCCTCCTGTTCTTCATGGCATATCTTTCATCATTAATGGCAGCGAAAAGGTAGGAATAGTTGGCAGAACAGGAGCTGGTAAATCTAGCATGCTGAATGCTCTGTTCCGTATTGTGGAACTGGAACGAGGGAGAATATTGGTTGATGATTGTGACACTTCTAAATTTGGAATTTGGGACCTACGAAAAGTACTAGGAATAATACCACAGGCACCTGTCCTATTTTCAGGTTTGTTTGTGAAAATACATGATATATCTTCTCGTTTGCTTTTCTTACATCATAAATGTTTTTTTTGGTACTATTGTCCAGGTTCTGTTCGATTTAATCTGGATCCTTTTAATGAGCACAATGATGCGGATCTCTGGGAAGCGCTTGAAAGGGCTCATCTAAAAGATGTCATAAGGAGGAATGCTCTGGGACTAGATGCTGAGGTACGTAGTTTGTTTATCCTTTATTTAGTTCAGACCATTATTTCACTTTTTTTAAGATGATGTATGCCTGTATAGACTTGTCAGTTTTTTTTTGTCAGTCTATAGTTTAGCAGTTTACCTTTTGGTATTCAATATATTCCAAGAGTTTGCTTTCGGAATAAAACAGGATTGTTATAGAATTATGCTACTGCTGCTTTCTCCTTGTAGTTAATACACAATATTGAATAAACTTTCTTTATAGTAGTTACCTTGTTTTTTTTAAACAAACACTTTGGAAAATTTCTGTGGAACTTCATCTTGTTAACACACTCAGGTCTCTGAGGCTGGTGAAAATTTTAGCGTTGGACAGCGGCAGCTACTGAGTTTAGCTCGTGCATTGCTGCGGAGGGCAAAGATACTTGTTCTTGATGAGGCAACAGCAGCTGTTGATGTTCGAACAGATGCTCTTATACAGAAGACAATCAGGGAAGAATTCAAGAGTTGTACAATGCTTATAATTGCTCACCGCCTGAACACTGTTATTGACTGTGACAGGTTGCTTATTCTAAGTGCTGGGAAGGTATGCTTTTGAAGAGATGTTTCTTCTTTTGTTCTGGTGCTTTGCCTCTCATTTGAATAGTACAACAATAAATTCCTGATAATATCAACATGCTTGATAGGTGTAATTTCCAAAGTAACCAATGAAGGATTGTTGCTTGTCTGTTTTGGACTCTTGATTTGAATGTTGCTTTCCTTAGCTCCTGGAGCTTAGTTTCCACAATTTTCCAACTGAACTAAAACGTGGTCATAGTGAGCTTGTCTGTAATTAGTATCATACTATCCTTTACAATCTCTATATTATAAAGTGTTATTTCAACTGTCATGTTTCCAGTGTTCTGTTTTCATATTTTATTAGTATTATAGATGACTTGTAAGAGCATTGAATTCACCCTGAAAAGACTCTTGGTATTTATTAACCTAGTGAGATAGATGGCTTGAAATAATTCTGTTCACTCTGACAAATAGAGAGCTAAACACGTTCAGGTTGCACTCTTTTCGTGCTCAGCCTATTATTTTTCTTGATTGCTTAATTTTTGGCACCTCAGTTATGAAACTACTACTTTTCAGGTTTTGGAGTTCGACTCTCCTGAGAATCTTTTGAGCAATGAGCACAGTGCTTTCTCCAAGATGGTTCAGAGTACAGGACCTAGCAATGCAGAGTACCTGAAGGTGTTTTTCTATCATCTCGATGTTCTTGAAATTTGTGTACTACAGCATAAAACAGCGTTTGATAAATAATAATGAGTGATGCTGTTCAATCCATGTTACACTCCATCGCTCAAGTTTTCACAGTTGGCTTTCAGCGAAATTATTGATATGTGTTCTGATTCAACTTTTTTTTGACTGAATTATTGACAGACTCTTGTATTTGGGGATGGTGAGGAGAGGTTGCGAAAGGAAGAAAGCAAGATGCAAGATATCCAGAGGAAGTGGGTAGCATCTAACCGATGGGCTGTTGCTGCGCAGTTTGCGCTTGCCGCTAGCCTTGCCTCTTCACACAGTGACCTTCTTGCACTGGAGGCTGCTGAGGGAAACAACATCCTCAGGAAAACAAAGGATGCAGTAATCACTCTACAGAATGTCCTCGAAGGGAAGCACAACACCGAAATTGATGATACACTCGCTCAGTATGAGGTTCCATCTGATAGGTGGTGGTCATCGCTATACAAAGTCATGGAAGGTACGTTGATCACTTCATTTTAACACCTTTCTCTTGTGCGATGCTTCAGAGTAGCATGTATTGTGTGCAATATAAGTTTATTACACTAGTCCCAGTGTAAACTGGCTAATATTGATCCGTCAGAGATTCTGATGAAACCAATAGTTAACAGTGAGTACCGGATTGGTGCTTGGTCGATGCAAAAGTCCATATGTTAACATGAAGAGAACTGCTGAAATATAACGATAGGGATAAGATTTTCTTGGACCAACAAACATACTAACACTTGACAAAAGCATGTCCTCCACATGCCATTGTCATGATCTCTTTAGTATTCAAATCTAACCCTATCAATCTGACCTTTTGATCAAATATGTATATCTATTTTTTTTCAGGACTTGCCATGATGAGCCGATTGGGTCGCAACCGTCTACAGCAACCAAGTTATAATTTTGAAAACAACAGTTCTATTGACTGGGACCAAATGTAGATGTGCAAGCATGACTGATCCCTGAAGCCCTGTTGCAGAGTAGATTTGGAGCTGTAGGCTTTTCCAGCAGGTGTTAATTCCTGGAGACATGTAAATTGTCACCAGCACATTGGCGTGCATGTCGTAAGTAGATTTACCGTCCTGACTCCCTCCCTAAAGGTGAATAACAGGGGAGTTTTTCTGTTCTTTTTTGCAACAGCATGACCATATTCTTGTTGTACTGCCGTCCTCAAGGACATCGTCTGTTGTGCAAAATCTTATTAGCATTGTACCTGAAAATTGAAATTTTGATGGTCTTGTGCCAATGCTAGTGTTCTCTTCAAAAATCCAGTGAATGTGTCAATTAATTAATCTTTTAACTTCTGGTCAGCATGTATCCATGTGGAGTTGTCTTCTTCCACTGCTAAACATTTACTGCCTCTTCTCCTGACTTACTCCCTCCATCTTAAAAAAACAATCTAAATGATGACATAATACAATATAGTACAACGAATATGAATGGTCCTATCCAGATCCGTTGTAATTAGATTATGTCACATCTTCATAATTGAGTTTTTTGGATGAATAAAGTATCAACTTAGAACAGTTTGCCAAACTACAATCTCGCTTCGCCACCATCAAATTCAGGGAGCTCTTTTTCGTTTCTTCTTGAAAGAGAGGGCTCCATGTCTGTGAGCCATAAACTGTTGCTTCAGACACAAACCTGCACAATCTTCTCCTTCTGAATCAGCTGTTCTCTGAACAATCGATCATCACCACCAGGGCTCTCACTCGACAAGACAGGATACAGAAAGAAAGAACAGTGCTGCTGCTTTCCTTTTATTGGACTGATCCATCCATGAATCGATCGAGTCGGGAGAGGTATGACGACGATGATTACAGACAATTAACAGTGGGGTTTTCGGTTCCTCTACCACCTAATTTAATCTACCAGCTCACCAACCATTATTACAACCAATTTTGCATGCATGCCACAAAAACTGACATGAACAACTCAAGATACGAACCAACCAAACGCAAACAAAACCAACACCATTGTTTTTTGTACTGCTATGCATTTCTGGGCTTCTTTTGTTTTTCACCTTCAGTCGAACAGCTCCCACTGCGTCGTTGCAGGAGCATCGAACGTCTCCCATTTGGTCGTCACTATCACATTCTGCAACCGCGCGTTGGAGATCTTGAGCACATCCAGCGTCTCCACGCATTTCTGCACCCTCTTCGCCTGCCAAAAAAAGAAAGAAAAAGGTCTCGTTATCTGATCCATTTCTAGGACTAATATGCATTGTGTTGGTGTAATTTAAGATTGTTTTCTTGTCATCTGTAATTATTATTTGCACTTGGTTGTAATAAGAGGATCGTGACTGTAGCTTTTGTTGAGGTAAAGGTCGGATTATCAATTATTGAAAAAAATGGAAAGGAAAACAGTGTGTAGATAGTACTTGGAATGTAAGTAACTGTTCATGAGTGGGTCACATCATTTCCAAAGAAAAAGTTAATGGCCTTTTCCATTCTAATCTTGAGGTGGCATCAGGAGATCATCACAGGTAATGATAAAAGCATTTTCTCTTTTTACTCTCTAACAAACAAGAACACCCAGGATGCCTGCACTTTTGGTCTCCGTCTACTCTTGTTGTGACCTAACCAGAAATGGGCAATCTTTTGCATCTTGATCTTTCTTTTCTTGTCATCTACTCTTTGCACAACAAAAGCACACAACTTTCCTCAAACTTGGTACAAGTTCAGTTGCTTAAGGGCTCAGCTCACACTAAAGAGCGATCTAGATGCAAATAGCTGGCATCACCTAACATTTTCAGCAGGAAAAGGGCTTCTAGGTAGAATTTCTTGTGTGCTTTTTTCCTTTTATTTTTATGCTGAAAAGGCAGGATAAGCATTCTTGTGTGCCTGGACCATGTGTTTTCCAGAAAGAAGCTAATGATCCTGTGACTGTTTCGGGGGGCAAGTAGGACACTCACCCACCCATGATAGGTGACACAGACAGCTACAGCTCCTTCTCATGAAAACTTGTACTGATTGTCATGCCACTGCTTGCTACAATCCTACTCAGGTAAACCGACAGCCCCAAGAACGCTCAAGCCGGTGAGAATCTAAAAAGACTAGGTTCTTTTTATCTTCAGTCTTCTAATTTATATCCTAGATTCTATAACTACAAATTCTTAGAATCTATTACGAGAATCTAAACTGTTTGGGGAGCTGGAGATTTCAAGGAGAAGCGATAGTTGTCAGAAGCTACTCTAAATGTAACCATAGCATCTCTCATTGGTACCAATGGTACTGTACCAAAAACCTATAATGATGTTCTTGATTCTAATGCCCAATGCTAGGCTCTTTGCAAACAGGAGATGATGCAGGTGCTCACCTGAATGTTCTTCTGGGAAGACGAGTCCCCTTCAGCGTGTATGCTGTCCAGCTTCACAGCAAGCCGCATCAGCAGCTCGATCAGCGTCGTGATCTGCACCTCGGCGACCTTGCTCCCACGGGTGATCGACTTCTCGATGCTCCTTACCTGGTACAAGAAAAGAAAAGGAAACATTTTTCTCGTCTAATCAGCATCAGCATCAGGATCAGATCATATCATATCACTTCTGCCAAAATGAGTCTTTCAGAAACTAAAGCTGAGTGAACTCTGCTTTAGTACAGCCAATGATGGAAGTGCCCTGAGATGCAGGGGCACATCCTTGTCAGGGATTGAATTTCTGTCCCTGCTTTGGTATGGCCCGGTTTATGCAACATACTAAATGAACTCAGGGACCATTGCCTTGTGCAATGGATGAAGAAATTTCACCGCTGCTTCTTCATGGCCAGAATCGATGGACAACCGTGCAATGTAGTATCAATTTGGTCACCTAATTTCTTGGACGGATTACTCAACTGGCCATCCAATTCAATGCACCATGCCACCATTCCCCTCCCCATGCCTGCCTGTCTGAACCAGCACAGATTCAGACCATAACTAGCCCCCTAAATCGTTCAAGCTTCATCTATCTATCCTACTACCTCCATTCCAAAATAGTATAAACATTTCAACAACGTGTTGTGTTTTTGAAAATGTATCTCAACATGCGAAAATACTTACATTTTAGAATATGGTGATAACCGATGCATTGACCATGGAAGAAGAACAGAAGAAACAAAGAAAGAAAGAAAGAAAGAAGCAGGGTTTGTTTTAAGTTTGGTCACCTGATCGGCGAGCTTGTCGACCTCCAAGGCGATGGCGCCAATGGCGCGGTTGGCGGTCTCGATCTTGGCGCTCTTCTGGCGCTCGATGTAGCGCCGCTCGACGCTGGTCGGGTCCTCGGCGAGGTAGAGCTTGGACCTGTTCTTGACGCCGCAGACGTCGAGGTAGTCGGCGTTGCCCCGCTCCTTGCCCCTGTACGTCAGCCGCTGGTCCGCCGCCGGCAGCCCGGTCCTCGCCGCCAGCAGCTTCTTCAGCTCGCCTGCCACAACACCAAAGAACAGCTGATTATTCTTCTGAAATTCTTCCTACATGCTCTTGGGACATGGTGGATTGGATCATTGCTGCAGCTACTGGTCACCAACATTTGCCAACGTTATTGAAACCGCGTGTGAATCTGTGATCAATACACTGACATGGTAATGGTGGTAGCTCTGTACTTTCTTTGCCTGGCTGGTGATGTTTGACAGTGATGAGGTTTTCTGTGGCACGTTTGGCCATTTGGGGACCAGATATCAGTGGTCAACTCTACCGTTCTGAGATCGTGAAAAAATATTTTAAAAAAAAAAGAGTTCCTCCATTATTTTTTATGCTCCAGCCTCCAGGTAAAGTTACCAACTAAATCACAAAAAAAAAAAACTAAATTCCTATCATATTTCCGATGCTACACCGTGTCATATTTCTTTTCACGTGGTGAAGCAAATACTATAATATAACAAGACATCGCCAATTAAGGCTAAAGCTAGCCTTATTAATTGGGTCAACAAACCTCGACAAAATTCCAATATCATCTAGTAAAACATTGTTTCAATTTAAGGTTTACTTCTTAGCTGACTTTACCCTGATCACGACCAAAACCACCCGAACCTTATAAAAAACTCACCGCGCGATATAAAATGCGAGATGAGGCGAGAAGAAGAGCCAACAACGTGGTGCGCACGACGGGCGACCCGTAGCGATTTCCACATCTCGCTGCAGTAGACAAACAGTGAGCGCCGGAGACGAAGCACTCAACTTCACACTTCCCAGAGGTGTCGGTGCAACGGGACAAACGATCGCAACGTGCCCCTGCCTCCACTCCAGGCTGCCCCTGGGCCGTCCGATTCGGCCGCCCGTACACGTGGACCCATCTGCGGCGCCAGAAACTAGAGAGAGGGAGATCCACCGTATCCAACCCAAGCCCCCCACCCCCCCCCCCCCCCAATTGCTGCCATTGTCGGGGAAAGGCAAGCTTAATTCAGGCAGCATCTGCTCCGGCAAAGTGGAAGCAAAGCAAAGCAAAGCAGAGAACAGTTCAAAGAGCTCACTGATCGGGTGATTAATTTTGTTAATTACTTCATTAGCCTCGTAATCTGCATTCGCCTGTACTTCCCCGTCGCATTGAACCGCCCAATGCCGGGATTTCACGGAAGGAATAGCAGTGCTATGGCTCGAGAAATGAAGTCGTGTCAGTAATTTTTTTCTCTGTCGCTAATCCAGAGCACGGGTTTTCGAAGTTAACGCAGCAACTGTGACAGTAAAATTACTAGCAAAAAATTGTTTTATTTCGGGGTATTTTCAGGAGGAAAAGCGGTCAAAATTTAAATTACGAGATGGCCGCACAAGACAGAATGATTCTGAAGCCGGGAATTTCGCGCTGCACGGAGCAAAGAAATCTCGGCGCCTCACGGGCTCGTACGAAATTATTCCGTGGATTTTGTTTCTTTCCTTTTTAAAAAAGAGGGGGAAAAAATAAAGGGGATGTCTCACTGTCCTAATATCGCGGCGGCATTAATTCCTCCACGCGGCACGGCCGGAACTCATGGTGAATTTTAAATACCACCTTTGTATTTAAATTTGATATACTTAACTCAGTTTTTTTTTATTTTAACTGGCTCGTAGTACAAGCCACGATTGCCAGCCAGCACGGGTTTTAAAGCTAAGTGACTCGAGGTCAAATTTTGACCCAAAAATAAAACAAATTTATGCCGGCTATGTTAAAATAAACATTCGCGCGGGATTTAAACCGAAATAAAACAGAGCTGCTTTTGCTTAACTTGCTGGGTTTACTTTCCGGAGAAAGAAAAAGAAAACATGAGTGCTGCAGTGCAGGATAATCTAAAAAAATGAAATTAAAGAAAAAAAAACTAATCAAAATTTCAGTTTCGTCTCGTCTATGGAGGAAAGAACACCATCAAGAACAAAAAGAAGAAAAAAAGTTTAAGGCGTAATTAAGCACGGTTACTTAACCAAAGCTCACACTTTAACCAAAGGTGAGAAGAAAGCGAGAGGATCGAGAGAGAGAGAAATCGCTCACTCACCGAAGGAGGCAATGGAGGAGACGGCGACCTCGTGCCGCGCGGCGCCGTACTTGACCCGCACCTTGATCTCCGGCGGCGGAGGCCTCGGCGGGATCCCCATCCCTCCTCCTCCGCCGCCGCCACCGCCGGGGCCCTCCTCGCGCGCCTGCACGACCATCCCGCTCGGGCGCACCTCCCACCCGGCCCTCTCGTCCCCGGCCGCCGACGCCGCCGCCGCCTCCGACCACCCGCTGCTCGACCCGCCATCCGAGCTCGACCGGTGCATCACCGCCGCCATGGACGACGACACCACAAACCCCACCCCTCTCTCCTCCTCGCCAACAAGAACACAACCACTTAGTGCGGGGGGTTTGGTGCAGTAGTGCGCGCGCGCGCGAGGTGGTGGTGGTGGTGGCGTGAGGGAGGAGGCGGAGGCTGCACGCGCGTGCGCGCGCTCGCGGCGGAGGAGGAGGAGGGGAGGAGTGGGACGCGACGCGCTTCGTTCGTTCGTTCTCCGATCGATCGCTTTGTCTTTGGCTTTCTTTTTCTTCTTCTTCTTCTCTCTTGGGTTTGCCGGTTTTATATGGAGACGAGGCGATGGATTGGTTGTATTTGGTGGGGTTTTCTTTCGGCGGATGTACGCTGCAGCCACCGGGCGCGCGGCCCCGTGGCGGGAGAGAACATGGTCGCGTTGCCGTATTTGCTTCCGGGGATGGGCGCCGGTCTACGTAAAACCTCATGGTTTTTGCCGTATCACTTTTTATTCGGGTCAGTTCCGCAGGTTAAGTGGTGCTATGTTATCTGTATATTTGTTTACTCTGAAAAAATAATTAGTCAAAAATTGTTTTTCCACATCGCAGGTTTCTTCTAAGGACTTATTTTTAGGTCAGTTTCGTAGGTGTAATGGTGCTATATTATCTGTATATATATTTACTCTGGAAAAATAATTAGCCAAAAATTTAAACTATTCGTATCAAGTCTAAATAATCTAACCATGTTAAAACTACACTCGTATGTAATTATTATATGCGCGAATAACCGGTTAAACTACGCTCATATCTTTATATCTTTCTATACATTTGAAAAATAATTAGCTAAAAATATAATTGTTCGTGTTTAAAAAACCTATCAAGTTAAACTAATCACATATATAAATTTTACATGTGTGTTATTTAATAGTGCTAAGTTGGATTCGATTTAATTTATCAATTTCTTTCTGACGCATATCGGACGAATTGATGGTGTATGATACTAAGAACGTGGACTGCCATGAGGCTAGGCGGTGTCGTGTACTTTTTGTATTGTGTATTATTTTAAGTCGGTGAGCTCATTTGGCGCATTCAACGTAATCGGTCTAGGTCACGGCTAACACACGGTGGATGACATGTTAGTAAGACGGATTTTTGGCTTCACACGTTGACGTAGCAAGATATATATAGACCAATTCATCTTCAACCATATTCGAGAATCGATATGGAATCTTTTGAGTTAGATGTATGTCAATGTATCCATTTACTTTTTCCATCATCTAGAAGAAACGTATTCATTTTCTTTAGAACGTATATATTTTGTCTCTTTATAATACTTTTTTTACACGTAGCGTGGTTAAAGTATTTTAGATTATACAACTGAGCGTAGCTTAGTTAGTTAGGTTCCTTGTAGTCGAAACTAACTTTTTAATTTTGACTTCTAAACTTGGTGTGGGTGCTTGTATTTACGGTTAACTATTGTTTGAGTGGTACGTGTTATATATACCCGTCGATAGCAAGGTGTCTATCGTAACTTTGTCGATCTCTCTCTCTCACTGTTACAACAGCTACCAGCTGCTGGGTGATCACACTGATCACTGCGCTAACCAGTAACCACTGTTTAATGATGCCAGCTTGCTTGCATCTGCAGGAACCTGGATGCACATGAGATAGTGTACAGTAGTATTATTATTGTATGACTATGCATCTGTAAGTGTACGTACGTAGATCGTAATTAATACCGAGAAGCTTATATAGCTAGCTTGCTAGCTAAACTAAACAAGGCAGTGATTTGTACTAGAACTGTAGATCAATCAGCAGCTGGGATTAACTAGGATGGTTAATTCGATTATATTGCTCGCATACATGAGTGGTCCATGCAAAAGAGAGGGATTAATTTCTCCCGGGTCACTCCCTCGAGCTTAATTGCGCGATGTGACACCTGCCGGTAACGTCATGTGACGCTTAACGACATGCGTCGTCGTCCCAATCGAAGGCGCCGTACATCTTGTCTCGCCTCGATCGATCGAATATATCGGCTCTTCATCAGCTTAAGGATATGAACAATGTATTTACTGCTACTGTCTTAAGCTCAAGGAGTATTAATTGTTCACTAGCTTGGGCGCTTGGCAACAAAATGATAGCTAGGGACTTCATCGATCACACTGCTAGCTACCATTCTGCAGCTACAAAAAACGGCCTTGATCAAGGCCAAATTAAGCTTTGTGGATATGGACTGCATGGATGCAGGCAAATAGCAGTGGCCCTTGCCTGACAACGCATATATGACAATGCTGTGCCCATTTGTCCATTAGCTTAGCTGACAGTCTGAAACTTCAGGCTCGGTTTCTTCCAGTTGCTGTCATCCTGCCTGTTAGAGAAGTACGTAATGTATGCATCTGGCATAATGCTTGGAGAAGTACGTAATGTATGCATGCCCCCTGTTTAGAAAGGAACAGAGTCATTCCGAAGAAGAAGAAGAAGAAGAAAGGAACAGAGAGAGACGAGGTGACTGTTGCTGTTGGCCACACCACACTGGCTGACTCCGCTGACTGACACTCCTACCTTACATGGGCTCACTTCCTGTCGGCCCATTTACTCTGGCCTACTCCGAGCTGTACGTGGGCTGCTGCAACAGTCACTCTGGGCCGGCCTGGAACAATCATGTCAAACAACAAGTTCGAACCAAAGCGTCTCTTTCTCTGCGTTCGACTTCGACCGATGTTTTCTTTTCTTTTCTCCTTTCTTGCGAGGACGCGTTAACTGTTTTTTTTCTCTCTTTCTTCTTTTTTCTTTCTTGCGGTGGACGTGTTAAAATGTTTTGACGTCATGGGAGTACGTGCGTGCAAGCTCCATCATTTAATCTTCGGCTGATAAGCCGTAGCTAAAATTAAAATTTTAAAACTTAACTTCATAGGCTGTTTTTAATGTTTTGTTATTTTATTTTACTTTTTCATTAGCTTTAATTTGAGATGATATACATATAAAAGTTTCAACATAAATTATTTGTTATCGTTGATAAGCGTTGTCGCTTATAAAGTTATAATCAGCGTGATGTATACCGGGTCCAATGGCTCTACTACGGACAGAGATCCTCGGTAGTACTGCACCTGCAATGCTGCCGCTAAGTCCTACATGTTAGCGGCAGCTACTAGGTGGCAGTTGTGCAAACAATCCCCACTACCCCGATGTCGTCCTAAGTCGCTTACGGATCACGATAATATAATGTCTCGTATTTTCGGTGTTCAATGACTTCTATTAGTGCTTATGTTTGCCCAATCTTTGAAAATCTTTGGATCCCGTCATCCCACAGCTGATTGTGAGACTGTTTGGTACAGCTCTAACTCCTAAATTTAGCTTCAGGAGTTGGGTCTGGAGTGAGCTGTCTAAACCCAGCTCCACAACTCTAGTTCATTTTGTGAGAGAGCTCCACCCAGCTCCACTCCCAGTTTTGGTAAAGCTGAAACTGTTTGGCTGAGCTCCAGCTCTAGAAAGAGTGAAACTGGAGCTGGAGCTGTGCTAAACAGACCCTGAATGTCTTCTCGCTCTTTTCCTGATTGGTGTCATTGTTCAGTTTTTACCGTCTGTTGGTCATGTGTTGTCGGTGACCGACTATTGCTACCGCTGTACTGTCCGGCAACCGGTACATTGTGCAGGACCGCATGATCGATCACCGACAACCTTCATCTCTTTAGTCATTAATCGCTCTAACCCCCATCATTCTACGACCCCATTTAATCCCCAAATCAGAGATGCAACATAGCAACAGTAACCAGATCACATGCATGCAACACCAACCTGCAGCCTGCACTCGCTGCAGCAGGGACCGCATGCAGAAGCCGCTTGATTCTGCCACTGTAGTCCAGCTCTGCAGCTTCATTTCTCTCGTCGGTTTCCTGATTATTTGTGACAGAAGAAGCCATAGCACAGCTTGATACAGTCACTCTGACTCACTGCCATGCTGTTCCAGGGCTGGAAGTTCAGTGCAACTTCCTGTCTCATTCAGCCTGTGAAAATGTTCTGATGAACAAAAATCAGGAATTCAGGATTCAGGTACTTTCTTGAGACATCAACAAAATCCTGAATTTTCTGATGCAGTAGCAAAGCCTAAAGATTACACGTCTCACAGTGTCACACACTACATGCCATAGCATTATTTATGTTACAGAGGGGTGCTGATAATTGTGTTCTCCAATGGTCCATGGCACGCACACTCACTCACACACACACTGACAGAGAGGAAAGAATCATCAAACTAGGAGCAACCGAGGTAATTAAAACGGAAATTACCACCCTAATGGTGCTGGTAATTAATCATCAACGGCCCTCTGATAGGCGGGCCCACCCAACGCCGACGAGCCGAGGCGTCGGCTCACGGCGAGCCGAGCCGGACCTCCGACTCGCGCCGCGCGGCGCGCCTGGCGCGCACCACGTACGCCACGGCGACCGCGACGCCGACCACCGCCACCGCCGCGACGGCGCACGCCACGCCGGCGGCCACGGACACGGATCTGCGAGGCGGCGCCGACGACGCCGACGCGGTGATGGTGGCGGTGGCTCTGGGGATCGCCGACGCGGCCTCCGGCTTGGCGGTGGCGGCGGCGGCATTGGAGGCGTCGAGCGCCTCCGGGAGCTCGGCGGCCTCGGGCTTGCTGCCGAAGAAGGAAGCCATCGCCGGCGTCGCCTCGGTGTTCCCCTCGCGGAAGTCCTCGAGGCCGTGGGACTCCGATCCGACGGCGAAGAGCGCCACGACGCAGAGCGCGACCAGCAGCGGGCGGCCGAGATCTCGCCGGCGGGACGCCATTTGCTTCAGCCTCCAAGCTGCAAACGCAGTTGACCAGCGTAATTAGCAAACCGCTACTACAATCTCAAGCTGATTTGAGCAGAAGCTAACGTGCAATAATTCTGCACTACACAAAAGCACTCTTTCTTCCTCGTTGAGATCTACTCCAAGATTCAGATTTTTTTTTGCTCAAATTCAGAGCGATTATGTGAATTGTCCCAGGAGAGCAGATGATAAGACAAAACGAGCTCAAAAGGGAGGAAAAAGAAAGAAAACAAAAGGTCCAATCCACAGATCTAAGTACCAAAAGAAGCTGTTCTTTTTGCAGTGCAGCAAGCTAATGAACCCAATTGCACAAAGCAAAAAATTCATGGTGGATAAAGATTCGTTTTGTTTTCTCCTTTGCGTGTGACACATACCTTTGCAATGCAACCTAGGATAGCCTAATGTGTGCGAGGGAGAGAGAGAAAGCAGATCAGAGAGCTTGTTCTTCCTCGGCAGAAGCCACTTGAAGGTTCAGAGGAGCACACCCTGATATATATATATATATATATATATCAAAGATTCCTCCTGTTATCCTCTCCCTCTAATTGCTGTGAGCCTGTGAGTATATATGGCTGGAGAGAGACGCAATGTGCATGAGAGAGAAGCAGATAACCAAACCACTCGTGAGGATCTATCTACTATCTATCTAGCTAGTAAGTATCCTGTGGCAGTAGGGCTCACTGTTTCATGCGTGGTGGAGTGAAAGCTAAGCGAGGCTGAGAGCATTGTTTGCCATGATGCCGCCATGCTTTTTTGCTTGGGGCCTTGTGGAAAAGAAAACGAAGAACACAGTGCGTGAGAGCAAGAGACAGAGACCCACATTAGGTGGGCATGTGAGCCTTTTACTAACCTTTGTCTGCTTGCTTCGATCTACTTACTGACTAACACTGCTGTATGCCTGTATTTCGCCCGTGTGAAGATGCTGTACACATGTACTCTTCTCTCATGTTGTGCCAATTTGTGATGTACTCTCCAGCTCTCTGCTTATCATCGGCTCATAAGTATCGACAATTACGTACGTATCTACGTCAGTTTAAACTGATAAGGGAAGACGGACAATTCACTCACGCTTTGAACCGTAAAAGCGTAATTCACGGACAATGGCAATCAGGTGAGAGCGGCGTGCATGGGAAGAGAAGCAGCTCATCTCTCGTCTATCTTCTGATTGATTAGATCATGCGTCGTGAGTCGCCTCTTCTTTTGGCTGGGCATCATCATCGATCACGCTTTCTTGGCGTTTGGCAGTCCAATCACGGAGCTCATCAATTCCCTGCTTTGTTGAGATCTGCACTCACTCTCTGCTGCATCTCCATATGCCTCCGGATTTGCAGTGCATTGTACGTCAGTTGGATCAATCGACAAAGGAAAAGATGAAAATTATAAGATTGTGACAAATTTTCGAGTACTGGAGTACGTACTGGTAGCACATGCATGCTTGGGTAGTCGTAGCTCGTTAAACTAGCGTTTAATTAATTAGTTTTAGCTAGCCAAGATCTCGGAGTTGATGATGAATGGAGGAGGACATGGAGACAGATAAAAGTTGGTGCCCCTCCTACTAATTAACCAAATTAAAGCACATTGCTAGTGATAGCTTTGCTTTTAGTAGTAGTTGGAGTGGTAACAATATTGGATTGGCATGGTGAGGCAGGGAATCTAACTTGTAATCCCTCCGTCATAAAAAAAAAAGCAAACCGTGGATTCCCGTGCTAACGTTTGACTGTCCGTCTTATATGAAATTTTTTTATAATTAGTATTTTTATTGTTGTTAGATGATAAAACATGATTAATACTTTATGCGTGACTTATCTTTTTATTTTTTTTTATAATTTTTTCAAATAAAACCGACGGTCAAACATTGAACACGAAAACTAGGGTTTGTCTTTTTTTTGACGGAGGGAGTAGGGTTCTTGCTGCCCTGGTCCATTGCCACTGCCAGAAGAAAGAAATGGCACAAAATGGTGGCCTTCGACAGATGTCAGCAAGTTCATCGGTTGGTTGCATTGCCCCTGCATGGGACTGACGATTAGTTGGCACCTTTTGTACACTCCTACCTAACCCCAATAAAACCATAAAGGTACTACTCATCATATGGCAATATGGCATGATGAATCAAGATCAGGACAGGCAGGTTAGTTACAGTGGCTTTGGTAATTAACTGTACTGACTGCCCTTGGATATGGTGATTGAACTGTTACTAATTACTGCAATGGTAACACCATCTGCAACAATGTGCTACTACCAGCTATACATATTACTCCTATGTAATATGTAGCTACGACATGGAGGGAAATTGCATGAATGGTTGATCTGCATTAGTTGGATAATCAATCAAACTACGTTCACCAGAGGTCGATCTACTGAAAGTCTGAAGAATAGACATGAGGTTTCTGCTAATTCATCTTCTTCTCCAGTGCGATCGATCTACCGTGGCAATGGCTTCTGGTCACCGAGAGTGGATGAACAGTTGTCCAGGGCTGTGCCGTGCATGTTCTTTTGGTGATGAGACAAGTCCTCCTGTCTGTACGGGAATCTGGGGAAGATCGTCGATCAGGTAACGTCAAAACTGTCCGTCCTGGTGTGCTCCGTGACTGCATTGATAAATTTGATAATATTGCTTTTCATGTAGGCAATGGCTATGTCAGTTTTTTCGGTTTGTCTGCTAATACTCGCGTGATAATACTCCCTCCGTTTCAAAGTGTTTTTTTTCGGTTTGTCTGCTAATACTCGCGTGATAATACTCCCTCCGTTTCAAAGTTTCAAAGTGTTTGACACCGTTTACTTTTTAGTACGTGTTTGACCATTCGTCATATTCAAAAAAATTCTTTTCATATCATATGATTCATTGTTAAATATAGTTTCATGTACACATATAGTTTTACATATTTCACAAATTTTTTTAATAAAACGAACGGTCAAACATATGCTAAAAAGTTAACGGTGTCAAACGGAGGGAGTAGTACACGCTACACAGGCTGATGAACGAGGAGGAGCACACATGGTCGAGCAGGCTGTACGCTTGTACTTATCTCGAGCCATTTTCTGGTTGTGTGTGTCTGGTACCAGTCGGTGCTCTTTTTGAGACGTCTGCCGTTGTTTTCTTGCTCTTGTTTGCTTCCACGTACGCTGGACCGCCTGGACGGCTGGAGGTAGTAGCTGTACCTCCTCCGTCCTTCGCTTCCGGCTATGTTCAGTAGGACTCAGCTAATCAGCCCGCTCGTAAGACGAAATGGGCAATTAATACTTAATTAATTGAATATTGACTATTAAAATTTTGAAACATGAATTTATTTAACTTTTTTTCAAGAAACTTTTATATATAAAGTTTTTTCACGAAGCACACTATTTGGCAATTCAGGATACATGCTCATGGAAAATAAGGGTGTATTTAGTTCGCGAAAAGAAAATTTTTGGGTGTCACATCGGACGTTTGACCGGATGTCGAAAGGGGTTTTCGGACACGAATGATAAAACTAATTTCATAACTCACCTGGGAACCACGAGATGAATTTATTAAGCCTAATTAATACATCATTAGTACATATGGATTACTGTAGTACTTATAGCTAATCATGGACTAATTAGGCTAAAAAAAATTTGTCTCGCGATTTCTATGTAAACTGTGCAATTAGTTTTTTTATCTATATTTAATATTAATACATGCGTTAAAGATTCGATGTAATGTTTTTAACAAATTTTTTTAGAACTTGTTCAACAAGGCCTAAGGAAGAGGCCGATCCTACCCGCGAAAAAAAAGAAGAAGGAAGAAGCCGATCCTAGGGACTGTTTAGAACTCAGTAGACAGTAGAGGTGATGGCGTATTGGCATCGAGCCAACCGTCACGGATGAAGAACAGGGACGAAATAAGACTTGAGCTATAGTTGAAGGAAACAAAATAGACATTTTCTAGACAATACGTGCACGATAATACGAGAGCCCGCTCCAGTAGAAACTACTTTTTTGGGTATTCAAAGCCCGGCCCAGTAGAAACCACTTATCTGGGTCATTAAATATCGGCCCACGTAAGAGCACGCGAGTTGGAACGCCATGGGATCCCGGCCCATCAAGGCTCACCGGATTCGAGCCCAATACGGACTCTGCTCTGTCTGCGTGCAGTGCACGGACGGTCCGGATCGGAAGCGAGGCTGCGTTGGACTTGATCTGGGCCGTACATTGCTCTCAGGGCACGGGCGGTGCAGACGAAGCGTCTCGTGATCCTCGTCTCCTCCTGGCGGCCGCAGCGCGTGGGTTCCCAAATCGCGAAATTTTCTTTTCCCCCAAAAAACCGAATAAAGAGAAATCTCTCCGAGCGAATTCGACGAGATCGGAGGCTCGGATCGAGGTAAATTTTCTCCTCGTATTTTTCTTTCCCTGATCGATTGTGTTGATTACTGGATCTGGTAATGCTCTCTGTTCAAGCATGCTTGGGTAGGGGACGTAGATTTGCGCGACGAATCAAGTATGTTATGCGCGTTTTTTCGCGGGATTTTTCGGGGTTTTCCATGCGCGTTGCGGGCGACGCCCAGCGCTGCGTTGGATTTGACTTCGAATTAAGGGCGGCACGGTGGTAGATTCCTCGCTCGTTTAGTTTTTGAAGAGTTAGATCTCGTTCCCTACGTTTCGAATTTGGTCGCAGGTTGCTAAGATTTCCCGGTTTGATCTGCTTATTAGGTTTACTTTTTGTATGTATATGATCATGCAATCTCAGATTTGGTGATTTGATTATTGTGCGGTGCGAAGGTTCTAGGTTGACGTGTTGTGGAGGTTTCTTTGATCTTATTGGAGCCACCCTTAGCTTATTCGGCTTGTTTTGATCCGAATTTACTATTAATTTTGGTGCGAATTCAGAGTTCAATAATCCCTCTTCCGTAGCATCGACTTTCTCATCTCTATGAAAAAAGTTTGTGGGAGTTAATTTAGAATCACTGGTTTGTTTATTATAAATCGTCCCCTTTTCTGATAGGCAAGTTTGCTACTGATTTATATGACCATGTTAGTAACAAGTACCAACCCACCTCTTTGTTTGAGTTGGCTGTCAGATTCTAGATGGAATTAGATCTGTGATTGGGAGTTAGTCTTATAAGCCTTGTGCCATTTGGCTGTTCCAATTATGTTTAACATGAAAATTTGGACTTGTTCAGTTTCAGCTGAAGATTTTGATTTTTTTTTTCAGGTATTCTCCTTCTGATTTGATTGGATTCGGGATCTGCTGGCGGGGATCCATCTTTAGGTAGGATTTCATAATTTTATGGACTTTGATTGCAAAACAGCAAGAGGAGACTCTTCATCTGTGAATCGTTCATGCATTGTCACTGAAGGCACTGTCGTCCAGGCAAAGCCCGTTTCTCACAACGGGAAAGCTAAACACTGGAATAGCCTCAGTACATTGAATAACCAGAAGTGCAGTTATGAATTACTTTCCGACCCAAAGAAAAATGTTGAAACAAGTGATGGTGAGACCGCCTCAAAGTGTGACTCATGGTGCTTCACTGATTTGCCATCCGCATTGGTCTGTGAAGTGCTTGAACACCTCGATCCAAAGGAACTTGGCATTGTATCTTGCGTCTCCACCCTACTGCATACCCTAGCCACAGATCATCAGGGGTGGAAGAAGTTCTACTGTGAAAGGTGGGGGATTCCTACTCCTCCAGTCACCCTCAATGGGCCCTTGGTTCCAGGAGGAACTTCAGATTGGAAGTCTTGGAAAACATTATTTGTGGAGCGGGAGTTTCGAAGTAAATCATTCATGGGAAGATTCAGTGTGGATG